CCCCAGAGAAGGTCAAGTGCTGGAGGGAGTGGGTGGAGAACCTGGCCTAGGGGCCCTGCTGCTCGGTCGGTTTCTGCAGGGAGCAAGGGTAGAAGGATTGGGAGATGGAGTAGGGAAGAAGTTAGGGTCAGTGGCAGAGCCAGGCAGATGCTGACACTTTTTCTCTTCCCCAGACCCCCACTTTGAGGAGCCAGGTCCAATGGTGAGAGGGGTGGGTGGGACTCCTCGGGATTCTGCCCGGGTTAGTCCCTTTCCCGCTAAACGTCGGGAGCGGCCTCCCAGAAAACCAGAGCTGCTACAGGAGGTAAAGAATGGGTTTGAGATTGTGCTTCGCTGCACTCTTACTCGTGAAGATTCTTGTTGGTTATGTTTTCTCCGTTCTCTTTCCTGTTTTTCACTGTTTTTACTCCAGAATTCTCAGTATTAGTCTCCCACGTGTCTCCCTTGTTGCCTCACGCCACACACTGTGTCACCCCACTCTGTCCTGGCTTCCTATAATTCCCAGTTCCCACCCAATTCATGTTTTGCCTCTGGCCCTTCTCATCCGTAGGAATCTTTGCCACCTCCTCATAGCTCTGGATTCTTGGGCTCTAAGCCTGAGGGCCCAGGCCCTCAGGCAGAGTCCAGAGATACAGGCACAGAGGCCCTGACCCCTCACATCTGGAACCGTTTACATACTGGTGAGTAAAACTGAGTGAAAGGACTATGGTAGAAGGGTTAAGAATGAGATGGGCTTCTGAGCTATCATCTCTCACTTGTCTTCTGGTTGGTGCTCCCTTCTCCAGCCACTAGCCGAAAGAGTTATCGGCCCAGCTCCATGGAGCCTTGGATGGAGCCCCTGAGTCCTTTCGAGGATGTGGCTGGCACAGAGGTGAGTGAGGGTGGGAGGGTGTCTGAGCTGGGACTTCTTTGAGCACTGGCCATACTCCCCCACTTGCTCTGGGTTGAGTCTGGAGCTGTTCTCTCACTTGGTTGTCCCTTCTGCAGTTTATCTGTGTGCATCAGTCAGGTATTGGGGTGCTTTCTACCCTGACTTAACTAACTCCTTCTCCACTCCTCTCAGATGAGTCAGTCTGACAGTGGGGTGGACCTGAGTGGGGATTCTCAGGTGTCATCAGGTCCCTGCAGCCAGCGAAGTTCCCCTGATGGAGGACTCAAGGGGGCAGCAGAGGGACCCCCCAAGAGGCCTGGAGGCCCCTCACCCCTGAATGCTGTTCCTTGTGAGGGTCCACCTGGCTCTGAACCTCCTAGGAGACCACCACCTGCCCCCCACGATGGGGACAGAAAGGTAAAAGACTAAAAAAGGATAAGGGGAATGTTTCTAGGAATCTGACTTTGGCCCTACCTTTTTCTGCTTTTTCCCTCTGCGTGTGTGTTGTGGGCATTCCAATTTAGATTTCCCTTCCCCTCCCCCAACCCACTTTACTGTATGCCCAATCCAGGAGCTGCCCCGGGAGCAGCCTCTGCCCCCTGGCCCCATTGGCACAGAACGATCACAGCGTACAGACCGAGGCACAGAGCCTGGCCCCATTCGGCCATCCCATCTACCTGGTCCCCCAGTCCAGTTTGACACTAGTGACAAGGTCTGTGTGGGCTGGATATGGGTGTCCTGAGTTGGGTGGAGAGAAGGGAAGGACTAAAGGTGGGACATAGAGGACGCATGTCTGTCATGGGACAATGTCTCCTGCCTTGTTGTGATCACAGGACTCGGACTTACGCCTAGTGGTAGGAGACAGCTTGAAAGCAGAGAAGGAGCTAACAGCATCAGTCACTGAGGTAAGTGGGAGTAAGAATTTGGTGGAAAGGCCCAAGATTGCCGGAGAAGATTGCTGGGAGTGACCAGGGCATCCAGGATGCCAGACATCCCTCTCCACAAGGCCTTTCCTTCCCAGGCCATTCCTGTATCAAGAGACTGGGAGCTGCTTCCCAGTGCTGCTGCCTCTGCTGAGCCACAATCCAAGAACCTGGGTTCTGGGCACTGTGGCCCGGAGCCCCCCTCCTCAGGCCAGCGTCTGTATCCTGAGGTCTTCTATGGCAGTGCTGGGCCTTCCAGTTCTCAGGTAGCCCCACTTCCCATTGCATGAACCCTTCAGTAAATAATCATTTTTTTCTGCCTGGTACGTATTTATAATCAAGCCTTTCTATGTTGTAGAGTTGTGAAATACCACTTTGTGACATCATTTTTGTCCCTGCGTTCTGCTGCTATGGGTGGGATGGTGATCTTTTCTTGACCACAGATATTAAAGATGTTTCAACCCTACTCTTCTGCAGATCTCTGGGGGAGCCATGGACTCTCAATTACATCCAAACAGTGGAGGCTTCCGCCCTGGGACACCCTCACTGCACCCTTACAGGTAAGACCCGATACCTGTGGACCACAGAAGTACTTGGAGATGTGTTTCAGGGGAGAGAGAAGGGGAAGACACAGTTCTAGGGTACCAGAAGCTAGTGGACTTAAGGCATTGCTAGGACTCTGGCTTCCTAACAGCTTTTCTCCCCACAATTTCTTTCCAGATCACAGCCCCTATACCTACCCCCCGGCCCAGCCCCTCCCTCGGCACTGCTCTCTGGGGTAGCTCTCAAGGGCCAGTTTCTGGATTTCTCCACACTGCAAGCTGCAGAGCTGGGGAAGTTGCCGGCTGGAGGAGTTCTCTACCCTCCACCTTCCTTCCTCTACTCTCCGGCTTTCTGCCCCAGTCCTTTGCCCGACACATCGTTGCTTCAGGTAAGAGAGGGGCAGGTGTTAGATATTGGGGGATAGGGTGGGGAGAACGATTTTGTAGGGGTTGATGTATTTCTTCCCATTTCCCAACAGGTACGCCAGGATCTGCCGTCCCCTTCGGATTTTTATTCTACTCCTCTGCAGCCTGGTGGCCAAAGTGGCTTTCTCCCTTCAGGGGCTCCTGCCCAGCAGGTATATTGTATCTTCCCACTTCCCTTTCATTTGATTTCTCTGTCCAATCACTGGCTTTGATTTTCCCTGGTTTTCTGACATTCCTTCCTGCCCCCAACATGCACACCCAAATTTCTTGTTACAGATGCTTCTACCCATGGTAGACTCACAGCTGCCTGTGGTGAACTTTGGCTCCCTGCCGCCAGCACCACCTCCTGCTCCACCTCCCCTTTCTCTGTTACCTGTGGGCCCTGCTCTGCAGCCCCCAAGCCTGGCTGTGCGGCCCCCACCTGCTCCTGCTACTCGGGTGCTGCCTTCACCTGCCAGGCCCTTCCCTGCTAGCTTGGGGCGAGCAGAGGTAAGGTACAGCAACTGAGGGGCTAGGGAGTGCCAAGATTTAGGAGTAGGGATTCTGTATTTCAAGGCAGGGAGTTCATGATTTTTCTTCCCTCAGCTGCATCCAGTGGAACTAAAGCCGTTCCAGGATTATCAAAAACTGAGCAGCAATCTTGGGGGACCTGGGTCATCACGGACTCCCCCAACTGGAAGGTGAAAGGGAATAGGGATGTGGACTTTCCAAGTGCTTCCTTACTTTGGGACCAGGGTCTGGATCCTGGGCGTGCCTTAGATGTCCTTCTTCTCTTAGGTCCTTCTCTGGCCTCAATTCCCGTCTCAAGGCCCCGCCTTCCACCTACAGTGGAGTCTTCCGCACCCAGCGCATCGACCTTTACCAGCAGGTAAAGGAGAAACCCCTGTGGCCCCAGCTCTAAATTGGAGTTGCCACCTGATTTCCTGTCCTTCCATCCCATCCCTGACCTCCCACCATGACTCACTGTTTAACACATGCCTGTCCTCTAGGCCTCCCCACCAGATGCCCTGCGCTGGATACCTAAGCCTTGGGAGCGGACAGGGCCGCCTTCTCGAGAAGGGCCCTCTAGACGGGCAGAGGAGCCTGGGTCCCGAGGGGACAAGGAGCCTGGGTTGCCCCCACCCCGCTGAGGGAGTTCCTCTTGCCCCCTACCCCCGGGGCTTGTATATAGATTATAAATATATAAGGGGGAAAGGGGTGGGGGGGAGGGGTTGTGGGGCTGGGGCCTCACTTCCCCTCCTTCCCCTTCCCCTGGTCCCTGTCCCTGGGGCTGTTTGTTAAAAAAGAGTAATAAAAGGATTTAAAAAAAAGTTCTACAGTGATTTGGGGGATGGGTTGTTGGCATTGTCTTAAAAGCATGGTGCTTAGTGATCTGTAGTTTCAGTCAGGGAAATATTCGTTCCATTCCAGAGAGCTGTTGAAACTAAAAACACAACCATCATACTGGATCTTTAAATTTTTGTGACTGAGGAATTTGGGCTGAGCTCAGCTGGATAAATCTTTTTTGTGCCAGTGAGGTCAACTGGTTATCAGTCTGCACCTGACACCTGGGCTGGTCCCAATATGGCTCCCTTTGCTATCTGGGGCCTTGGTGAGACATCTGTAACATTACTGGATTATCAACCAGCGTCTTCACATGGATTCTCCAGCAGACCTGTGAGCTCATGTTCCAAGAGGTCTAGGTGGAATCTGCTAAGCTTATGCGATGTTTAACTAGCCAGGGTAGGGGATGGGGGGTGAGAACGGACATCAACTGCATCTCAGAGAGACTAGCAAAGAATTTGCAGCCATGGGACTTTGGTCCTTTATGATGAACTAAGGGGAAATCTCTGTTAAGGCCTCAATGTTGGAGCACATTTAAGGGGCTCTTTGAATTGGATAGACCAATTGCAGCACTGTCAAACTAAGTGGGATTTCACATGGTAACATTGCATGCTAGTTATGCTAAGACTACACGTAGGTCTGCAGCTGCTCAGAAACTGATGACTGATTTGAGAGCTCTATCCTAGCATGCACCTGGAATATGCTCCCAACTCAAAATACGGGTCTTTTATTTACATATAAAGTGCTTTCGCACAAAAAAAAATCAAAACTGGTTTGTACAATTCAGCGTGCTGGGTGAACAAAAGTGTCCATATGCTCACGAGATACAAGATTTCTAGTACTCCAAGGAAGTATTAATTTAAAAAACAAGTTCACACAAGATTAAGGGACTCACACTACTTAATGGAGACAATGTAGAGAGAAAGCAGCCAGAAAAATCCGACTTTTATTTCTTAAATACTGTGAAGGGGGGAAACGGTCCCCTGATGAGGAAGGGCCATAGAGCAAAGAGCTAAGGATCATCAGCAAAGGCCCGGTGGGCATTGGGGAAGCGCTGGGGACTGTAGTTGGGGTCTTCCTGCAGTCGTTTTTGTATATCGGACCGGAGCTAAAGAGAAAAAGCAAGCAGGTTGGAGAAACACTGGCCAAGTCCCTATGATCCCAGCAAGCAAACAAGGCCATCCCTCAGAAGCTAACATTTCCCCCACCAAGCACACTGTCAAATAGCCCGGGGTGGCATTGTCAAGCCTTCCCAGATGCCAAAGGGGAAAACAAATGGTAGCACCAGGGTGACCAGTTCATCGTTGAAGGGATCCAGGGAAGAGGGACCCTAGCCCAACCCCTCCCACTAGACCATCCCTATTCTGCTTCAAGGTGGGGGCACCTGCTGCCTGTAGCTCTCCTGAACCTCTGGTGCCTCCAGGTCCCGGCTCAGGCTCTCGGGGCTCGTCAGGGGCCTAGCTCCGGCTGCCTTAGCTGCCCGGCTCACAGCCTCTGAGAGAAGCAGCTGGGGGCCCTCACCCTGCATCGTCTGGGGGACGGGGTTGGGAGGGAAAAGAGGATCAACGTCAGATCCAGTGCCACCATCCGGCTCACCCTTTCCATGAGTCAACCACTCCACTGAGTCTCCATGCTAGTGGAGAGAGGGGAAATAGAGTCCAGGATGTGGTTTTTACAGCAGAAATGCCTTCCTAATTCCCCTTGGCTCTAGCCAAAACCAAAGTGAATGTGCTTGAACGTGCTCTTCAAAATGAGAGGCAGAAGGGATCAAGCTATCTGGGATTCAGAGCTAGATAATTCACAAGAGGAAACCCAACTTAAAGGAAAATGGGATCTAAGCACATGGGGATTAGGCAGCTGAGGAACTAATACAGGACTGCTAGCAAACAGACTGTCAAGTCCTGTATGGTTATGCAACAACCAAGAGCAAGTCTGAATCCCAGAAAAGTTTCCTCATTAAAGGAGGGGAGGGGAGGGGAGACTGAGTAACAAGAGCTCCTACCATCTCTAAATAGTTTTAATTCCAGGCATGACGGGGAAACCTGGATAGAGAGAGAGGCTTAGGGAAGAGGAAAACCAACCTTGCGTCTCTTGGCAGGCATACCACTGAGGTAGGCATCACTCAGAGGGGGCTGCGGTTTCACCTTCCGCTGGCTCTGAATGTCCTGCTGGATAATAGGGACCCATTCCTGGGGAGGAAAAGATGAGAAAGTAGTAATGCCCTTGACTTTCAGCTGCCTTGACCCACTGGATCACTGGATTACTTCCTGACACTTACTGGGGGGACTGCAGCTGCCCAAGGTTCTGTCTCAGCTGAAGCTCCATCCTGTTCATCCCGGGAGCCCCCCTCAGGAGCAGGTGGTGGACCTCGGGACATGGCCTCTTCTGCTGTTGTTCCAGGGGCTGGGGAAGCATTCTCCCGCTGGGTGTCAGATGGTGGGAAGAGCCAGGCTTCAGAATTTTTAGCCTCCAAACCTTTTTTTTTTTTTTTTTGAGACAGAGTCTCGCTCTGTCGCCCAGGCTGGAGTGCAGTGGCCGAATCTCAGCTCACTGCAAGCTCCGCCTCCCGGGTTTACGCCATTCTCCTGCCTCAGCCTCCCGAGTAGCTGGGATTACAGGTGCCCACCACCTCGCCCGGCTAGTTTTTTTGTCTTTTTTTTAGTAGAGACGGGGTTTCACTGTGTTCGCCAGGATGGTCTTGATCTCCTGACCTCGTGATCTGCCCGTCTCGGCCTCCCAAAGTGCTGGGATTACAGGCTTGAGCCACCGCGCCCGGCCACCTCCAAACCTTTCTCCCCCAGCCCTCCACTCCACATTATCTGGCCCCTCAACCTCCCCCTCTCCCGAGTACCTGAGGCTCAGGGGAAGCTCTTTCTGCTCCCTGAACTTCCATTGGCTCCTCAGGAAGAGGCTGTGAAATTAAAGAACAACATATTTTGGCTGGGCACGGTGGCTCACGCCTGTAATCCCAGCACTTTGGGAGGCCGAGGCGGGCGGATCACGAGGTCAGGAGATCGAGACCATCCTGGCTAACACGATGAAACCCCATCTCTACTAAAAATAAAAAAAAAAAAATTAACCGGGCGAGGTGGTGGACGCCTGTAGTCCCAGCTACTCGGGAGGCTGAGGCAGGAGAATGGCGTGAACCCGGGAGGTGGAGCTTGCAGTGAGCCGAGATCGTGCCACTGCACTCCAGCCTGGGCAACAGAGCTAGACTCTGTCTCAATAAAAAAAAACAACAACATATTTCCTCTCAGATCTCTCCAGTTCTCTCAAGTACCCTGACCCCACTGCCCAACAGGTCCCTTACCTGGGGGGGATCACCAACCCTGCGAACGTATCTGAGAATGGCATCAGGACCTACGGGCATGTGCTCCAGTACCACCTGAAGCCTCAGTCCCATCATAGTGGTCAGCCAGCTCACCAAGGAGGGATTCACCCCGCGAGACATACGACGCTGAGGGGCAGAAAGCAGATTTAGAACATAAAACCCTCAACCACCTTTCCTAATATATTAGATCTGGGGTATAGAACATCAGTTTAGAAAACAAAAATGAAAACTGCAGAGAATGGAAACCTCAGGAAACAAAAGGCTAAGGACCTGGGGCTAGGTGGTGCTTACAATTCGGCCATTGATAACAGCAGCAAGCTCCATCTGCTGTCCCCCCAAGCAATGCAGGTTCAGGGCCAGGCATTCAAACAGGCCTTGGTTACACAACTCCAGCAACCGGGCCCCAAATCCACTATCTGTGGGCAAAACACAATGAGGGAATGCTGGCACATGGCAGCCCTGCACATCCAACAGGCCCCACTTGCCCCAGCCTGGCCAGCCACTGACCTGTGCAATGCAGCACATGAGCAGCAATGCTATTAAACTGCTCTTGGAGAAATTCCAGGTTTGTCCGGATGATGTCCACACCTGGCTGAACCTGCACCAAGGACTGAGAGACAAGATACACAAAAACAGGAATCGTAAGACTGGGAACGGAGGAGGCAGCTGCCTTGACCAGACCCAGGAGAGGAGGGGAATAGAGAAGGGTTACTCACAAAACTCTCCCGCACATACTCTTCTAGACCCGTGATCAATGTGTGGGTTGCCATCTGCGGAGGAAACAGAACAGGTTTAGTTCAAAGCCTCAGTCCTCCCAAGACTTCCACCTTGACCCCAACAAGTCCAGGGCTTGTGTGGGGGCAATTGGAGCTTTACCTGGCAGAGAAGCAGTCAGAAACAAGGAATAAAATGTGCAAAGGAGGAGAGCTCTGGGGCCCCTGGCCTTCATTTACCCGGATGTTACTGGGGGTGGGCTCCTGACCACCCAGGTAGTGTTGGTGGAAGAAGGATCGCAGCTGGGGTTGCAGCCGTTGTAGTGGCTGAAAATGCCCATGGAGAAGCATCACTACGTCCACCATAGAGAAGTTCTGGCACAGAAGAGAGAGCAGGGCCCCAAAGAATCCTGGAGGACAGGGGCAGATGTTAGCAATCGCCTTTACCACCTGGCTTGCCCACCCACAACCAGGTGTCAACCTCATCCCACCTTGGCAACACCCCTAAACCAAGGCCATCTACCTTCCTCTGGCTGCCCCTTCCTGGAGCAAGCCAAAGCACCCCCTTTTGCTCACCAAGGGCCCCATCAGCTCCAGGCTCAAAGATGTTGCTGGATCCACTGAGGCGTTGTATGAAGGCAGCAATACTTTCACTGCTGCCAGCCCGAGCCCCCAAGGAGCCCAGCAGGGAGCTCAGCACACCCTGCACCACTGAGGTAAAAAACTCCGGTGATAGGCTCTCAAGACCCAGGCCTCCAGGACTCCCTGCCCCACCAGAAGGGGAGCTTGGTGGGGGCATGGTCTGCTGCTCTGGGGCAGGTTGTGGGGGTGGAGGAGGTGGGGGTGGTGGAGGGGCTGTCTGTGTTGCCTGGCAAATAGAAAAGGAACAAAGAACAGAAGGTTGAGGTGAGAATGCAGATAGGGAAATAATACGGCATCAAGAGGGCACAAACATATGGGTCTGGGAAGATGGAGAGTTACATTCTGATCTTCACTGCTTAGAGCAGAAATATGGTAGGTATTTAACAGAGTCAGGCAGCACAACTACCTACCTCTTCCTCTGAACAGGTTGTCAGAAAGCAGTGACACTAATTACTACACTTTCTTTTTCTAAACCTCATTTTCTTCATCTTTAAAATGAAGGGTTCAGAGTCAATGAATTCCCAGGGCCCCTTCCCCCACGTGTCACTAGGGGCTTTTACCCAGTGGTTATATAATGGGAAGAAGGTACCACTGCCTGGCTGGGCCAGGAGACAGGAAGGGTGAGGTGAATGGCAAGCCAGCCACTCACCTGCAAGAAGTCAGTCATGCCCTGGAGAAAGGCAGGGACACCAGGCATCGCCACAGTGATAGTGGGAGAAGCCACACCAGGCCCTCCAGCCCCTGGTCCGGCAGGCCCTAGCAGGTTCCCCAGAAGCTGAGAGAACTGAAGATCAGCCGTGGAGGGTTGAGGGGTGGGTGGAGGCTGGGCAGGCCCCCCAGGGGCGGGGCCAGCTGTGGTAGCTGTGTTGGTGGTGCCAGCACTGGCAGAAGCAGTGGCAGGGGCTGGTGGTGGAGCCATTCCTGGAGTCCCCTGAGCTGTAAGAACCAAAAGAAAAAAGCTGGGCTGAGCATGGTGGCTCTCGGCTATAATCCTAGCAACTCTGGGAGGCCAAGGCAGGAGAACTGCTTGAGCCCAGGAATCTAGGCCACATAGCAAAACCCCATCTCTATCAAAAAACAAAAAAAGACAATTACTAGCCAGAAGCTAGTACTGCTAGCTACTCAGGAGGCTGAGGTGGGAGAACTATTTGAGCCCAGGAGTTCAAGGTTACAGTGAGCTATAACTCACTGGATTGCACCACTGCACTCCAGTCTGGGTGACAGAGCAGGACTCTGTCTCAAAAAAAAATAAAAAAGCTGGCCAGGCATGCTGGCTCAAGCCTGTAATCCCAGCACCTTGGGAGGCCGAGGCAGGTGGATCATGAGGTCAAGAGATCGGGACCGGCCGGGCGCGGTGGCTCAAGCCTGTAATCCCAGCACTTTGGGAGGCCGAGACGGGCGGATCACGAGGTCAGGAGATCGAAACCATCCTGGCTAACACGGTGAAACCCCGTCTCTATTAAGAAATACAAAAAACTAGCCGGGCGAGGTGGCGGGCGCCTGTAGTCCCAGCTACTCGGGAGGCTGAGGCCGGAGAATGGCGTGAACCCGGGAGGCAGAGCTTGCAGTGAGCTGAGATCCGGCCACTGCACTCCAGCCTGGGCGACAGAGCGAGACTCCGTCTCAAAAAAAAAAAAAAGAGATCGGGACCATCCTGGCCAACATGGTGAAACCCCGTTTCTACTAAAAATATAAAAAAATAGCTGGGTGTGGTGGCACTCACCTGTAGTCCCAGCTACTCAGGAGGCTGAGGCAGGAGAATCACTTGAACCCAGGAGGCGGAGCTTGCAGTGAGCCAAGATTGCACCACTGCACTCCAGCCTGGTGGACAGAGCGAGACTCCATCCCCCCCCAAAAAAAGAAAAACATTGAAACCTAAAGACAAACAAGACACTATAGCAGCCCTATTCCAGGAAAGCAGGAACCAATACAGAAAGAACTAGAAAGTGCCAATAAGCAGACTAGGAAAGGAATTTAAAGTCTGAGTGGGGAAGAATGAAAACTCACCCACAAGGACTGGCTGCATAAGAAGCTGCCCCACAAGGCCGCTCACCATCTGGGCCAACGAAGCATTGGTACCCAGCCCGGCGCCCTGCTGGATAGAGAGCAAGGAAGGACTTCAGACCTGCCCTTCCATGCACCACCACAGGAGTCTCTCCCTAGACTGTTACGCACTAGAACTCCCCAACCCTTGCTCACCAGTGTCCCAGAGACTGGGGGCCCTCCAGGATGAGAAGGCCGAGCCTGTGGAGGAGTGGGCCGGGCAATCACCACCCGGGTTGGAGCTGTTGGGAAGCCTGGTACCTGCTGTCCTGTGGGTGGCAGAAGAGAAGAGACCGAACAGGGCTGAGGGCCAGGCCCTTGCCAGCCAGCTGCCACCACGGACTGTGCCCCACCTCCCAAGCCTCCCCTTCCAGGTCATTACCTGCGGCCGCGGAGGCAACAGCTGCCACCATGGCCTGATGAGTGATCTGGTGGGCGACGGCGTGCATGAACTCAGGGGGCAGGGAGGGCAGCTGGATGAGGGTGGAGCCTGGGGGGCGGGTCTGATGTAACCTTGAACCTGGACCCCTTCAACCCACCCACTCAGCCCTTCCCCTTCACTACCCAGAGCTCAGCCTGCCCTGATGCCCTCACTCTTACCCAGGGTTTGGCCATGACCAGGGGGCCCCAGGGGGCCAGTGGGAGCACTCGGAACACCACCAGGCTGTGTGCCAGAATCTGGGCAGGGAGACAGAGAGAGTAGCCCTGAGGTAGGTAGGGCCAAGGCCTAACTATATCCTACTGAGATCAGGCATACTTCAGGCCCATAATCCCCCAATCAGAAAGCCTGCTTTTCCCTCCATCTAAACAGGGAGAAGGTGCTCCCTTCACCATGCAAACACATCTCCAAAAACAAAGCAACCTGTCCCCCACATCCATCTACTAAAGTTTCTGCTCTGGTCCCCAGGCTACCACCACCAGCATGGGCCTCTCCCTTCCCCACCCTGTTTCCTCACACCTCGACATGAACCTCCCTCAACATGCTGATTCTACTCTTCTCGCCAGCAACTGATCCTAACTCACCTTGAATGTTCATGTGCATCATGACCACGGGTTCCACGCTCTGGTGGGAAATCCGGATGACCCTCGGGTGGCTGGTGGCTGGCGGGGGAGCTGGACCTGGAGGGGGAGCCCCCTCAGCTGAGGACTCGACATTGGTAGAAGATGGAGCCGTGGACGAGGCCTGCCCAGGACCAGGGGGAGGTGCCTCCGCATTGGGAGTTGGGGGGGGCCGAGTCCCATTTCCTGTCATGGTCACAGTGGTTCCCACGTTGATCTGAAAAAGACAGATGGACAGGCAGAAGTGAGAAAAATACAGAAGCCTAACCAAGAAATCCTCACAATAAACCTCTGAAGTATCCCCAGCCTCCATCACCATGTTTCCAAAGTCTCCTCCTTTCCTAACCTCCTTCAGGCCCAGTAGCTACCCTGGGTCACTCTATCAACACTCCTCACTCTCCCTCAGGCCAGACTCCCCCTAACCCACCTGTATGGGAATGGCTGCCTGCTGGAGCACCATGGGGGTGGTGTAGTGAGACATAGGCCGGACTACATGCAGGTGTCGTGGGGGCGCACAGGCCAGATTGCAGCGCAGGTCAGACAGTGCAACAAAGGTGTTGCCCAGCAGTCGCAGGCTCTCCCCCACCAAGTTGATCAACCGCTGATCCTCCTCCCGGCCCTCGTGCTGCACACCCCAGCCAAACACAAAAGGGCAGAAAATATCAAGCTGGAGTCCATCTCACTAATGAAAGCAATAATGCCTTCTAAGAATACCACGTCCTCCAAAACTTTCAGTTATATCCTTATAAGTTTATATGCAGACCAAATCTTTGCAAATAAATTACATCTTATTCACATGAGAAACATCCTATTGAAACACTACAATGAATCAGTAAGTCAACATATACTGATTTCCTTTACTTTAAACCTTCTAAATTCATTCAAAGGCACAAAGGGTACAAGGACAGTGGTTACAGAAAAGATTATCACTTTCTCCGTAAGGGAGGAAAAAAATCACTTACAGGTTCAGAGGGAAATTGTTTTGTTGCAATGTGTGTGTGGTTTTGTTTGTTTTTTGAGACAGAGTCTCGCTCTGTCACCCAGGCTAGAGTGCAGTAATGAAATCTTGGCTCACTGCAACCTCCTCTTCCCGAGTTCAAGCAATTCTCCTGTCTCAGCCTCCTGAATAGCTGGGATTACAGGTGTGCACCACTACGTCCAGCTAATTTTTATACTTTCAGTAGAGATGGGGTTTCACCATGTTGGCCAAGCTGGTCTCAAACTCCCGACCTCAGGTGATCCGCCCACCTTGGCCCCCCAAAGTGCTGGAATTACAGGCATGAGCCACTGCACCCGGCCCTGTTGCAATGTTTTTCGAGGGAGGGAAAGAGTTATCTGTATTTCAGCCTGTTCTGTTTTAGGAGTACTGGGGCTAAGGAGAAAGGGCAGGGCCATCAAAGGGCTCACATTGTTATTATAGTCCGTGGTGGCAGCAGCACCCAGAACCTCGTAGTAGCGCTGCAAGAAGGGCTGGAGGCGACTCTCCAGCCGCTGGAGCTCTTGGAGCACCTCCACATACTCCGCAGGGGAAGGATGGCTGTGGACAAACCCAAGGGGCAGTGAGCCAAAACTTTCCTCAGATTCCCAACCTCACAGTCAACAGGGACCACATGTGCCCTCCTTCTCCCTGGTCTCCCAGAGCCCTGGCCCAATCCTTCTCTGGACCAGCAGAGCTTCTATTTTCAACCTCCGCCTCCTGGGTTCAAACGATTCTCCTGCCTCTGCCTCCCAAGTAGCTAGGATTAAGTCGCCTACCACCACACCCAGCTAATTTTTGTATTTTTTAGTAGAGATGGGGTTTCACCATGTTGGCCAGGCTGGTCTTGAACTCCTGACCTCAGGTGATCTACCCGCCTCGGTCTCCCAAAGTGCTGGGATTACAGGCATGAGCCACTGTGCCCGGCCAAAGCTTCTATTCTTTACTCCCACCCATGAGAGGATGGGGAGAAGAAAATGAACTTCTCCCACCCTCTCCACCACAATCCTGCACCTACAATGGTGAGAGACTAATTCTAAGAAAAAGAGCAAGCCTACGTGAACTCAGAGAAGAGAATTCTCATCAGGCTCAGGAGATACTATTTGGATTTTCTTGCCGTAGGGAGAGCAGTTCTTCTCAGCTGCCTGTCCTAGCGTCATTTACCTATACCAAGAGAGCCCCTCCTCGCCCCTCAATGGTAACCTTCAACTAAGACCTCCAAGTAATCCTTTCCCTCCCTTGCCATGGTTCATTTTCTTCTCCCCATACTTCACTTAGGATTTCCCACCCCCTAAAGATTCCCTCCATCTCTCACTTGGGTGCGTTTGTTTCCGGGGCAGGTGTTGGGCCCGCTGGGGCTGGACCAGGAGTGAGCTCCGGGTTCTGGGCTGGGGCACGCTCCTCCACTTCTTCTGCCTCCATGGGCTCCCGAGGAGGTGCTTCACTTTCAACTGGTTCTGATGTTTGAGAGCTCAAGGCTACTGGCTCCTGGGTCACAGCTGGTGGCTGCGGGGGTGGCTGACTATGCTGCGGTTGGGGTCCTCCTCGACACTGAAGGTAGGGGAGAGTCAGAATACCAAAAGCAGGATAAGACTGCTGCAGAAGATTACTCTGCAGGAGACTGGACAAAGAAAGTATCCTAACTAGACTCCCTGAAGGCATGGCTCTGCAATTGTATCTCTAACTCTCTAGCAACTAGCATAAGACTGACACAAATTAGATGCGTAATAAGCATCTGTAATTTTTTTTTTTGAGACAGTCTCTCACTCTGTTGCCCAGGCTGGAGTGTAGTAGCGCAATCTCAGCTCACTGCAACCTCCGCCTCCCAGGTTCAAGCGATTCTCTTGCCTCAGCCTTCCAAGTAGCCAGGACTACAGGTGTGTGCCACCACGCTCAGCTAATTTCTGTACTTTTAGTAGAGACAGGGTTTCACCATGTTGGCCAGGCTGGTCTCGAACTCCTGACCACAGGTTATCCCCCTGCCATGGCCACCCAAAGTGCTGGGATTACAGGGAGGAGCCACCATGCCTGGCCGCAGCATCTGTAATATTTGTAAATAACTTTCTAACAAAGAGTAGAGACTGTGGTTTCCTGTCCTCCATAAGTTGGTTTCCCAGCCTCCACAAGTTAAGAATGTGGAATCCTTTAACTGAAAAGAGATGCCATGAGACAAGTCGGAAACAAACTCCCCGGATACCAGGCAGGTATGGCAGAGGATTGGCAGAAATGAGCACGTCTCACAAAGATACTTCTTCTGCCCAGAATAATGAATACTGCAGAGAAGACTGCATTATGAAGGCCAAAGCCTGTGGATGTGGCCAGTCAAGCCCCAACCCCCAGAATGAGAGAAAACGGAGGAGGGAGGGTGGGGAGAGACTCTAGCCAACCTTGCCCACTTACCTCCATCCGGGATAGTAAGGTCTGTATATCCCTGATCATGTGTTGAGCCATCACCAGCCGTACCCGGGGCTCACTCTACAACGAGAGAAGGTTGATCAGGGTAGGTTACAGATGAAGCCATGAGTTCTACCACCTACTAAATCAGGTCCCAGCCATCTCTCAGTCAGGTCCAACCCACCTCCCAGCCTCCTTCTCCCAGATCCCCTTCCCTGACCCTCGGAGGCCCCTCAATACCTGAATCGGGGCCTGTTCCATGTTGATGTGAACATCCACAGCAGAGCCGTCACTCTGGGGAAAGGGTAAGGGAAGTTGTTCTGGGAGAAGCCAACACTAAGACCTCCACACCTCCAATTCATTCCCTGGAGCCCCGCCCTCTTTTCTCCTTAAAGACTGAGACCAATAGCACACCACAGCGCCCCCTGAACCCAATCTAAAGATGGAAGCATCTATCTTATTCCCTGTTGCTACCACAACCAAAGCTATCCACAAAACCCCTCCCCTGTGGAACATAAGCTTACAGGAAGATTGAAGGTTCCAACCATGACATAGCTGTTGGCATTCCGGTCATGAACAGAGGCCCCAGGCCCCCGAGTACCAGGCGAGGGTCCCCCACCATGAGTGGCTGAGGCAGACCCCGTCCCAGAAGATGCCCCAGAAGGGAGCTGAGTCTGAGGAGGAGCCCGTTCCACCAGGTGGATAACCTTTCCCCCAACATCTGCAGAAAAATAGACACACACCGAAACATAGTATGAACAGGTAAACCCATGGCCTCAGTTCATCCCTCCAGACAGCAGCCCCAACCTCTGAACTGCCTCCTCAGTCCCCTTACTGTATTCCTGGAGCTTCTTATCATCTTGCAGAACTCGTCCCTGGTAAATGAGCCGTTGTTTTTCAGACGGGATGCTGACAGAGGCAGCAATGTGCTCCTTAAACTCTTTTACATTCATCTGAAAGGAAGAGGAGGCATGCACAGGAATGGAAAGAATGGAAAAAAAAGGAAGAACACAGACAGACAACCAACTTGTGGAGGTGAGGTGTAAAAACTACCCCAGAATCACTACCCACTAGTCTTGACTGTGAGATAATTACTGTGCAAACCCTTAAACTAAAGTAACAGCTGTCAAAATACAGACAATAAACTTGGCTGGGCACGGTGGCTCACGCCTGTAATCCCAACACTTTGGGAGGCCAAGGCAGGCAGATCACGTGAGGTCAGGAGTGTGAGACCAGCCTGGCCAACACGGTGAAATCCCTTTTTTACTAAAAAATCCAAAAAAATTAGCCAGGCATGGTGGTGGGTGCCTGTAATCCCAGCTACTAGGGAGGCTGAGGCAAGAGAATCACTTGAACTCAGGAAGCGGAGGTTGCAGTAAGCCAAGATCGCATCACTGCACTCTAGCCTGGGGGACAGAGAGGGACTCCATCTCAAAAAATTAAATTAATAAACTAAATGAAGCTCAGGTTATAGATCCAGGAAAAATAACACGGATGAAAAACAAAAAACCACCTGGACATTATATTTTCTGTCTGGCTCCCATGGGAATTCCCAAGAGACTATGTGTCTAGAAACATCAGTGACCCCTTTCCAAACACAAAATGATACAAGTTTATTTACCAGACTCTCCTGTGATTTCGAAGATTAAAAAATGGCAAAGAAGATGGGGTCTGGAATCAGGTGAATGAAGAAAGACTAAGAAGATAAAAAAGTAGCAAAAAAGGTCCCGGCACAGTGGCTCACACCTGTAATCCCAGCACTTTGGGAGGCTGAGGCAGGTGAATCACCTGAGGTCAGGAGTTCGAGAACAGCCTAGCCAACATGGTAAAACCCTGTCTCTACCAAAAATACAAAAATTAGCCGGGCGCAGTGGTGGACATCTGTAATCCCAGATACTTGGAAGGCTGAGGCAGGAGAATCGCTTGAACCCAGGAAGCAGAGGTTGCAGGGAGCTGAGACTGCACCCCAGCCCTCCATCCTGGGCAACAAGAGCAAAATTCCACCCCAAAAAAAAAAAAAAAAGGTAGCAAAAAGAGAAATATTTTTCCTAACTAGAGACTGACTCTTGGGAAGTACCAGAGTGTTTATACACAACTAATCACAAGTCTATACATAGCTTTCTTATATCCAGGTAATATCATGTTTTAGAAAACCATGGACCACCCCACATGCAATTTGTCTCCAAGTATTACAGAAATAAAGACATAGATAGCTAGGGCCGGGTGCGGTGGCTCATGCCTATAATCCCAGCACTTTGGGAGGCCGAGGCAGGCAGATTACCTGAGGTCAGGAGTTTGAGACCAGTCTGACCAACTTGGAGAAACCCCATCTCCACTAAAAATACAAAATTAGCCGGACATGGTGGCACATGCCTGTAATCCCAGTTACTAGGGAGGCTGAGGCAGGAGAATCACTTGAACCTGGGAAGCGGAGGTTGCGGTGGGCCGAGATTGTGCTATTGCACTCCAGCCTGGGCAACAAGAGCGAAACTCCCTCTCAGGAAAAAAAAAAAAAAAAAAAAAGACATAGATAACTGTGTCCAAGGCTTTAAGCTCAAGAGACTCAAGATGTGACACCAAAATTAGTAATTTCACTCAACAGTCTATCAAGGACCTATCTCCAGTATGGGTTCTGATTTCTACCCTTTAAAAACACAGAATAAACCTGACTGCTTTCTATCAATAACACATACTTGCTTAGGGTCCCTGTGCTGTTTCCCTTCCCAAAGGCCAGAGCCATGTCTGTCCCTTTGGGCTGGGGTCCACCCGTGATGATGACACACATCTTCCTTCCTCTGTATTTCCCTCTGCATTAAGTTCTATCTATGTGAAGGACAGAACAAAATCAGCCTCACTCACAAAACATCAGAAAACGTTCGACTGGAATACGAAGGGATCAATAAAAAGAAAATCTGAGGCCAGGTATGGTGGCTCATGCCTGTAATCCCAGCACTCTGTGAGGCAGAGGAGGGCAGATCACCTGAGGTAAGGAGTTTGAGACCAGCCTGGCCAACATGGTGAAACCCCGTCTCTACTAAAAATACAAAAATTAGCTGGGTATAGTGGCACACACCTGTAATCCCAGCTACTCAGGAGGCTGAGGTAGGAGAATCGCTTGAACGTAGGAGGTGGAAGTTGCAGTGAGCCAAGATCGCGCCACTGCACTCCAGCCTGGAAGACAGAGTGAGACTCCATCTCAAAAAAAAAAAAAAAGAAAAGAAAAGAAAGAAAATCTGATCACCAAAAATCAGGCTCATCTCTCAGGCTAAGGAGCCTAAACGAGGAAAAAAAGCTAAAGGTGTCTTCCAGAACTACTGAGTTGTCTCACCTGGGCCCCCACAATAAAGGTCCGAGTTTGAGAGTCCAGCGTCTTCACCAGCACCTCCAAGCTGTCAGGCTCCTCCACAGAGGTACTGGTACTATCATTAGGCTCCATGGCCGACAGGTCTCTAAAGAAGAACGAAGGAAAGGAGGCCCGCTGTTGCCCAGCAGAGTGTACCCGGAAGACTCCCTAGCGTTAATCCCTGCCCCAATACCTAAAAAGTTTCTCCTACACACACACACACATTCACACCTGTCCCCATCCCCCCCTCTGATTCTGGGGCGCAGGGAGAGAAACACAAAAGGGCAGGAGATCGACGGCATAGGGAGCTGGAGGACGAGAGGTGGGAGGGGCTCCATGATGCCAATCACAATAAGCGTGGAGCCAGTCAAGATTAGGAAGGAAGCACGAGACCAGAGACTAGTGTCATCACCGGTCACGGCAGGACAAGCACCCCAGAGGTCGGAAAATCCTGGGACTACGCGAAAGCGGTGGTCGCGCCACACTCTGCGGGGAAAGTGGTTTCGCGCACGCGCGCCACGCCCATCGAACCCTCCTAACTCTCTAGACCCGAAACGGCACTCACGGGGCCACCGACCTGCTAGCTGACTGCCCGCGTCTCCTGCCTTCCCACGGTGTTCCAGCAGAGCAGCACAACTAACCCACAGCCAAATACAAACACACAAACACACACACACCCCCACTACCCCGCGGCTCCGCCCCCGACTTCCCCACGGACCGTCACTTCCGGTCTCCCCCAAACCTGCCACCGACGGCCACTTCCGTTTCCCGATAGTATTTGGGGATCTCGAGGCGATACTTCCGGCTCCCCCCAGGTCCCCAAGCTTTACTTTTGTGGGGCACGACGAGAAAGTCCGCAGCCCCAAACAGTGAGTTTCTGAGGGCGAGTCGGGCCGGGGCCGGCCTAGGTGGGAGGGAGCCGAGCACCCAGAGGAGCCGCCGCCGCCGTCGCCCGGGGGACCGTACTACGCCTGCGTGTGTCGCACTACGCATGCGTAGACACTTAAGCATTGCCCCCCCCCCCCGCACAACCCCCTCGGCGGCGTTCACGTCTGTGCGCGCGCTTGAGCGCTAGAAGATTGAGGTGGCTACCGTAAATGCCTGTAAAACAATCACCAACTGGGACTCTACCACTGCTTCGAGAGGGGCTATGGACGGTCGTATGGACCTTGGACTTTGGAGATGGGGGATTATGCCACATTAATCTATGTTTAAATCTTGGCAGGCTGAGAATTTCAGGCGGCACTGTCCTAGCTAGCTAAAACTCTTCTCCACCTTTTCGCCCTCGCTGCGCCCTTTCGTCTGTGCCTCCGGAAGTTACTGTTACAGTAGGCGTTTGGGGGCGGCACGGGGCGATTTTGTTCTTGGTTGGTTGGGCTAGATTTCAGTTCCGCCGGGTGGGCGTTTTGCGGGCTGTGGGCGTCACATTCGTCACCGGCGGTGTGTGGCCAAGGGGACATGACACGTTTTAGGAAAACTAAGCATGCTACTACATTGCAAGATTTTTGTCAAGAAAAGAGGCGCCTCCGAGTTTGAGAATTGGGAGCAGATGGAGTTGGAGTGGACAGAAAGACAAGACCCTGATCGTGGAGAATTTAAAGGCCGGCCAGCGTGCTTCCGAAGGCCGGGGGTGGAGGCATTACCGCCTCTCCGTGCCCTCTTAACCTGCCCTGGGACAAGGGCCTCGGCCCTGCGAAGCTTCGAGTCCTCCCGAAAGACACATCGCTGCTGGGGTGCCCAACCTTTCTGAGATTCGTAGTTTATACCCAGGTCCTGGTTATGTTTTAGTTAAGAGTTCTAATAACCATCTGTTTAATGAGCACTTGTGCCAGCCGATATACTACGGGTTTTGTGGGGGTTTTTTGTTTGTTTTGTTTTGTTTTTTTTGAGACAGAGTCTCGCTCTGTCGCCCAGGCTGGATGCAGTGGCGCGATCTCGGCAACCTCCGCCTCCCGGGTTCACGCCATTCTCCTGCCTCAGCCTCCCGAGTAGCTGGGACTACAGGCGCCCGCCACCAAGCCCGGCTAATTTTTTGTATTTTTAGTAGAGACGGGATTTCACCGTGTTAGCCAGGATGGTTTCGATCTCCTGACCTCGTGATCCGCCCGCCTCGGCCTTCCAAAACGCTGGGATTACAGGGGCAGGCCTTGTGTATTATTTTAAAAAGCCTTTTAACATAAACCTTTAACATTTTTTAGGTGAGTACACTAAGACGAACATGAATGTCAGAATTGACAAATGGAGGCCAACAGGACTCCAGATCGAGCACTTGTACTTTACTGCCCCAATAAAAAAGTGTTACATTTTAGCTTTTTTATGTATTTTTTTGAGAGAGGGTTTGGCTTTGTCGCCCAGGCTGGAGTACACTAGCTCAATCACAACTCACTGCAGCCTCTGCCTCCCAAGCCCAACCGATCCTCCCACCTCAGCCTCCCAAGTAGTAGGGACCACAGATGTGCACCACCACACTTAGCTGATTTTATTTTTATAGAGATGAGGTCTCGCTATGTTGCCCAGCCTGGTCTTTAACACTTGGCCTCAAGCAATTCTGCCACCTTGGCCTCCCACAGTGCTGGGATTACAGGTGTGAGCTACTGTGCCTAACCACATTTTAGCTTTTTATTACAAAAATTTTCAGCCGGGTGTAGTGACTCACACTTGGGAGGCTGAGGCGGGTGGATCATGAGGTCAGAAGTTCAAGACCAGCCTGGCCAAGATGGTGAAACCCCATCTCTACTAAAAATACAAAAATTAGCCTGGTGTGGTGGCGAGCACCTGTAATCCCAGCTGCTCGGGAGGCTGAGGCAGAGAATTGCTTTGAACCTGGGAGGTGGAGGTTGCAGTGAGCCGAGATCACACCACTGCACTCCAGTCTGGGCAACAGAGCAAGACTCTGTCTCCAAAAAAAAAAAAAAAATTCAAACATTACACCAAAATAAAATAGTATAATGAACTCTAATATACCAGTCACCCAAATTTTGTTTTTTTTTTGTTTTGTTTTTTGTTTTTTTTTTGAGACGGAGTCTTGCTCTGTCGCCCAGGCTGGAGTGCAGTGGCCAGATCTCAGCTCACTGCAAGCTCCGCCTCCCGGGTTTACGCCATTCTCCTGCCTCAGCCTCCGGAGTAGCTGGGACTACAGGCGCCCGCCACCTCGCCCGGCTCGTTTTTCGTATTTTTTAGTAGAGACGGGGTTTCACTGTGTTAGCCAGGATGGTCTCGATCTCCTGACCTCGTGATCCGCCCGTCTCGGCCTCCCAAAGTGCTGGGATTACAGGCTTGAGCCACCGCGCCCAGCCATTTTTGTTTGTTTTTTAACTAAATCGCAAGCCTCACCCCTCGGCAAATTTTTTGTGGCAGTCCATGGGGTATAAATTTATCAAGCTAGGTGTGGTGGCTCATGTCTGTAATCCCAACACTTTAGGAGGCCGAGGCGGGCCTGAGCTCAGGAATTTAATACCAGCCTGAGCAACATGGTGAAACTCTGTCTCTACGAAAAATTAGCTAGGCGTGATGTCGTATGCCTGTAGCTCCTACTGGGGAATCATCTGAGCCCGGGAAGTCAAGGTCACGGTGAGCCGTGATCATGCCTGGGCGACAGAGTGAGACCCTGTCTTAAAAATAAATAAGTAAATAAATAATCTGTTGAGGAAGCCCCACCTCTCACAGCATTAACTGCTCCAGTCACTTGGTGCTATTCAATGACAGCCTATTTGGCAATTCTTACTGCCTATTATTTGAGAACTTATTACCCATCAGAAACTAAGAGTTTTGCAGGCCGGGCGCGGTGGCTCACGCCTGTAATCCTAGCACTTTGGGAGGCCGAGGCGGGCGGATCACAAGGTCAGGAGATCGAGACCACGGTGAAACCCCGTCTCTACTAAAAATACAAAAAATTAGCCGGGCGCGGTTGTGGGCGCCTGTAGTCCCAGCTACTCGGGAGGCTGAGGCAGGAGAATGGCGTGAACCCGGGAGGCGGAGCTTGCAGTGAGCCGAGATCGTGCCACTGCACTCCAGCCTGGGCAACAGAGCGAGACTCCGTCTCAAAAAAAAAAAAAAAAAAAAGAGTTTTGCAAACATTACTATTAATTATAGCAAATACATACTTTGGACTTACCATGTGCAGGTCTTTGCTAAGGGCTTTATGTGCATTATTTCATTTAATCCTATAAGATTGATGATTTGCCAATTTTACAGACGAAAAAACATAGTAGTTAGGGGTTGGTGGTGTTTTGTTTGTTTGTTTGGAGACAGAGTCTCACTGTGTCGCCCAAGCTGGAGTGCAGTGGCACAATCAGGACTAACTGCAGCCTCAACATCCCAGGCTCAAGCAGTCCTCCCACCTCAGCCTCCCTAGTAGCTGGGACTACAGGCATGTACCACCACATGCTGTTAATTTTTGTATTTTTTGTAGAGACAGAGTTTTGCCACGTAGCCCAGGCTGGTGTTGAACTCCTGGGCTCAAGCCATCTGCACACCGTGGCCTCTGAAAGTGCTGAGATAACAGGCATGAGCTACCATGCCCCGCCTGTAGTTAGGGTTTGGACACATTCTGCCTGACACCAACATCTATCCTCTTTTAACAGATTACGTAGCTTCTTTGTAGTAATGAATGTTGAGTGAATGTGTCAGTGAACATTGCCAGGGTATACATATTTTTCGTTTTTTGTTTTTTGTTTTTTTTTTTTTTTTTTGAGACAGAGTCTCGCTCTGCCGCCCAGGCTGGAGTGCAGTGGCCGGATCTCAGCTCACTGCAAGCTCCGCCTCCCGGGTTCACGCCATTCTCCTGCCTCAGCCTCCCGAGTAGCTGGGACTACAGGCGCCCGCCACCTCGCCCGGCTAGTTTTTTGTATTTTTTAGTAGAGATGGGGTTTCACCGGGTTAGCCAGGATGGTCTCGATCTCCTGACCTTGTGATCCGCCCGTCTCGGCCTCCCAAAGTGCTAGGATTACAGGCTTGAGCCACCGCGCCCAGCCTCATATTTTTCTAATTATAAACTGAAGAGAGCAATCCACCGTGCCCCAGCACCTGCATCATACACCTGCATCATACCTGCTCTAAAGCACTTACCAAGTTGTATTGCAATGGTTTGTCTACACAGTTAGTTTTCCCTAGAACGACTTATTCAAGGCCAGGGGCTATGTCTTACTCATTTTTTTAATGTCCCCAGGGATTAGCTAGTTCTTGGGAAACAACTGGGACTCAAAATAGTTTGCCAAGTGAATGATTGAGAGGTCCAATCAAGCTACTACTTCCCTTCAGTGCTGCACAGTGCAGCAAATAACCAGCTCAGATATGGGTTCAAAGACCACAGGTTTCTCCTTGGACAGCTCAGCTCTCCTCATAACTCCATAGTATGGAGTGGTTGCATCTGGAAGAGGGGGAGGAAGTTCCAAATACTAAGTAATCCAGGTTTGGGTTGGAAAACAAGGTTGAAGTTACTCATTAGCAGGTGAAAGGGTCAAGGGTCGAATGCAAGGGAGCTGAAAGCAGAGTGGACTGAGCAGCCAGTAGGGGAGAGCAGTTAAGGCACACACAGCACCAGCTCCCTCCTGCCTGAAGATGTTCCACCAAATTTGGGCAGCTCTGCTCTACCTCTATGGTGTTATCCTTAACTCCATCTACCAGTGCCCTGAGCACAGTCAACTGACAACTCTGGGCATGGATGGGAAGGAGGTATGGACTGAGATTGGGGAAGCCTATGGTGGAGGCTCTGAGGGACTTGGGTGGATGGCCTAGAATGACTGGAGACCGTCTTGGGAAAGGAAGGGAGGAATGGGGTGTGAGTGTTGTGATAATGAAAGCAAGAAGAAAAATATCAGTACTGTGGCCATCAATGCAAAGGCATGGCAGAATTAGGGGGTGGGGTGATTACCCAGGTTGATTGGAGAGGGACAAAGAGGAAAAGTCATTTAATGACTCTTTGTCATGGATCCAATCCCAAGTTGGAAAGAGGAAGGCAGCCAACACCTCTACCCCTAAGTCTTGCTGTCCTGACTGATGAAGAGGTTGGACCTATCCTGTGCTGGCATCCACCCTCTTTTGCTCCCTTCGTTGTCTCTCCAGTTCCCAGAGGTCCACCTGGGCCAGTGGTACTTTATCGCAGGGGCAGCTCCCACCAAGGAGGAGTTGGCAACTTTTGACCCTGTGGACAACATTGTCTTCAACATGGCTGCTGGCTCTACCCCGATGCAGCTCAACCTTCGTGCCACCATCCGCACGTGAGTGGTGAGGAGGCAGAAGCATCACTAGGTTCAGTCTCTGCCCAAAGTGTAAGAATCCACCCACCAAGAGCTGGCCTCTTAGCTGATATATCTACTATGCTTGGCCCACAGAATTCAATGGCTGTATTAATTGCCCTCTGGAGAGAGATGTGCCTAACCAATGCTTGGTAGCTTGAAACCCAAGGAGAGCTGGGCTTCAATAAGGAGTACAATTGAGTAAATAGAAGTTGGGACAGGCTGGGCGTGGTGGTTCACACCTGTAATCCCAGCACTTTGGGAGGCCGAGACGGGCGGATCACGAGGTCAGGAGATCGAGACCATCCTGGCTAACACGGTGAAACCCCGTCTCTACTAAAAATACAAAAAATTAGTTGGGCATGGTGGCGGGCGCCTGTAGTCCCAGCTACTTGGGAGGCTGAGGCAGGAGAATGGTGTGAACCCGGGAGGCAGAGCTTGCAGTGAGCCAAGATCATGCCACTGCACTCCATCCTGGGCTACAGAGTGACACCCAGTCTCAAAAAAAAAAAAAAAAAAAAAAACCAGAGCTGGGTCACTGTGGTTGGGGTGATGCTCATTCTTTCCTCTTGCCACCACCACCTCTGCAGAAAAGATGGGCTCTGTGTGCCCCGGAAATGGATCTACCACCTGACTGAAGGGAGCACAGATCTCAGAACTGAAGGTTGGTTCTTCCCAGCCCTCACCCTCCCCAAGTCTCTTGAAGCTTGGTTCTGCATCTGTGTTCTCACACTTCTCCCACCTACCTTGACAGGCCGCCCTGACATGAAGACTGAGCTCTTTTCCAGCTCATGCCCAGGTGGAATCATGCTGAATGAGACAGGCCAGGGTTACCAGCGCTTTCTTCTCTACAGTGAGTAGGGATATAAGGCAGGAAGGGTTGGAGGGAAACAAGGGAGGGCAAGAGAACTCCTCACTCTGGATCCTATGACATCCTCCCAGGAAGAGCTAGGTGCTTCCAGGGGTTTTGACTGGCCTGGCCCCACCTTGCCCTTCCAGATCGCTCACCACATCCTCCCGAAAAGTGTGTGGAGGAATTCAAGTCCCTGACTTCCTGCCTGGATTCCAAAGCCTTCTTACCGACTCCTAGGAATCAAGGTAAGGTGTTAAAGTTTCACAAAACAGGATTAGGACTCACCAAGTCTTCTGGGGTTACAGGGTGAAAGAGGCTCGTGTGATGTCACCAGAGGGATGTGGCTAAGAGCTGTCATGTCACCTGAGGGAGGCAGGATGGGTTCTGGGCTACTTAAGAGAGGTTTCAGAGTTTGCACTGGATAAAGGGGGCAGAGGGTCATACGTGGAGGGAAAAGGCCCTTAGAGACTCCCCTTTGACACAGGGAATGAAAGAACACATTCTCCGCCACCCCATTACTATCAACTTTGCTTTTCTCCCTGGACTTCCTTTCTGTCCTCTTCTTTTTCCCTTCTCCCATCACAGAGGCCTGTGAGCTGCCCAGTAACTGACCTGTAACTTCGTCTAAGTCCCCAGATGGTACAATGGGAGCTGAGTTGTTGAAGGGAGAAGCTGGAGACTTCCAACTCCCATTCAAGATAATAAAGATGATTTTTCAATCCTCATCTCATTCTGGGGTTTGTCTCCAGACATCATTCCCACTCCTCCCATTTCAACACTCCCCCTGGATCCTCTACCACCTAAACCCCCAGGTGGACGGCGTCAGGAAGAACAGTGGCAGTAACTCTCACTTTGTAGTGGTATATTTAGGATTTGATGTGACACAGTTATTTATTGCTGAGTGAGCAAACCCCTAGTCCCCAAGTGGGGACTACAGGCTTCAGTGCTTCCCCCACACTGCCTGAACTACCAGCCCTTCTGCATTGGCCCTCCTGCCAATACTGCCTGCACTGTCCCCACTCCCTCTGGCTCCCATGATCACCAGATCCGCCCTGCAGGCTCCCTGTCACCTGTGGGGCCCTATCCAGACCCCCTAATCCACTTGCCTAGCAGTCCCTTGGTGGCTCAGATCCCAAGATCCAAGGAGTACCCTGGGTGTCCCAACCCCTCTCTTACTGCTATCCTGCTCTGGTCTCCTGCACCCCAGGAGAGTTTTGAAAGGCAGAGAGAACCCTTTGGTCTTTATTCTCCACCACCACACTTTTTTTCTTTTTTTCTTTTTTTTTTCTTGCTTTTAAAAAGTGGAGGTGGAAAAAAAAAAACTGAAGGTGGGAGAAATTTAAAAGCAAAAATAACAGCTGGTGAATCCAAGGGCAGTGCCCTCACTGTCGATAAACACAAACACCCTAAATAGCTCTGTTCTTTCCTATGTATGAAGGGGGGCCCTGCACCCTCATACTCTGGGGTTTCTTCCCCATCCCTGAGGTCCCTATGCTTACAATTTGGGTCATGCCCCACACTTTTCTCCTAAAGCCCACACTCTCTTCACCCTTTGCCCCCACACCACCCCATGGTCACAGCCCCTTTCCTGGGTCTCCCCTCTGCTCCTCACCCTCCCTCTCCAACCCCTCACTCTCCCAATCAGTGGCCTCCTCATCCCCACTGGGCTCCCGGAGGCTGACAGCCAGCACCAAGGCCTGCAGGAGACCAAAGAGGCAGGCAAAGTGCAAAGGGTGGGCAGTAAGTAGGCTCAGAACAGCATGGAGCCCATGCAGGGCAGCCAGGAAGGACAGTAGGCCATGTAGCCAGAGGCCCAGCGGTCCACGCAGGCCCAATGTGTCCAAGGCTGCCCGCAGTGGTCGTGAGCACAGGGCCAGCAGGGCAGAGGCCAGCAGCTCCAGCAGATGCAGGGTCAGGTTGGTGGAGATCTGCAGACACTCCTCTGGTCCCCCCAAGTACCGGGAGGGAGCTCCTGGTTCCCCCCGCAGCCAGCCCAACAGCTTCTCACGCCTGCCAGGTTTCTCCACTGGGGCTCCTGGCCCAGGGACGCTCATTCCCCCTTCAGGCAACACCCCTGGTCTCCTGTTGCCACCTGAATCCACATGATCCCATCCGAGTTCGGGACTGGCCCCTCCAGCCTCCAGTCTCCCAGACTCTTGAGTGCTAGAGACAGGCTGGACCCACTTGAGGGAGTCCATTCTTTTGCTCCCTAGTTGCTCAACTTGGGGCTCAGTGCTTGGTTCGGAAGCAGCCCTAGAAACCCTCAATGCCCCCGAGTCTTTGGTCTTGGGATGCCTCACATCTTCCATGGTTTCTGGGGCACTATCCCAGTCACTTCCTGAATTCTCCGAGGAGCTGTCCACCCATCGGGGTTCTGGGTCAGGTGGGTCAGGCCTCATTGGTTTCCGGCGGCCCCAAGGGCGAGGTAACCAGCCACCAAGCCGTCGCAGGAACATGGCTGGGGTGTGCAATGGGCCCCCAGATTCTGAGGCTGCTTCCTGGCACTACTCAGACTCTCAGGATCTCCTCAGAAACCAGAGTCTTTCTGGCTCAGAACAGCTATTTGCCTGGTGATGCAGTCCTACTCTGAATTCAGAAGTGGCTCCTCCCTTCTCTGAATGGTCATGCAGCCTCAAGTGTGGCAAGTGGTTTGCTTCCTCTTCAGTTTTGGGGTAAAGGGAGGCACACCCAAATTCATTCACCATCCACACCCCCACAAACAAGATTCCAAGAGTCTCAGATCTGACAAGGCCTGGGTCACCACCAGAGAGTCCTCTCTGTGTTTCCAGATTTCCTTCCCAGCAGGCATCACCCCAAGTTTCACTCACCAAGGCCACACCCCAAGGTGCCCCAGAAACTGGGGCGGCAGTGCTCCATCCAATAAAGCAGGCAGGAAGGTGGCCCCAGGTCCTAGGTGCTCCTGGATCGTGTAGTCTTTAACTGCTGCCCCAAGGGACCTCGAGGAATAGGAATTCTCTTTGTTACTAGGTGGAATGAAAGTGTCCAGCAAACTCCAGCCAGCAGCGTTCGTCCCTTGATTTAGAGGGGGATGATTTCTACAAAGTGGCCCGATTGGCCCGCGAACACGCAGCAGAGACGCGGCCTCTGCAAGGTCAGAACTAAGATGTCCTCGGAGATCCCCAGTCGCAAGGCAAAGTGCGGGCCTACTTCAGGACTCACGCGTCCGGGCGCTTTGCGCGAGGACCGCTCCCGAGCCCAGCGTCGGCGTTGCGGCCTCGGGGAGCCGCTGGGAGCCGCGGAGCCCGGAAGCAGCTGCACCGGGACGGGAAGGACCCGCGGGGGCGGTGCCGCAGCTCATGGGGCGGACCCTGCGAATCGACCGCCCCCGTATCCCCCGCGCTGTCCGTGCGCGCCAGACCACGGAGCGCCAAGCTGAGATTAGCAAGGGCCAGGACCTTTATTTAAACCCAACTCCTCATTTTCCCGAGCTTCTCATGCTCCCCTGAACTGGGTCGCCCCCCTACAGCCCCCTGCCCCTGGGTTCTTCTCCACATTCCCCACCACTCCTCCATTTCGCATCCAAACCTTCATGAAAGACTTTCCTAGAAAGGAAAAAATGAGGAGTCTTGCGACTGGAACAGCCCTCCCCTCCCCCTCTCTGCAAATTTTAATTCCTTTTCACAACAGTGAGCTCTTCTTGTGTCTGGCATGAGCAAGACAAGGGGATGGGTGGTGGGAGGGTTGGGAAGTGTGGGAAAGAGAAGTGTACACAAATAGGTGGAATGAAAAAGCTTGACTTAAAGTTTAGATTTGGAGACCAGAGTTCTGGTCCCAGTTCATCTAAGCGTAATAATCGTGGGCCTTCCTATCACACTGGCCTCTTCCAGCAAAACCCTAACCCATTCTCATCTCTAGGGGCCTTCTTTGACTTCCCTTATTACCCTGTATTTTTGATAACATGGGCTGGGAGTGGTGGCTCATGCCTGCAATCCCAGCACTTTGGGAGGCTGGGGCCGGCAGATCACCTGAGGTCGGGAGTTCCAGACCAGCCTGGCCAACATGGAGAAACCCCGTCTCTAATAAAAATACAAAATTAGCCGGGTGTGGTGGCGCATGCCTGTAGTCCCAGCTATTTGGGAGGCTGAGGCAGGAGAATCACTTTAACTTGGCGGGCGGAGGTTGTGGTGAGCCGAGATCACGCCATTGCACTTCAGCCTAGACAAGAACTAAACTCCGTCTCAAAAAAAAAGAAAAAAAAAAATTGATAACATGGCTGTTTCCCCCTTCAGCCATGAACTTTTTTGAGGGTTGGGAATGTCTTTACCTGTATTCTTGGCACATAGTATATGGACTTATGTTTGTGAAATCAGTGAATTGGCTGTAGTCAGGGAACTCCTCTTGGGGGAAGTGAGACTTGCATGGAGCTGGGCAATTCATGGTCCAGGAGGGTTGAAAGAATAGGTGGGGCACTCCCAGGAGGGGCTGGGACCTGAAAGTGAACCCAGATTGGCAGGGAGGTGACCTTATCATTGCCACCTGGAGAGGCTGCCCCTTCTGGCTCAGGTGGGACTTGCATGTGGCTCCCAGGCTTGTTTGGCTTCCTCAAAATAGCTTCCAGAAAAGTGAATAAACCACAAAAGGTTGATTTATTTATCACTCTCAGCCCGTCTCTTACAGAGTCCACTGACCAAAAACTGAGGATCTGCACCTGGGCAGATCCCAGGAAGGGGAAGTCAAAGGGCCCAGGTCAGAGGCCCAAGTTCAGACTTCAGCAGCAGACCGGGGTCAGATTTTACCAAAGTCAGAACTCAAGGTTCATGTAAGTCCTTAGATCCCGCTCCCAAGCCCTGTCTTTCTCCTCCCTCCTTCTCTCCTTCTTCCGGCTCAGCGTGGCCACCTGAGGGGCTCTCTCCCTCCCAGCCACAGCTCGGGTATCCCAAGCTGGGAAATGTGTTACTCGGGGCTGGGGTGCTGATCTGTAGCCTAGTCCCTCCTGGTCCCTCTTGAGGACAGTGGGGATGGGGTTGGCACGGCCCTCACCCCGGGGTCCCAGTCCCATTCCTGGCTCCCAGCCCCCCCTCAGTAGGAGTTTGAAGCCCGGGCTGGAGATGGGCACCCCAAGTGGAAGGCTGGAAGGCTGAGGACCCTGGGACAGTGACAGCAGGTGAGCAGTGGATGTGCGGTGGTTGGAATCTTGGAAGTGGGTGTCACAGGTCTCGCAGTACTGGAGGGAGGGAGTAGGAGACCTGCAGAAAAAGAAGAAAAAGCATTAACGGCAGGGGAAGGAAAAGGGGAAGAGTTGAGGCCTGAGAGAGGGCTGGCAGGGTAGGAGAGGATCCTTTCAGCTTTTCTGCTAAGGAACAAATTGCCGGCTAGGCATAGTGGCTCACACCTGTAATCCCAACACTTTGGGAGGCAGAGGTGGGCAGATCGCTTTGAGCTCAAGAGTTTGAGACCAGCCTGAGCAAAATGGCAAAGCCTACTTTTTTTTTTTTTTTTGAGATGGAGTCTCGCTCTGTCGCCCAGGCTGGCATGCCGTGGCCGGATCTCAGCTCAGTGCAAGCTCCGCCTCCCGGGTTCACGCCATTCTCCTGCCTCAGCCTCCCGAGTAGCTGGGACTACAGGCGCCCGCCACCTCGCCCGGCTAGTTTTTTGTATTTTTTTTAGGAGAGACAGGGTTTCACTGTGTTAGCCAGGATGGTCTCGATCTCCTGACCTCGTGATCCGCCCGTCTCGGCCTCCCAAAGTGCTGGGATTACAGGCTTGAGCCACCGTGCCCAGCCTACTTTTTTTTTTTGAGATGGAGTCTTGAATCTGCTGCCCAGGCTGGAGTGCAGTGACATGATCTTGGCTCACTCCAACCTCCACCTTAGCAATTATCCTGCCTCAGCCTCCCAAGTAGCCGGGATTACAGGCACATGCCACCATGCCAGCAAAACCTGCTTTCTACAAAAAATATGCTTGAGCCCGGGAAGTGGAAGTTGCAGTGAGCTGAAATCACGCCACTGCGCACCAGCCTGGTGACAGAGTAAAACCTTGTCTGGGGAAAAAAAAAAAGGGACAAATTGACTTCCTTCCTACTTAATAATGAGGGAATCCAGGCTGGTCCAAAGGTGGTGGTGTTATCTGAAATGACTGTTCACTCAGTTACAGATCAAACTCCTTACTCTACTTTTCCCCTCCTTCTCACTACTGGTCTTAAAAACAAATTTATTTAAACCATTGTGGGACCCAGAGCAGAAGAGTTGAAAAGAAAAAATTGTAACCAGGCCTAGCAAACTCTTGGGCAAGGGGAGGGATACTAGTGATAATGACTACAGCTAACATTCATATATTGCATACTATGCAGCATGCACTATTCTAGCATTTTACATATATTAACCCATTGAATCCTAACAACAATCCTTACTACCCCATTTCTAAGATGAGAAAACTGGAACATGTAGACATTAGGTTGTTTGCCCAAGTAAGTGAAATCAGGCTTTAAATCCAGGTAGCTCATATTCATAACCACTTGACTATACTACCTTGTCAACCTACACATGAGGATAAGGAAAGAACTCAGCACTGTGCTGGGGCCTCTGGTGTGGAGTGGCTGGGAGAGGCAGAACACAATGAGACAGGGGTCTGAGCTAAAGTTTCCCCTCACCGGTTCTCTGGGCTCCTTGTCTCTCCATGGCTTTCCCTGACCATGCGGGCCACCTCAGGAAAGCCAGCTTCTTCAGCGAGCTGAGCCGCATCCCTGCCACCCAGCTCACAGACCCCCACCCAGGCAGCCCCACGGCCCAGGAGATAGCTCACAGCTGCCCCCTGGCCCGCTCGAGCAGCGCACATCAGTGGGGTCCACCAGAAGGCATCCCGAGCATTGATATTCCCCCCAGCTCCTCCTGCCTCATGGGGCTCCAGCAGTCTCCTAAGTTCTGCCAGGTCCCCCTCCTGGGCTGCCCTCAGTATCCGGTGAGTCATCTTATCCTCAGCCTCAAGGGATCTCCCTTGTCCATATCTTCCTGATACTCCTTCTGCCACTGCTTCTGCTGCAGCTGCCCCCATGATTCTTCTTTTCTTTCTCTTTCTTTCTCTGGCAGGTTCAGTCTGAGATCTTTGGGAGTCAGGAACGCAGCTCTCATCCCCAATAAGGGCCTCATAGAAAGCTCGGGCTGCAGCTCCATCCAGGGTGGACTCTGGCTCCTCGGGCTGTGGCTGCTGCTGCCCATCCTTCCAGAGATCGCTGGGGTCAGTGGCTGGGGTGAAGGTGATGAGGAAGGGCTGGGACATGGCTTTTGGGAGAACTGAGAAAATGATACCAGGCAAGGGAAGGATGCGACAAGCAAGCCAAGCTCCTGGTGACTCTGTAGCAACCAGAGCCTCAGGGACCTGCTGGGATGAGAAAAAGTAGTCAAAAACACTTTCCTGCCGCTAAAGTGACCCCACAACTTAAGACTCTGCAGGGTCTAAGGGAGAGAGTATATGCGTAAAAACACGAAACCCTACAATACCGACTTTGCTCCTTAGTAAAGATTAATCAAACTCCATGAGACAGTCGTCCAGAGGTCCTGCGTCCGGCCCCCACCCCCATCCTTACCAACAATAAATACCAGCCTCTTTCTGAAATCACTTTCTCACCCCGTAAAACAGACATACCAGTAGGAAAAAAAAAAATCAAACCTGGCCCTTTAAGTCTTCCGTGATCCCATTTCGGAGTTTCCTCTTCCCAAACAAAAATAGACGGGTCACTCCCTAGACGATCTCGGGGAGAGGCTCCTATACGTGTTGCCGTGTAGCTTCCGTACCGCAAAATGGCGCTATTCTGATCAGCAGAGTTGACACAATCAAATAGCCACACGGCACGGAGACGCATGCGTGGCGACAACAACAACAAAAACCACCACCCACATTACTTGATGGCTCAGGCGTGCGCAAAGCTCCCGGTTCAGTTTCCCGCGCTGGAACTTTTCCAATAGTAAACGAGCAAAGCTCCGCGCGCCCAGGTGGCGCGAGCGCTAGGATCTGTCGGTTGGGGTCCTACTTTTACATAACGCCCCCACAATGCCCTTCGCCTTCCTCTACGTGGCCCCCGCTCCAAGCCCATTTTCTGGAGCTAGGAATCCACTCTCTGGGTTAGGAAAGGCCCTCAGGAGGCGGAGGGAAACCTGTGGAATGCCGAGAAGCCGTGTAATGAAATAACGTCACGCCTGCCCCTCACCATTACTCTGACCAGGGTTCGAAGGTCACACTTAGAGACTAAGGGGAAATGGAGAAGTGCAAGGGGACGAGCAGAATGGCTGGCACCACCTCAGGTTAGCGCACTGGGCCGTTCTGGTTCTCACACAGCCCAGCCCAGCCCAGCCCTCCCAACCCAAGTCCCTACGCACGGAGCCAAGCCGCACCTCTCGCCTCATGAGGCCGGAGCCCGGAGTAAAACAGAAGGCCCGTCAAGGGTCTCTGGCGGGACTGACTCGCACTAGGGGCCCAACAGGCAATAAGGACCCAGCGCATTGGCCAAGGATAGGCCAGTCCCCAGGGAAGCAGCACCGCGCCGGGACTAGAGGGCAACTGTGAGGAGAGCTGCGAGGAGGGGTCCAGCCTGGCTCCCTCCTTTCCCCGCCCTAAGTCAGCTTCTTCGCCCAGTGAGCACACAACTGTATTGCCCAGGATCCCAGGCCCCGAACGCCATACCTGGTTTCCGCTTCCGGTGGCTTCTCGTTGCGCCCCGCCCGCAAGCGTCCTCCTCCGGGGCTTCGTGACAGCCAGGTCGTGCGCGGGTCATCCTGGGATTGGTAGTTCGCTTTCCCTCACTTAGCCGGTTTCTCTCTCTACCGGGGACTCCGCGTCCCGGCATCCACCGCGGCACCTGACCCTTGGCGCTTGCGTGTTGCCCTCTTCCCCACCCTCCCCAATTTCCACTCCCCCCACCCCACTTCGCCTGCCGCGGTCGGGTCCGCGGCCTGCGCTGTAGCGGTCGCCGCCGTTCCTTCGAAGTAGCAACTTCCCTACCCCACCCCAGTCCTGGTCCCCGTCCAGCTGGTGAGTCTGAGGTCTTCGCTGCTCCTAGTCGCTTGTCGCTGGGAGCCGCACATGGGTCTCCGCACTTTGATATGGGGGCGGGGGGAGGAAGCAACCAGGTCCGGCAAGGAGGGAGAGGTGGCTTGAGGAGCGGAGGGGGGATGTGTGGAATCCGGTGAAAGGGACCTGACAGTCGCCCCCAACCCTTGAGAAAAGGAGGGGCCCGATTCTTGCTTGAGAGTGATAAACTTTGAAATCCTTGGGAAAGGCGCCGGGGTCGTGCAGAGACTTGCATTGGTACGGAGCCTGGGTCGAGGTCCCTGCCGGAGTTGACACAGAGAAGAGAGGGCCCTGGCTTTCGGGAGCTCCAGGGACGTGGGTCGGGCTGGTGGGTCAAAGTATCTGTTGGCTTCTTTCAAGTGGTGGGACCCCAAAGAATGTTTAACGTCAAAGAAAAGGGAACTGAGATGTAAATTGGAGGAGTTGGAGAGGAGTGCTTCAGAGTTTGGGATCCTTTAAGAAAGGGTGGTTCTAATGTGGGAGGAGGGAGGATACCCGAGGCAGGGAAGGAGAACTTGAGCTTTACTGACACTCTTTTTTTCAGCTGACGTGAAGATGAGCAGCTCAGAGGAGGTGTCCTGGATTTCCTGGTTCTGTGGGCTCCGTGGCAATGAATTCTTCTGTGAAGTGAGTTCTCTTCGACCTCCCTACTTGCTGGCTTCACATATCTTCCCACCAGATGTTCCTTCACGTATTCCACTTCTACACTGTTCTCTTACATACTACTTGAAAACTTCCCATCAACGAAGAGTCCCCTCAATAACCCCCGACGAACCTGTGCTAAAGTGGCAAAACTGGGGCCCAAGTTTTGACTCTGCCACCCTCCAGCAGGCAATTTGTGTCTTTTTCTTTATCTTTTTTTTGAGACTGGGTCTCACTGTGTCGCCCAGGCTGGAGTGTAGTGGTGCGATCTCGGCTCACTGCGACCTCTGCCTCCCAGGTTCAAGCGATTCTCCTGCTCCAGCCACCCAAGTAGCTGGGATTACAAGTACCCGCCACCACGCCCGGCTAATTTTTGGATTTTTAGTAGAGACAGGGTTTCACCATGTTGGCCAGGCTGGTCTCAAACTCCAGACCTCAGGTGATCTGCCCGCCTCAGCCTCCCAAAGTGCTGGGATTACAGGCATAAGCCATTGCGCCCAGCCTGTATCTTTTATTACTAAAGTTGTACTGCTAGTACATGTCTCAGCTGGCTGTTAGGAAAATTGAAATGCTACGTATTGAAATGTTTTGTTCAGAAACCATGCCGTTCAGCTTCCATCCTCCTCAGCCAGCTGAGAGGACAAAACTGGTTCCTAGAGATGGAGTACAGGAGTAGGGACAGAGATCTTGAAAAGAATGTCTAAGAAAAAGATTGCTGTACCTGCTTATCCTTAGAAAAGAAAAGCCAAAGCTTTATGGGAGGGAGTATAGGTGAACTAGGGAGAGACGCAAGTACTTCTGCTGAGTTGGGAGTGAGAAACAAGCGGAACAGATGCAGTTGTGTTGATGATAAGGCATCAGTTAGAGCATTTTGCCCAGGTCAAAGATGGGGATTTTGATATGGGTTCCCTCTTGGCTTCCATGTCCCGACAGGTGGATGAAGACTACATCCAGGACAAATTTAATCTTACTGGACTCAATGAGCAGGTTCCTCACTATCGACAAGCTCTAGACATGATCTTGGACCTGGAGCCTGGTGAGGCACCCTCAGGGTTGTTTTGTGTGTGTGCATGCACTTTTTTTCTCTTCAAATCTATATTCACTTACTTGAATTTTGAAATTTCCTTTGGTTCTCTGATTTCTTTAACCCCAAATTCATGCTTTATTTTGATCCTCCACCTGACTGTGTCTAGTTTTGTGACGTATATCACTTGTTCCCATGTTTTCTAAATCCACAATTCAGATGTTTTCCAAAATATGTTTCCTCATGGGTCTGGTTTGCTATTTCTCCTGCTTTGCACCTTCTAGTCTAGAGTTTCATCTTTTGCATTGACATTGTTGCAGTTATGTATTGAGGAGGGAGCTGGGAGGGAGAGTGGGGAGCGGAGGCTAAAGAGGTGTGAAGAGAAGACAGAGCTGTCTTGGGTTGGCGCAAGGGTCAGAAGCCCAGGTTTCTGGGTCACATGCCCAGATGTTGGATGGGGTAAGGCCCAAAAGTAGGTGCCAGGCGAACTGAATAGTCCGCACCCCCTGGATATGGGCAGGGCACCTAGGAAAGCTGAAAAACAAGTGGTTGCATTTGGCCGGGCTGTGTTTCAGATGAAGAACTGGAAGACAACCCCAACCAGAGTGACCTGATTGAGCAGGCTGCCGAGATGCTTTATGGATTGATCCACGCCCGCTACATCCTTACCAACCGTGGCATTGCCCAGATGGTGAGGCCTCTCTGCTCCTAATTGCCTCCTTCTGAGCAGTAAGGGACACAGGTTCCTGCAGCAAGAAGTCATGTTTAAGCCTTGTTTAAGGAAACTGGCTGAGAAGAAGAGAAGAACCCCAGGCTTGGGCCTGGGAATTGAATTCTGATTGGGGGTCATCCTGAAGGGATAATTTTCAGGGAGGGAGACAGTCCTTGAACAGAGAGTTGTGATAGACTGCCTCTTCCTCAGGGAACAAACAACAAATGGCTCTGATGGTTTGTAGCCTGCCTAACTGGAAGAAAGGCAACATAGGAGTTTGAGAGCCCATCTGGGCCAGAGAAGGGGCCTCTGGACAGAGGTGGGAGGAGTGGGGGACAGAGTGATATGGGTTGAGCTGAGAAGGGAGTTGCCTCTTCTCTTCACACCTACCTGCCAACCCCTTCCATTTTATTCACCTCAGTTGGAAAAGTACCAGCAGGGAGACTTTGGTTACTGTCCTCGTGTGTACTGTGAGAACCAGCCAATGCTTCCCATCGGTGAGTGTTGAAGAAGGGAAAGGAAGGCACCTTGTGGCAGTCTTACGGGAAGGAGTTAGGGCTCAGCATGTTGGGGCCTGAGTCCTGAGGGGAGGTTAAGTAGGAACAGGGAGATACCTGGCCTGCTGAGTCTGGCTGTCTCCCAGGCCTTTCAGACATCCCAGGTGAAGCCATGGTGAAGCTCTACTGCCCCAAGTGCATGGATGTGTACACACCCAAGTCATCGAGACACCATCACACGGATGGCGCCTACTTTGGCACTGGTTTCCCTCACATGCTCTTCATGGTGCATCCCGAGTACCGGCCCAAGAGACCCGCCAACCAGTTTGTGCCCAGGTAGGGAGCAGGGAGAGTCATTAAGGGTAAAAGGAAAGGCCTAAGATCCCCCAGAGAGAGGGGAGGATGGGGCATGGCCCTTTTTTGAGGCCTGCTTCTCCCAGAATCGGCATCTCCCTGCGGAGTGACTGTGGGAAAGTTATTTGATTGTCTGTGCTTCAGTTACCTTATCATAGAATGTTCTTGAGCTGAGAAGTTGGGAACCACTAGGCTTAAGCTCTGAGCAGGTCCATGGAGGAGTTCAGGTGGGGAGGTGGGAATGCAGGTGACTAGCAGGGTCTGGATGGGGCTCATGCTACTGCCTCTCTGACCTCTGCCCTGGTCCAGGCTCTACGGTTTCAAGATTCATCCGATGGCCTACCAGCTGCAGCTCCAAGCCGCCAGCAACTTCAAGAGCCCAGTCAAGACGATTCGCTGATTCCCTACCCCACCTGTCCTGCACTTCCTTTCCTTTTTGCCACCCTTTCAGGAACCCTGTATGGTTTTTAGTTTAAATTAAAGGAGTCATTATTGTGGTGGGAATATGAAATAAAGTGGAAGAAAAGGCCATGAGCTAGTCTGCTGGTGCTTGCGGTTGGGGAAGGGAAGGTGATGGTGTGTTGGACTCCAGGGGCCCTCATGGCCCAGCCCACCCTCCCCAGATTGAAAACCAGGACAGATTTGTGCTCAGTGAATTGGGTGATGTTTTTAGTATAGAGCAGAACAGAATTCCTAGGACTGTGTGTGATGAAGTGCAAGGTCAAAAGGAAAAGACAGAAAAAGCATGTTTTAAAGATGAGAAGTATTTGGATACCTATAACTGTCTGTCTATACTGTAAGGTGCTTAATCAGCAACTCCATCTTTCAGTTTTAAAGGAAAAGTAGCCCTAAAGTCAGTATAACTAAGGGTGGAATGAGGTGGGACAAGGTCCAGAATTACTGCTCAGTGATGTGTGTGTGTGCTGCCTGCTGTTGGAGCTGGGACTGCCCATCTCAGAAGGATGGGGATGCTTGATTTCCAGGCCAGGTTGTCCCAGCACAGTGGGGACTGGCCCTGTTATATGAGGAAGACAGCACATGGTGGCAGAGATAGACACTAAGCCATGGACTTTCCAAGGGAGGGAGTAGGTCTTTGGAGGGTATGCAGGACAAAGGTAGACACTGGATAAAGAACCAGATAGTGCCCAGATATTACCCCGTCTGGGCCATTGCTCCCACACTCAGGAACCAGACGTTGTGGGTGAGGACATGCTGTCCCTCCTGCCAAGTTAATAACTTCCTTCCCAACCAGGATCCTGCCCCAAGCAGGAATATAGCTCTGCATTTACAGCAGCTCCTCAGACCTTGTCAAAACCACCCTGCAACTCAGGATTAAGGAGCGTGGTCACAGGAAGGTGGGGTTTCAGGGCATCCCTCAGGAACTGCCCGTCTCCCCAGAATTCCATAATGAAGGCCCATATACTTGTAGGTGTGCTGGTCATGGTGGGCTTCACAGTGGGAAAGGGTAAGTGGGGCCCAGGGGCAGGGAGGGAGGAAGGGGTAATTGAGTTCAGGAAGGGGGTGGAACGTGGCCATGGATACTCGGGCTTCCTACTGGCCCAGGGTATCTGAGAGTGACCCAGTGCCCCATCCCTCCTTCTGCCTTCCCAGTTCCTGTTCCCGACATCCGGACCTGCCACTTCTGCCTCTTAGAAGACCCTTCTGTAGGATGCATTTCAGGCTCAGAGAAGTGTACCATCAGCAGCTCATCCCCATGCATGGTGATCACCATCTATTATGGTAAATAAGGTCCCAGGAAGGGGCTGCTGGTGGGGCAGCCAATGGCTTGATCTTCTTTCCTCTCACAGATCAGGGCTGCTCCGGGCATGGGGTACAAGAAAGGAGGGGCTGAGTGCAATGGCTCATGCCTGTAACCCTAGCACTTCGGGAGGCTGAGGCAGGTGGATCACTTAAGCTCTAGAGTTCAAGACCAGTCTAGGCAACATAGTGAGACCCTGTCTCTACAAAAAAATAACCAGGCATGGTGGTGTGCACCTATAGTGCCAGCTACTCAGCAGGCTGAGGTGGGAGATCTCTTGAACTCAGGAGGTGGAGGTTGCAATGAGCCAAGATTGTGCCACCACACTCCAGCCTGAGTGACAGAGCCAGACCCTGTCTCAAAAAAAAAAAAAAAAAAAAAGTCTTGGAAGGAGGGGTTTAAGGTTCTAGGGGGCCAGCAGAGCTCACTTTTCTAGCCTCTTGAAGGAGTCTGGGTTAGAAGTCAGTCAGGTCTGGGTGAGGGATGGGAAAAGTCCGTAGCAGGGGTTCATGGACTATGGGAAGCTATTGGAAGGGGTTATCAGCTTTCCCCTCTCCCTCAGATGTCAAGGTTCGCTTCGTCATTCGAGGCTGTGGACAATACTATTCCTACCACTGCCAAGAAAAACGCAACACCTACTTCGTAGAGTACTGGTATCAGGCCCAGTGCTGCCAGTACGATTATTGCAACTCCTGGTCAAGCCCCCAACTCCAGAGCTTCCTGCCGGAGCCCCATGACAGGCCCCTGGCCCTGCCTCTGTCTGACTCCCAGATTCGGTGGTTCTACCAGGCCCTGAACCTCTCACTACCCGTCCCCAATTTCCATGCTGGGAAGGAGCCTGATGGCCTGGACCCCGTGGTCACATTGCCCCTGAACCTGGGCTTGTCTTTTGCTGAGCTGCGCCGCATGTACTTGTTCCTCAATAGTTCAGGACTTTTGCTTCTTCCCCAGCCTGGACTCTGACACCTCACCCTTCCTGAATTCCACTCTGTGCAAGTATCTTTCTGTAACACCCTCAGCATCCTGCACTGCCCTCTCTGAAAACACCCATATTCTTTGGTCACTGTGATTTCTTAGGCCTCCCTCTGTTGTACCACTAGCATCTATATGACTTTGGTGTAATTTTCTCTCTCGAACTTTGGTGCCGTTTTTTTGTTTGTTTGAGACGGGGTCTCGCTCTGTCACCCAGGCTGGAGTGCAGTGGCATGATCTCTGCTCACTGCAACCTCCACCTCCTGGGTTCCAGCGATTCTCCTGCCTCAACCTCCTGAGTAGCTGGGACTACAGGTGTGCACCACCACGCCCAGCTAATTTTATGTATTTTTAGTGGAGACAGGGTTTGACCATGTTGGTCAGGCTGGTCTCAAACTTCTGACCTTGTAATCTGTCCGCCTTGGCCTCCCAAAGTGCTGGAATTACAGGTGTGAGCCACCGTGCCTGGCCGAGCTCTGGTGCTGTTCTTCCCCCCAGAAAAGAATCTCTAGTGTGGATTCTGCCCAGACAGGCTGACCTGGGAAAGGCACAGTGGTTCCTCCATTCCTTCCTGGGTGTTCCAGTATCCCCCATCCCCCTCAATCCAGTCACCTGCCTATTTAGATCCAGCTCTGTTTCCCATCTCTAAGACTGAACTAGCAGCAAGAAAGATGAGGAGGCCGGGCACGGTGGCTAACGCCTGTAATCCCAGCACTTTGGGAGGCTGAGGTGGGCGGATCACTTGAGGTCAGGATTTTGAGACCAGCCTGGCCAACATGGTAAAACCCGCTGTCTGTTAAAAATACAAAAATTAGCCAGGTGTGGTGGCACACGCCTGTAATCCCAGCTACTCAGGAGGCTGAGGCAGGAGAATCACTTGAACCCGCTAGGCAGAGGTTGCAGTGAGCCAAGATTGCGCCACTGCACTCCAGCCTGGGTGACACAGCAAGACTCTGTCTCCAAAAAAAAAGGATGAGGAATAGAATTCTGTGCAGACGTCCTGACTTGGCAATCTTGTGTCCCTGCCTCACTGTCTCCACCAACCCCGCCTGTCCTGGTCTTGTTCTGCCTTCTGTCCTCTCTCGTCAGTCTCTGGCCTCCTCGGCCCCATTTCACCTCACTGAGTCCTGACACCCACCTCCCTAGGGGCCTGTGGGAGGAGAGGGAAGGGTTTGTTCTGCTCAGCTCCACGTCCGCTGTTTCCCTCCACAATAAACTGGGACCGGGCTAAGACGGTGTCGCATTGTTCGTGGGGTCAGGCTAAGGTGTGGGCAGGTCAACACAGATTAAAGAGGGCGCGGTGGCTCATGCCTACAATACCAGCACTTCGGGAGGCTGAGGCAGGCGGATCACCTGAGGTTGGGAGTTTTGAGACCAGCCTGACCAGCATGGAGAAACCCCATCGCTACTAAAAATACAAAATTAGGCGTGATGGCGCATGCCTGTAATCCCAGCTACTTGGGAGGCTGAGGCAGGAGAATTGCTGGAACCTGGGAGGTGGAGGTTGCGGTGAGCTGAAATCGCACCATTGCACTCCAGACTGGGCAACAAGAGTGAAACTCTTGTCTTAAAAAAAAGGCCCGGCACGGTGGCTTGCCTGTAATCCCAGCACTTAGGGAGGCCGATGCGGATGGATCATGAGGTCAGGAGGTCGACACCAGCCTGACCAACGTGGTGAAAGTCCGTCTCTACTAAAAACAACAAAAAAAAAACATTAGCTGGGCATAGTGGCGGGTGTCTAATTCCAGCTACTCAGGAGGCTGAGGCAGGAGAATCGCTTGAACCCAGGAGGCAGAGGCTGCAGTGAGCTGAGATCATGCCACTGTACTCCAGCCTGGGCGACAGACCAAGACTCTGTCTCAAAAAAAAAAAAAAAGAAACTTTCTCTTTAAACCAGAAAGACTCAGGAACTTAGAGCCACATCCCAGAGTCACCTGCTGCTGGGGCCCTGGACTCTTGCCATTCCTTAGTTCTTTTCAAGGATTCTGGCATCCATGATGCCCTCTCGGGGGCCCAAGTTGAGGGGCAAAGTGTGAGAGCACTGATGTTGGGCTGCAGTGGTTGGATCTTCATGTTAATATTTTAATTTTGAAATAGTGCAAATGTATAGATAGCAATGATGGATACAACTCAGCTTTTTCCATACACTGGATAAACATGCTGGACATAACGCAGCTCTGAGTCAGGCTCAGTATTGAGCAGCAGGACTCCCAGATGAGTACAGCCAGGTGTCTGCCCTCCCAAGTCTTGCAGCCCAGTGCTTGGGTTATGAAACCTTTTGCTGAAAAGCAGTGCAGCTTTGTGGCTGGCAGGCCCAGTCCCAGCTCCTCTACCACTTGGGTACGTCAGTCTCTTCAGCCTCACCTTGGTCACCTGTCAGGTAGGGATAGTGCCTCAGATGATTGAGAAGGTGCATGTAAATGTGCATACGTAAGTGGAAGTTAGGGCCTTTTCCCCCTCAAAAAAAATATATTTGCTCTAGAGTCAAATGCATACACAATGTTCAGCTTTTTTTCCTAAGGTTCTTGCTATGTTGCCCAAGCTGGCCTTGAACTCCTGGGCTCCAGAGATTCTTCTGCCTCAGCCTCCAGGTAGCTGGGACTACAGATGCACACCACCGTGCTCACCTGGCTGATTTACTTATTTTCAAACCTTTTTGTTAAAACATTCAGAAGCTTGCACATATCACAAGATAGATTTTTGTAAACTACACATCTGTGTAACCAGCCACAAAATCAGCGTGAAGACATTTATCTGCAGCCAAGCCTGCCTCTGTTCCCCTCCCAGGAGCTCTTCCCAGCTCTCTGGGGGAGCTGCTGTCCTGACTGGTAGTAGTTTAGATGAGTTCTGTCTGTGCTTGATGGAAATGGTATCATAAAGCATCTACTTTTACCTACAGTGTTTTGCACACGTGTTAACAAATCTCTGTGGCCTGTACTCTGACGGAAGACACCAATGATAATTAGGTCATGAAGCAGTTGGAGTACAAAGAGAGGTACAAACCCTTAATGTGCCCCCCAACCCCCACCTTGCTAGGTCCACCCTTCTCCGTGACCTCTGACGTCAGTATAAGACACAGAAAGGCCCAGGTTTATAGCAGGTCAACTTGGAAGACACCCTCAGAGGCTGAAGAACTTGCCCCGGAATTGAAGAGACCAAGACTCCAATAGGTCTAACGTCTCTTTGAGAGTGGCCTTCTCGGCTCAAGGGGGTGACTCACGCCTGTAATCCCAGCCCTTTGGGAGGCCAAGGCAGGCAGATCACTTGAAGTCAGGAGTTGGAGACCAGCCTTGCCAACATGGTGAAAACCCGTCTCTACTAATAAAATACAAAAATTAGCTGGACGTGGTGGCATGTGCTTGTAATCCCAGCTACTCGGGAGGCAGAGGCAGAAGAATCGCTTGAACCTGGGAGGCAGAGGTTGCAATGAGCCAAGATCACACCACTGCACTCCAGCCTGGGCGACAGACTCTGTCTCAAAAAAAAAGAGTGGCCTTCTCGCCCACCTCCTCCTACCTTAGCCTGGTCCTTTTGCAGCCCCCCTCCCACCAACATAGCCCTCTAAACCCCTCCAGCCCCTACACAGCTCCGGTCTGACAGCACTGCCGAGGATACCCACTAACTTTCTGGCGTTCACCATAGGAGGGCTTTCATTTCCTTTTCCCCTTTTTGTGTCTAGAACGAATCACATACCAAGGCAGGACAGGAGCAGACCTCAGCAGAGCTGGGGGCCCCTTACCTGCCCCATGGTAGGGCAGTCAGGCAGGTGCACCTCCCTCAGCCTTTACCTCCACCAGAAGAAAGAGACATACTAAACAGTTTGCGCACAAATTTATTTGGGAGAAACATCCAGGGACTAAGGACAAGAGAGGAAACCTGGTGGGCGGTGGGGCTGGGGGTGCAGAGTGGGAGTAAGGGTGCTGAAGGGTGCCAACCAAGAGGAAGAGCCAAGGCTGGGGTCCACTGACTGGAGGGAGCCAAGGAGGGCTGGTATGAGGGACTAGAAGTCCTGGCCAAGCCCAGAAAGAAGTCAGGAAGGTGGCTGGAAACTGGTAGAATTTTACACCAAAGGTTGTTGCAGTCACACTAAGAAATATAGTGCCCTCTGTGTTGAGGGTCATTGCAGAAATCCAGGAAGCAGCATTGAGAGAATATCCAGAAGCCAGACACCGGAGAAGTTTGGGTATGTGAACAATCACTCATCTGCTCCTTACTTCGGCAGTCACTCACCATGACGTCAGAATTGCTGCCTGGGGAGGGACCACAGGCACCAGTGATACGGAAGTCCCCAGGAGGAGCCCCAAATCCTCTCATCCCCTCACTCATAAGTCAAAAAAAGAAAAAGAAAAGATTCCTGTGGTTAGGCATGGGTGGACATGCCCAGTGTTCACCAGCCATGGAACTCCACTGAAGTTCCCATGCAACGCTGGAGGAAAAGAAATGGTTGGAGGGGGAGTTGGGAGTTACTGAGCCAAGTGGGGAGAACTAGCACCATAGGACCATGTGAGAAAAAGCTGGGAAATGTTTTGGAGATTGGGTGGCAGGAAGGAGGTGTTCTGTCATTTATTTTTCAGATCAAAAGTAAGAGAATAAGATGATGTCTGCTGCTGTTATATGTAACAGGGAAAAATCTTTGTGCCTGCATCCCAAGAAGTCATGTACAGGGATGTTTGCTGCTGCCCTGCTTGAGAGAAATGACCGAAATGCCCATTAATAGTGGGATGGGGAAATCAGCTGTGATATGCCCATGCTATGGAGTAGTACACCGCAGGTCAATAAAACAAAGAAGCTGTTCACAAACTGATATTGGAACATTCAATTCCCCTAACTGTTAAGTGCAGAATAATGTTTACAGTGGGATGCTACTATCTTGCTGGGGGGGAGAAAAAGAGGTGAAAAAATAGTAAACAGCATACTTGTGCAGGGTGGAATGTGCATAAAAGATTGCAGGAGGGATCATCCACAAAGTAAAAAAAAGTGGTTACGTGTGCAGGGGAGCCAGGTGGGTTAGGGTAGCAGCGGGAGACTTTGGTTTGACAGTACTTTATACTCTGATATTTGACGCATGTCTGTGCATCGGCTATGTTAAAAGGGTAATGAGAGGATTTGAATACAGGCTGCTGCATGCAGTGGTTGTTGACAGCACCATCTCTGGAGCCATCACAAATTCTGGCTCAGCATCTGTGAGACTCAAGCAAGGTTATGACCTTTCTGCACCTCAGTTTCCTCATCTGTAAAATGCGGATAGTAGTAATACCTGCCTCAGCGGATTGCAAGTGTTTAGAATAGTGCCTAGCACATATTATGGTTATGTTTTTGCTAACTTATGGAAGGTGGGGGGGTCGGTGGAAGAGCAGGCATCAGGAAGGAGTCAGTTTTCAGCGAGGGAGATGTCCAATGGCCAACAGGATATGAGAATAGTTTGACATAATATTCAGATTCAGAAGGAAGTGGTATGTGGCTGCTGGTTGAAGCCAGCAAAGCAGATAAAATCCTCTGAGTATATGAAGTGGGAACACAGCTAAGGACCAAACCTTGGTGAACATGAACCACTAAGGGTCAGAGAGAAAACACTCCATGAAGGAGACTGAAGAAGCAGTGGAGGATGCAGGAGAAGAGCAACGCCAGCAGTAACGGCACACAGATGGGGAAGCAGGCAGCTTGAGGACAGGCAAGGGCACGTGGAGATCTGGAGGGTCCCCATCAAAGCTGCACACCTTGAAAGGGTGGAAGCTATTCAGCTACAGATTGAGGAGAGAAAGTAGTGGAAGTGGAGACAGAGTGTGGCTCTGAAGAAAAGGAAAGAGAGGCTGGGCGCGGTGGCTCATGCCTGTAATTCCAGCACTTTGGGAAGCCGAGGTCAGTGGATCACCTGAGGTCAGGAGTTTGAGACCAGCCTGGCCAACATGGTGGATCCCTATCTCTACTAAAAATACAAAAAATTAGCTGTGCGTGGTGGCGTGCACCTTTAATCCCAGCTGCTTGGGAGACTGAGGCACAAGAATTGCTTGAACTGGGGAGGTGGACATTGTAGTGAGCCAAGATTGCGACACTGCACTCCAGCCTGGGTGACAGAGCAGCAAAAATAATAATAATAATAATAAAAAGACAGGATTACAGCAGTGTCCTATGGGATTATGGGAAGAAGACTTGGGGTGCAGCTTAGGAGGCTGAGAGAGTTTCAGTTTGGGAGAGTGCTGGGCCCACGACAGGAGAAGGTCACTTACCGTTCTTTATGTGGAGAGTGATGCAGCTGCTGCCAGCCGGGGTGAGGCAGGTGTCAGATCCCAGAAGGCACCCTAACTCCTTGGTCTCCAAGAGGCATCGGTAGCAGCGCAGGTATTTGGGGACTGGAAGTGGTTGAGGGCGTTCCCAATTGACAGGAACAAACTTACCTAGAACACAGAGAAGTGCTGACCCCACTCACACCCCATTCTCCCTCACACCCCACCACTGTCTGATTGCAGGCCACTCAACCCCACTGCTCCCTCCCTTCCTATCTCAGAAAACCATCAAAGCCCCAATTCTCTGCTTCCTTCCCCAACTGCATACACATACATCCCCCTTTTCCTCTGGTCCTAAGGCCAGGCCACACGTTAACAAGTCCCCGGACCCAGCAGAGCATTTGGTGTGAGGCAGAGGAAAGTGCTAAACGAACACTTTGAATCCTGTGTCTCTGTGGCTGGTGCTTTGCAGCCAAGTGGGGAGCCCAGCAGGCTGGACTCAGTCTTGTTCTATCCTGTGGATTCTAGTTCTGTCATCCAGCACACTCCCTAAACCTCCCTATTCCATGTTGCCCTCAGATCTGGAGAAGATTCCTTCAGTATCTCTATTCAGGTCACTGCTGTGAAGTGAGACAGCCCTGGGGTGGTCACTAGAAATCTTCAGAGGCCGGGTGTGGTGGCTCATGCCTGTAACCCCAGCACTTTGGGAGGCTGAGGTGGGCAGATACCTGAGGTCAGGAGTTCAAGACCAGCCTGGCCAACATGGCAAAACCCTGTCTCTACTAAAAATACAAAAATTAGCTGGGCATGGTGGCTCGTGCCTGTAATCTCAGTTACTCGGGAGGCTGAGGCATGAGAATTGCTTGAACCCGGGAGGCGGAGGTTGCAGTGAGCCGAGATCTCACCACTGTACTCCAGCCTGGGAGACAGAGCAAGACTCCATCTCAATAAATAAATAAATAAATAAATAAATCTTCAGATTGCGTATCAGTCCATGAGCAGGCATTCCCCACCAAACCCATCCATTCCATCTCTCCTCCTGCATGGGTTTACCTGAGCATCCTGGACAAATGTACCCAGACGCTTGGTGTCTGTGGGTTTCTCCATCCAGCAGGCCAGGAGACCCTTCTGAACCCTTGGAACCACTTACCAAACACCAAGCTCATCATGACCAGCACCATTAAGAGGACGGTGTACAGGGCTTGGAGGCTGCTGTGGAAGCACATGGGACCCGGATTCTGGCTCCCTGCAGGGCCTGCCATAAAACGCATGACTGCCTGTTGGCCTCCAGTTTGGGCTTATATTGGTGGAAGAGAGGTTGGCCAAGAGGAAGGAGAGAGGCAACACCAACTCAGGGTGGAAATCAGTGCCAGACCAGCCAGAGGGGCAGAATGTTCTCACCCACAGCCACTCTGGGGCATAACATCCTGCTTGAGGGCAGGGGTCCAGCAATAGGGGAATGAGAAAGGGAACTTTATTTCCTATTAATTGGACAGATGTTTATTGAATCACTGCATCAGGTCTTGGGGATACAACCGTGCACAAAGTCTCCACCCTCACAGGGCACAGTCTAGTAGGGGAGACAAGTCAATCGTCAATGATGTAGGGAGGGCAGAGTGCTGCCAGGAGCACCTCGACAGTTAAACCACTGACCTGAGGGATTTCGGCAGAGGAGTAACCTGATCCGATTTCTGTTTGTAAAAGATTGCCATGGCTGCACATTGCATTTGGGTCAAGAGTGGAGGCCGCCGGGAAGTCGCACGCTATTCCCAAGTCCGGTCACAAGATGGCGGACTGGTCCAGCAGAAGATGGGCAGGGACGAGGAGGCGGGGCTACTGAACCTGAGATACATTTAGAAGACTGGACAGATTTGCTGTTGGACTGAACGAGGGATGAGGGAACTGGGGTAGGCTTGCACAAAGAAGTGGTACCATTTTCCAAGATAGGAAACGTGGTCCGTCTCAAAAAAAAAAGAAAAAAAGCAAACAAAAAAACACACCAGAAAATAGGGGGTGCCCAGTCCCACTTCTCATACCCTGGGGACACCTGCCAGACATCCCAAAACGAGGACACCTGGATCCCAAGCGATACGTACTCAGCTCAGTGTCCCCTTGGGGTTCCGGGAACCCAGCGCCTTCCCCCACCTCATCCTTTTTCCTGCCCCGCCTAAGTTCAGCTGCGGCTCAGTGGGCCTGATCTCCGGCGCCCACAGAATCTGGCGCTGCGCGTTCGCTCTCCGCGCCTGACAGCACCTCAGAGCTCCGGTAGGACGCGGGGGTGGCCCCCTGCTCAAGTTCTGTTCCCAGGGGAAGAAACCTGGTAAGTGCGAACCGCAGGTCGGGACCCAAACGTCTGGCCCCAGCGGACATCCAGAGCCTGAGGCGGCTCCCCAGAAAGGCGGCGCCGTAGCGCCACCCCACCTCCCAGGCGAATTCTGGAGACCGCGGCACGAGGCGTCTCACCCGTTTACTCCGCTGGGGACCCGCTGGGCTTCCCAACCTCGCCTATTCGGTCCCCACCCCGCCAGCTCAGTCTTGACTCAGAAACTCCGTGTTTTTACTTTTAGGATCGTTTGGCTGTGGGTTAGGGGCGGAGAGCGTCCTCAGCGTCCGGGAACGACACCACTTGCTCCAATTTCCCGTCTGGAGGTTCTGGTCGGTCGAGGCTCCGAACTCGGGTTCCCTGCTACCTCCCAGACTATCCAAGAACTATCCAGTCTCAGGATGATAACAGGGAAGATGGGAAGAAACAGACGGGAGAGGCCCTCCCAAAAAGACTGAGGGAAGAAAGAAATATGAGAGGCAACAGGGACGCCACTGAGCACTCCCCAAGAGCCTTCGAATGAATAAATTTAAAAACTGTATTACAGCCGGACTGCGGTGGCTCACGCCTATAATCCCAGCACTTTAGGAGGCCGAGGTGGGTGGATCACCTGAGGTCAGGATTTCGCGACCAGCCTGGCTAACATGGTGAAACCCCGTTTCTACTACAAATACAAAAAATTAGCCGGGCGTGGTGGCGCGCACCGGCAGGAGAATCGCTTGAACACGGGAGGCGGAGGTTGCAGTGAGCCGAGATCACGTCATTGCACTCCAACTTGGGCAACAAGAATGAAACTCCGTCTCAAAAAAACAAAAATAACAACAACAACAAACTGTATTAGGCTGGGCGCAGTGGCTTACACTGGGCCCAGTGGCTCACAACTGTAACCCCATTACCTTGGGAGGCCAAGGAGGGAGGATCTCTTGAGCCCAAAAGTTGGAGACCAGTCTGGGCAACATAGCGAGAACCCATCCCTACAAGAAAAAGTAGAAAACAGGCCGGGCGCGGTGGCTCAAGCCTGTAATCCCAGCACTTTGGGAGGCCGAGATGGGCGGATCACGAGGTCAGGAGATCGAGACCATCCTGGCTAACACGGTGAAACCCCGTCTCTACTAAGAAATACAAAAAATAGCCGGGCGAGGTGGCAGCGCCTGTAGTCCCAGCTACTCGGGAGGCTGAGGCCGGAGAATGGCGTGAACCCGGGAGGCGGAGCTTGCAGTGAGCTGAGATCCGGCCACTGCACTCCAGCCTGGGCTACAGAGCGAGACTCCCTCTCAAAAAAAAAAAAAAAAAAAAAAAAAAAAAAGTAGAAAACAATTAGCAGGGCGTGGCGGCGTGTGCCTTTAGTCCCAGCTACTCGGGAGGCTGAGGTTGAGGTGGGAGGATCGCTTGAACCCAGGAGGTCGAGGCTGCAGTGATCGCGCCACTGCTGTCTCAAATAACAACAATGATAATACTTTAAAAATAAAATAAATTGGCCTGGCCCGGTGGCTCATGCCTGTAATCCCAGCACTTTGGGAGGCCGAGGTGGGGGGATCATTCGAAGTCAGGAGTTTGCAACCAGCCTGAGCAACACGGTGAAACCCCGTCTCTACCAAAAATACAAAAACATTAGCCAGGTGTGGTGGCACCCTCCTGTAATCCCAGCTACTCGGGAGGCTGAGGCAGGAGAATCGCTTGAACCCGGGAGGAGGAGGTTGCAGTGAGCCGAGTTCGCGCCATTGCACTCCAGCCTGGTTAGGGGAATGGAGCGAGGCAAATGAGGGGCGGGGCTGCAGATGACCCGGCCGGGAGAGGGCCTTGGTCTGTTCCGGGAGCGGATCGACACTGCGTCCTAGAGAGGAACCAGAGAGAGGGTCTTTAACCTAAATATAAAGACGGAGCAAGACTCCGCCTCAAAAAAAAAAAAACAAAATAAATAATAAAAAGAATCAGAGAGCCAAGGCTCCTCTTGAAGCGAAGAGGGCAAAGGGCAAAGGGGAAGCTCAGGGGAACCTCATGGCGCCCTCTGAAGCTCCCTCTCGAATATAATCGCAACGAAAAGGTCAACGACTAGAGGCTTTGCGAGGCTGAGGCTGGGCTTCCGGAGGGGATCACCCTGAGAGGTCCGGGAGGACTTCTGTGGAATCAAGCGACCGTGGGCCTTGAAGGAACAGGGGGGCAAGACACTCCCTCACTATTCGCGGAGTATTTCCTTGAATTAGTACTTCGAGGAGGGGTGAGACCGGGACAGGGTGGGGCCTTCTTAGGAGGGGGCGCGGCCTCTGAGGAATTAATCCCGTTTTGGTTGCGTTTTGCTCCTCCCCTGTCGACGGGGCAGGGCCAGCCCAATGCGTGCTAGGAGTCCGGAGAGTTCGTTTCCATGGTGACGGGTTCCGCTAAGGTTTTCCTGGGGTGAAGAGGCAGGGCGTTGAAATAGTCGCCATGGCAACAGCAGCAGAGGACAGTATCCTTGCTGAGTGCTCCTACCTAGAGTTAAGGTAAGCAACCGAGTGACGAAACAAAGAAGGCGGGGCCTGACGACAGAACGCCAAGGTTAGGGGAATGGAGCGAGGCAAATGAGGGGCGGGGCTGTAGATGACCCGGCCAGGAGACGGCCTTGGTCTGCTCCGGGAGCGGCTCGAGACTGCGTTCTAGAGAGGAACCAGAGAGAGGGTCTTTAACCTAAATATAAATGAATGACTGGATTCCTGAGGAATCCGGTATGGCTTGATTGGATGGATGGATGGATGGATGGATGGATGGATGGACGGACGGACGGATGGGTGGACGGAAATCTGGCTATCGCTGACGCCTGAGCTCCCCACCCTCTCGAGCCCTCCACCTCCGGAGCCCTCACTCGCTTGTGACAGTCGTGCGAGAAACACATGCCTCTCCTAGGAGCAAACCCTCAACCCAAGCAGGCAGCCCAGAGCCAGTCCAGCACCTCATACTGGAGGCATTCAGGGTGGAGCTTAGGTCAATGAGACGGCATAGGATGAGGCTTTTTGTTCCAGCCGGGAGCCACTTCTTCACAGGCTGCCCGTCCAGGGTGTAACTTTCCTTTCTCCCAGCGCCATTTTCTCTCCTAGTTTGCCCAGCTCCTCAGGGTGCCTGGACTTTCAGGCCTCACCCTGTGTCCAGTATAGAAGGGTCCAGCGCCCCAGCAACTGTGGGCGTCTGCATCTCTGCTGATCATCCCCTGGAACTGCCGGAACTTTGCTGTATAGGGTGAAGAGCGGACAGGGGCCTGGTCCCACCTCTGGGTGGGGATTGGTTCTGAAAACAAACACAGCTGCTCTGAACCTTATTGCATAACGAGTAATCTGAAGTAGGCTGAGGCCCCTGGGTGGGGGGTTCAGAATTCACATGTTGAGCCTCCCTTTCCCTACCCAATTTCTGGTATCTAAGGGCCCCTCAGGGCATCCACTGTTCTCTACAATTACACGCAGGAAGATGGGGGAAAGTGGCAGTAGGGGCAGTTCAGCAGAGTCCCTAATGGACATGTCCAGAGAGGGGTGTCCTTTGTCCCCAGGGTAAGGGAGGTGAGACTGGGCACCCTTTTGGGTTTTTTTTTTTTTTTTTTTTTTTGGAGACAGAGTCTCACTCTGTCACCTAAGCTGGAGTCCAGTGGCACTATCACAGGTCACTTCAGCCTCAACCTACTGTGATCTTCAACCAAGCGATCCTCTTACCTCAGCCTCCAGAGTATCTGGGACCACGGGTGCATGCCACCATGCCTGGCTAATTTTTTAATTTTTTGTAGCGATGGAGTCTCCCATGTTGCCCTGTCTAGTCTTGAACTTTTAGGCTCAAGTGATCCTCCTGCCCCAGCCTCCCAAAGTGCCGGGATTACAGATGTGAGCCACCATGCCCAGCTCCTGTTTGCATTTAAGGAGCTTCCCTTAGCTGAACAAAAATTTGGTTTCCAGGGGATTAACTGTTTTGTTGGATCTGGGAGGGCGGGATTCAGAACTGTGCAGCTGGCTCCAGAACTTCATGTTCCACACTTCCCATCATTTGCCCCCTGGAATGGGACAGAGGAGAGGGCACCAGTATCAGCTGTCCACCTGTTTGCTAATGGTGGAGCATTATGGAGCTGTGGTCACCTCCCTCTTCTAACTCCAAATTTCAGGCATCACATCACCTGATTAAGTCTCAGATCTCTACTTCCAGTGGAGACTCAGTATACTTTCCCTTAAGGAGTTGCAGTGCTAATGGGGGCACACACAGCCTCTGCCCTGGGGGTTACAGATGAGCTTCATGCACTGGGTTTGGAGAAGACACAGAAATTTAGCCAGAGACTCTATCTAGGACATCAGAACATTGTTGCCCATGTTAAGCATCTTGCTCAAAACAATGGACTTGGCTGAGGCAGGTGGATTGCCTGAGCTCAGGAGTTTGAGACCAGCCTGGGCAACATGGTGAAACCTCTACTAAAATACGAAAAATTAGCTGTGCGTGGTGGCGCACACCTGTAATCCCAGATGCTTAGGAGGCTGAGACAGGAGAATCGCTTGAACTTGGGAGACAGAGGTTGCAATGAGCCGAGATCGTGCCACTGCACTCCAGCCTGGGCGACAGAGAATCCATCTCAAAAAACAAACAAAAAACCACCCCCAACAAAACAAAACAAAACCACAATGGACTCAGGGTTATAAGCCTTGGGGTCTTTCATCTGGAAAAGAGAAGTTTCCAAATGAAAAAGTGGCCATCGGCCAGGCGCAGTGGCTCACGCCTGTAATCCCAGCACTTCGGGAGGCCGAGGCGGGCGGATCACCTGAGGTCAGGAGTTTGAGACCAGCCTGGCCAACATGGTGAAACCTCATCTTTACTAAATATACAAAAATTAGACAGGCATGGTGGCGCATGCCTGTAATCCCAGCTACTACTAGTGGGGCTGAGGCAGGAAGATCGCTTGAACCTGGGAGGCGGAGGTTGCAGTGAGCTGAGATTGTGCCACTGCACTCCAGCCTGGCCAACAGAGTGAGACTCCGTCTCAAAAAAAAAAAAAAAAAACAGGCAACAAACCAGTGGAAGAGGGACTCATTCATTGTGTTCCACAAGGTCCAAAGATTAGAGATAGATGAAAGTTATGGGGAGCCAATGTCCTCAGGTACAGCCTAAGCTGCTTTTTCTAACAGAGCTGTCCAAAAGGCAAAATATGGCTCTGAGAAGACATGAGTCCTTGGCACCTGGCCCTCAGGCCCTGGCAGGGCCTGTGTTTGCTGAACTGCAAAAAGGCTATGAGGACAGAGACTTGATGACATGGCAAGGTGGGTGTGCAGGGTTTGCTGCGTAAGACATGGGGAGCAGGCCCTTCCTTACTCCTCACGAGGAAAACAAGAGGTGAGCAAGGAAAATTAGGGGCACTGCTAGTAACATCATGCAGGTTGAACCTGGAAACCAATAGAAGCACTGGGTAGGTGAAATTGGATCCTAGAAAGCTCACGAGCCATAAGCAGGAGGGGGCAACCATAGGCTCCTGGGGTGGTTGTATGCAGGAAGAACTGAGGAAGGAGGTGGGATGGGCCAGGGAGGCTGCACAGTTGTGGTAACAGTAGGCACACCAGGGAAGGGGGAGGTTTGGGGACCCGCTGCCTGAAGATAGCTCAGGTTAGGGGCTGAAGGCCTGCGAGGACACAGAGATGGGAAGGGTTAGATGAGCTGTCTAGGGTTAGGGTTTCCCAAAGCCTCTTTGGGGCCTCTGCTCTCCTCATTACCTGCCTCTGGCTCCCCGGACACTTGAGAAGTTATATAATTAGCCAGATAGTAGAAAAAATACCTTTTTATTATTAGGAATAATTCATTCATGTAATGCAAGATGTATGTTGGAGAAGGTTAAGTATAGCCACATGAATGAGGGGAAACGAGCAAGAGGAACAGTGGTGAGAAGGGGGATGGTCCCCCACTTTCCACAAACTATAAACAGCAACATGAACACAGAGAATCACAAATAAGGGAGTCTTTCCTCATGTCTCCTCTCACCCCATTCTTCCATAATGAGTCCCAGTGTGGTCCCTAGAGGTGCCAGGGCATCTGGAAGTTCTGGGCTGGGAGTGGGGTACAGTGAGTGGCCTCAAAGTTGTGCAGATGCTTCCGAGCCTGAGGAAAGGAGGTGGGACAGGTGGGGTACAGAGCACTGTAGGGAGGGGCAACCACTGGACTCCTTCCCCACCCTTCGCCTCTGCACCCACCACCCACTCTACAAAAGCTGCCACTTCCAATGCTTATAGGGTATTCCCAGTCCCCCTATGTGAGCCCTGGCCATTCAAGAACCCTTCCCACTTCCCACTCAGCTCACCAGAAACAAAGCCAGCTGCCGCCGTCCATCTGCACTCATGTCCTCCCCTGCCGAGAGGAGGTGCTCAAAACAGGCCACACATGTGGGTATTCATCCCGTTCCTAGGCTCTTCCCACCCCCTTTCCTGCCCCAGGAGCTCCTTACCCACGCTCCAGGGGAAGTCAGGCCCGTGTTCTGCCTGGTAGGAGCGGAGGACAGACAGACACCAGTCCTCTTCCACCTCCCATCGGCTGTAAATTGAGGCTGGTCAGGAAGAGAGATGACAGCCAGTCAGCAACCTGACCTTGCTGGGCCCCCGCCCCAAGCCTCACTGGATCCCTTCTCACCTTCCTCCAGCTGTGAGGAGGCCTCCAACCACTGCCTCACCACTTGAAGACCCTCCTCTGCCATCACCCGGGGATACCTACAGAGGAAGCGCCGGGACAGGTCAGGGCTGATTTTTTTCATTCACCATTCCTGAGCCTTTCTCCCTCCTTCCCTATGCTGGTGTCGGTATCTGTGCGTGTACACTGCTCCCAGCACGCACACACCCTGGCTCTCACCGATGCTGCAGGAGCTTCAGCAGGAGGTCATTGCCTCGGTTGGACATGATGTCCTCAGGAACCCTAGGGGTGAGAAGAATGTACCCTGGAGGGGCTGGAGGTTAGGAGGAAAGGTCTAGATACCCGGGTTTCTGGTGAGCAGAGGTGGGAGGGGAAAATTCCTGGCCATCTCTGGGATTGGCGAGGGCCGACCTTCCGAAGCACTCACGTGGTAGTGATGATCTCATCCTTGGTTCTCCGGATCAGCAGTACAGGACCCAGGTATCTTCAGAGAACAGAGCAGTGGGAAGGGAGAGCTCAGAGGGAGACAGGTGACAACTGGCCCACCCCCATCCCCACACTGGAAGCATTCTTATCCCCTGCTACAGCACAGTCTGTGACCAAGCCCTTCACTCAGGGATGAGAGGGAATATTTAAGAATGGGCATGGTTCAGTCTGGCCCTGCTGGGAGACCCCTGCTGTACCAGGCCTTAACCCTTTGGTTACCAGATCCTGAGGTGGTCCAGAGTCCCAGGGGACCTGGGAGGGCCAGTTGAGGCCAGTTGAGGTGGTGGCAGGGTCACTTGGGATGTGATCCAGTGGCCTTTTACCAACTTGCACTTTAGTACTGGTTTCAGCGTTTAAGTGCCCAGCAGAGCTGTTTAGGGGGCAGGTGTTCGATGCTGGATGCTGGCCGGCGCTCACCTGCACAGCTGCTCCGCATTGTTTAGATTGAGATGCTGCCTCACGGTCCTGGTCACCAGGCCCCCTAGAGTGGGATAAAGGTGAAGGGATGGCAGAGACAAAGCCTTTGCCCAACATAAAGGTCCTCACTGTTCATGGAGAAAGAAAACTGAGGCCCCCAGACAAAGGAGTCCTCCTGCTTCCAACAATGGGGTGACTTACACCACACCCAAGGAAAAGGGGGCCATCTCAGTTAGAACAGTTCCCAGTTCCAGACCACCCCTTCCCAGGAAGGGCAGGCCTGGGAGATGCACTCACTCCAGCTGTCTGGCATGACCTTCAAGGCCAAGGGCACCAGGTCATCAAAGGAGGCATCCAGGATCACGGCACTAACATCTGGGTAGGACATGGCGGCCCACGTGGCTGGTACCAGGGCAGGGAAGAAAAGTAAGAACTGAGAAAGGCTCCTTTCTCCTCACCACCCATGCTCTCATCCCACTTACCCTGTAGGCCAACCCCATTCCCCCTATGTTATTCCTTGTTTTTTTTCTTAACCTACTTCACTTGGTCAGGGAACTGTCTGGAGAGGATGGGGATAGAACACTGGAGACAGTGCACTAACAGGCAGGAAACATTCACTTTCCGTGATCTCCCCACCCAGGACCTGGGTCTGCTTTTCCTTTTAATGACTGGGCACAAGAGGGGAAGGAAAGGTGAAGTGTATACAAATACGATAGCTTCTTCCAGGCCCACTCAGAGATTCTACTTCCTCTCTCTTCTTCCTTGAGCCTCCACCCCACCCCAGGGCCACCAGTGCATTTCCCCACCTCTCCTGGGTGAGGCTGGGTGGTCATGAATGTGTCTAAAGTGGGGGGATGGGAGGGAGGCTGGTACCAGTGAAGCCACCGATGGACCAGGCGTAGATGATGATGTCCTGGGGTTGGAAGCCCAGGCGGTGGATGGCAAACTGGACCACCACATCCATGGCATTGGCCTCATTCTGCGGGAACGGCACTCCCTACAGGAAGAAGGGCAAAGTCAGGATTGTGTCAGCACCAAAGGCCAGCTCACCTGTCCCTCCCAACGTGGACCCCTCCTGCAGCCAACTAAGACAGAGAAGGTGTAGAAGGAAGGGATGGTAGGAGAGGTTGTTCTTTCCAGAAGACAGATGTGTACAATGAGATCCACTTCCACCTCTCCCGCCAGCCCCCCACTATGGGGATGGGGGCATGGCTCCCAATTCTGCCTTCACAACCTCCTAGCCCCCAGCTCTCAGGTGAGTGGGAGGCCCTTCAAGAAATCCACAGCCCCTCTCCTCCCTCCAATGGCTGACCAGAGGGAAACAGACATAATTCAGGAAAAGGAAGGGATTCCTGAGATGGTCTCACCGTGCTTCCAGCAAAGCCTGGATGATTCCAGCCCAGGACTGAATATCCAGCTGTAACAAAGAGGGAGGAGGAACTGAGACCTTATGGCCCACACCCCTTTCTCCATCCCTGGGGGAAGGAAGAGCAGAAGTACTCCCCAGCTTAGAGGCAAATAACTGCAAGCCTTCCCAGAATAGGAGATGACACCAAAGGTTCTGAGGCAGTACAGGGAGAGGCGTGTGACTGTGTGGGGTGTGTGGTAGGGGAATGGAACAGAATGAAAAGCATAATTAGGGACACAGGCCAGGGGAGGGATGTAAGGTTATCAAAGCAAATGGCGAGTGGACCTTTCCCTAAAGCTGAGAGACTCAAAACCTCACCCAGAGAAAGTGGAAGCCAGGGGAGGTCAGATCAGTGTGGGAGGCAGGGACATTCCCTTCAAAGGGCAGAGACAAGGAGGCTGAGTCACCATCCTACCTTCCAGGGGTGTGGAGATGCAGCCCACCTCGTAAAACCCAGCATTCCCCTCACAGCAGATCACCTAGGAAGGAGGCAGGAAGGAAGCGCTGGGGGGCCAAGTTGGGACTGAAAAACTCCCTTTGGGCAAGGAGGGCAGCCCATGAAGAGCTTTGCAGGGAAGAGGAAAGGGCAGGTCTCTGTTTTCTCCAAGGGGAATGGAAGCTTCTCATTCCACAGGGTCCATAAGAGGAGAAGCAAAGGGATTACAAATACTCCTCAGAGGCTGAACTGCTTGACCACCCAGCCATGTCCACTTTTCCTTGGAAGATTACCAGCTGGGTCTCTCTCAGGAAAGGGACTATGGAGATGTTTTTCCTTTCTAGTTTTCGGGTCTGTTATCTTCTGTGACCATTGCTATTGTGTGGTATGCTGACTGCTCTCTCTGTCCCTCTCTGACTGCTCTCCCTATCCCTCTCTGAGCTCCAGTCTTATGGTCAGATAAACTGTAATGCCATGGCGCCCCAAGCTGAAGCCCACGGGTGGTGGGATTTGCATGAACTCTCATAGCAGATGGGCAGAGCCAGGACTAGAACCCAGCTCCCTAGACTCCTGGCTTAGTGCTCTTTCCATGGCTGCTTCATGGAGGCAGAAGACTTTGAAGCCAGGCTGTGTGGGTCCAAATACCAGCTCTACTACTTACTGTGAGGTCCAGGACAGGTTTTCTGTGCCTCAGTTTCATCTCCTATAAAATGGGCTAACATAAGCAGTAACTATCTCACAGACTGTTGTGAGAATTAAATATATATGCTTCATATATACATGTGAGAAATATATGTAAGTGTGAAGTGCTGTCGAAGTGGTAACTATTAATATTAGTTTCTGGTTCTTGAATGTCTCTCCTACTTCATCTGTTTCTCTATCATAGGGTTTCACTACATCACAAGGTCTTTAGGGTGGAGCTAAGAGATGGGATTATCCCAGTAGTGGTTCCTCCAGGGAGATGCTATAGCATTGGGGTCCCCAGACCTCTACTGCCTTCCTCACAGTCACCCCACCTCTGGGATCCCTGCTCCCTCTTACCAGCTTCTGTCCCTGGGGCTGAGCTGTCCCCCGCCGGTCCACAAACATGGTGTCAATCTCATTGCCATCACAGGCCAGCAGCTTTGCCCGGCGCCCATTACACTGAGTAGGGGAGATGCAATGGCCAGGTTGCCAAGGGGCAGAAGACCACATGACAAGGGTAGGGCGGGCTAGGTGGGGGTGGGAGGGGAGGGCTATAGGGGATGGGCGGGCAGGGAAGCCTCACCTCTTCCACCAGTCGGGCCTGGCCCTGCAGCAGCACAGGCATGAGGGCCTTCTGGAGCAGGTACACAGAGCCTGGATACAGCATCCGGCGCCCCAGGGTGTGCGCCACCAGGTAGCTGTGGGGAACACAGGTTAACAAACCCCAACCCTGGTGAGGCGTGGGAACTGTGCTGGGGACACTGTGCTGGGGACACTCACAGACTGTAAGGCCTGTTTCACCTGACTTTCACAGCTTTACTTTCCTCTTTCAAGCCTTAATGAAATATGTAGTAGGCTGATGTTTTTCAAACTTTTCTTAGTGCAACCTTTGTAAGATAAATATTTTATATTGTGGCTCAGTACACATATATCCTGTATGTACAGAATTCTGAGAGTTTTATGATGTACTTTCTATACATAACAAATGCAAAGTTATCAGATTATGATTTCTTAAAATCTAAGTACAACATATTAAAGGTCCCCAAATAAATAATACTTTAAAAAATGATGGTTGTAATTCAAAACCTCAAATATGGCTTCACTTCCTGACCAATTAGCACACTGTCAACGACCAACCACTAAGTCCACCCTGTTCCCTGGTATTCTAGAAGCTGCCTCCTAACTCCCAGCAATAGAAAATTCCCAGTGTCTGTTCCACTGTAAGATATAGGTGGTTATTTCTGTTCCTTCTGACATCATCAGTACCCACGACTGAGCTTTATTTGGGATTTACCACGTGCTCTCAAGCACCCAGGCAAGGCAGGAGCCCTTCAGAACATGTTACCTTACTTAATCTCCTCAGCAACCTTGCAGGGCAGGTTCATCACAGGTGCAGACACAGAGGCGAACAGGGGCCCGGAGCCAAGGTGGAATAACAACGGGGCAGAGGGGCCACGATGGGTACACAGATGCCACCAGAGCCTGCCCTAGCTACAGGTGTCCTCCCCACCCCCACCCCACCCCCACTGCTCCTTCTCAGCCTCACTGAAGGAGCTTTTGTTCATATCCCAGTTCTTCACTTACTATCTTTGAGACTCCAGATCTCTCTGAGCCTCTTTTCTTCAAATATAAATGTGGATAAAAATGACTTTGCCATAAATGATTTACACAAACCATACGACACTAGGCCCAATGAGTGACAGCTATTTTACAATGGAGCATCCACTCCCAGAGCCCTCCTGAAATGGCCCCTCCACCCCAGCAGGCCTCTCCTCCCTGCCATTTCCCACCTGGTGATCTGACAAGGCAGCTTCTTAACCCGGTTGAGGAGGGTGTCTGCTGTTCCCCGGTGCAGGGGCTCTGGGCGAAGCAGGGCCACACCCCGGCGGGAAGGGCCCCCTCGAGACTCCTTCCTGAGGAAGGGAAAGATGCAGGGAAGGATGGGGTCAGGAGCAGCAAGCTGGACGTCTGAGATCTGGAGAACAGTGGGGGACTAGGAACGACATAATGGCACTGGAAGGCAGGCACTATGACCTGAGAGGGCATGGAGGTGGGGGGACAGGGCAGGGTAGGTATTATCTGGAATGGTTCCAAGGGGAGGAATAGAGCAAAAGAACTGGGGCCTCACCGGCTGCTGGGTTCTTCCCAGTGGAAGTCGACTGGCCAGCTCCGGAAGTCAAAGTTGTAGTTAGCAAGCTGCCTCTGCAGTGGACACGAGAGTAAAAGGGGAAGAAAAGGGGTGTTGAGAACTCAGGGGAGGCCCTCCTACCCACCCTCAACAACACCTTTGTTATCCAGGGGTCTGATCCCCATACATCATGGGGAAACCAAGCAGAGGTCAACACCCTCCCAATTCTCAGATGGAAAATTCTAATGGGACCAGAAAATCAGGCGAGATGGTATGCCCCATCAGGTATCAGGACTGGCCTGTCTGCCCTCTTCCAAGCTAGGAACCTAACACTCTGCTTTTCTAAAAAACTAAGCCTGACCCACCCCCAGGAGGAGTGGCTGAAGGTGCTGGTGCTTTTGAGTGATGGGGTAGAAGGGGGCCGCTGGCTGGTCACGGTCTATTCCCCACCTGGGTCCCTTATGGGGTACTATCTTAGAGGCTTAGAAATCTCCCAGCAGATCACACCGACAGATCCAAGGTTGAGTGAGACAGAGAGGAGGCTGCAGCCTCAAAATCCCAGGCCCAAATGATGCTCCTACTTAGCCCTCACTGCAGCCTCAAACTCCCAGGCCCAAGTGATCCCCCTACCTCAGCCTCTGGAGTAGCTGGGACTACAGACATGTGCTACTATGCCCAGCTAATTTTTAAAATTTTCTTTAGAGACAAGGTCTTACCATGTTGCCCAGGCTGGTCTCGAACTCCTGGGCTGAAGCGATCCTCCTGCCTCGGCTTCCAAAAGTGCTGGGATTGTAGGCATGAACCACCTCGCCAGCTCCACATGTTTTTTGAGGACAGTGGGAGCTGTGTCTTTTTTTTTTTTTTTTTTTTTTTTTTTTGAGACGGAGTCTCGCTCTGTCATCCAGGCTGGAGTGCAGTGGCGCCATCTTGGCTCACTGCAAGCTCTGCCTCCCGGGTTCACGCCATTCTCCTGCTTCAGCCTCCCAAGTAGCTGGGACTACAGGTGCCCACTGCCATGCCCGGCTAATTTTTGTATCTTTAGCAGAGATGGGGTTTCACTGTGTTAGCCAGGATGGTCTCGATCTCCTGACCTTGTGATCCACCCGCCTTGGCCTCCCAAAGTGCTGGGATTACAGGTGTGAGCCACCACGCCTGGTCTAGCTGTGTCTTAATACTTGACTATATTGTCCCCTGAGCTCCCAGCACTCTATTTTGAGGGTTTTCATTTTCTGCACAGAAATTTTTTGACACTTCAAAAATAATTTGAATAACAGAGAGCAATAGAAAAATTATACAAAAAGGTAAATGGCAAAACAAGATGAATAAAAGCAAATTTCAGGCAGGCTTTGCTCAGACCTGCTCTCAAATCTGGACTTAGCTACTTTCTTGCTCTATGACTCTGAATGGGTCACTTAACCTCTTTTTGCCTGTTTTCTCAAATTTACAAATAAGGGTAATAATGCCACCTCGCTCAGCTGTCGTGAGAATCAGAAAAGTGTGTGCCAAATGCCTCAGCCAGTAGCATAGTACGGGGCATCATTACACAGCTCCATAAATAGTGTGGAATAGCCAGGAATGCGATGACAGTGGTCATAGCTATTTGATCCCAGAAACCTCCCATAACAGAAAAGAGCTTTACGGGGCTCCAAAGCCCATCCTCAAAGATAATCACAGTTCAGCACCAGCTGGCCTGGCACAATTCCCAGGACACTGAGCCCCAGCTTTTCTCCCTCCTGGCACCATGCTGTACTCCCAGTCACAGGAGTGGACATACCTGTCCACCTTGTCCCATCCACAAACAAGGATAGCATGGTATTCAGTGTATACAACAAAAATAAACATTTATAGAACTGAGCTGCTGTGACACAGAGAAAACTACCTTCTAAGAAACATTGTGGGCTGGGTGCAGTGGCTCACGCCTCTAATCCCAGCACTTTGGGAGGCCAAGGCAGGTGGATCACCTGAGGTCAGGAGTTTGAGACCAGCCTCACCAACATGGCGAAACCCCATCTCTACTAAAAATACAAAATTAGCCGAGTGTGGTGGTGCATGCCTGTAATCCCAGCTACTTGGGAGGCTGAGGCAGGAGAATCGCTTGAACCCAGGAGGAGAGGTTGCAGTGAGCTGGAATCATGCCATTGCACTCCAGCCTGGGCAACAAGAGCAAAACTCCATCTCAAAAGAAAAAAAAAGAAACACTGTGGGCCAGGCACAGTGGCTCACACCTGTAATCCCAGCACTTTAGAAGGCCAAGGCGGGCAGATCATCTGAGGTCACGAATTCAAGACTAGCCTGGCCAACATGGTGAAACCCTGTCTCTACTAAAAATACAAAAATTAGCTGGGCATAGTGGTGTGCGCCTGTAATTCCAGCTACTCAGGAGGCTGATGCGTGAGAATCGTTTAAACCCGGGAGGTGGAGGTTGTAGTAAACTGAGATTGTACAACTGCACTTTGGCCTGAGTAACAGAGTGAGACTGTCTCAAAGGAAAAAAAAAAAAAAGAGGCCAGGCGTGGTGGCTCACGCCTGTAATCCCAGCACTTTGGGAGGCCGGGCCGGCAGATCGCCTGAGGTCATGAGTTCGAGACCAGCCTGGCCAGTATGGTGAAACCCCATCTCTACTAAAAATACAAAAATTAGTGGGCGTGGGCGCCACGTGCCTGTAATCCTAACTACTCAGGAGGCTGAGACAGGAGAATCACTTGAACCCGGGAGGCGGAGGTTGCAGTGAGCTGAGATCGTGCCATTGCATTCCAGCCTAGGCAACAAGAGCGAAACTCCATCTCAAAAAAAAAAAAAGAAAAGAAAAAAGAAACACTGGGGCCGGGCGCGGTGGCTCACGCCTGTAATCCCAGCACTTTGGGAGGCCGAGGCGGGCGGATCACAAGGTCAGGAGATCGAGACCACAGTGAAACCCTGTCTCTACTAAAAATAGAAAAAATTAGCCGGGCGCAGTGGCGGGCACCTGTAGTCCCAGCTACTCAGGAGGCTGAGGCAGGAGAATGGCGTGAACCTGGGAGGCGGAGCTTGCATTGGGCCGAGATCGCGCCACTGCACTCCAGCTTGGGGGACAGAGCGAGACTCCGTCTCAAAAAAAAAAAAAAAAGAAAAAAGAAACATTGTGGAATGTTTCTAGTTTAGCCAGTTCTTGCAGGTGAGGGAGAGGGAAGATTGTTCTAGCAGAATATTCCATTAGAAGTGGTAGGGAAGAAAAATTTCTCAGGTGGACAGTTCACTAATGAAGGGGAGACGAGATACAGCAATGTGCAAACAAACACCCAGTGTGGTAGGTGGTAAAACACACCTCCTCTTCCTGCAGAAGCCAGTGTCCGGTGCTCTGAGGGACAACTGAGGAAGCTGCTATTGGGCACCTGCGTGGCACTTTTCTTAGAGCCTCTCACCTTGTTTTCTGAAGACTGGTTCCGATGCGTTGCTTCCAAGATGGTGATGAACTGCCGGTACTGGGGGTTGGTCCAGCGGCCAATGCCTGGCAGAAAAAGGACAGGAAACAGTGCTAGGAAAACTGGAAAGCAGAATGCCTAGGTTTTAGGAAAACAATTGGAAACAGGCTAAGAGAAGGCCCTGAAAGAAGTGAAAGAAAAAGGAACTGAGGGCATAGGATGTGGAGAAATAACCTGAGCCAACCCTCTTCCTCCAAATCCAGCAACTGGCTACAGGATGCTTCTTCTCCATAGCTTCTGCAGTTTGTGTCTCTACAGATGATCCTTAACCTACCATCTTTCAGAATGTTCATTTTCCTCAGTCTTTAAACACTGTCACATAACCTATTATATGACACTATTAAACACTGTCTTATAATACTATTCTCCCTTGTGAAAATCAAATTTCTCTATTTTTCACTGCCACTCTTCTCCAGTGCTTGCTTTCTGCCTCTTTTCTGTATATCCTAGCCCCTTGCCGTCTGGTTTCATAGTCTCCAGCTCCTGCCCATAATTACTTCCTCACTGAATCCCTGACTCTTCCATCCTCATTCTCTTCAACTGTACCACTCAGCATTCTTCCTGTCCCTCAAGATTCTCCCTGCCTCTGCTTCCTGGGCCCATCCTTGACTCCTTCTAATTCCTGAACAGTTCCTCTCCTGCCTCCTTTCTGCTTTCCTCTCTGAAGCAGAAGCAACTCTCAGTGCTGACTCTCTCTTCTCTCTTTTCACTTACACGCCCAGTGATTGCATCCACTCTCCTTTCACTGCTGAGGCACCTCAAACCCTAACTTCTCTCCTCACTGACCTGGCAGGTGTCGTGTGCCAGGCAGGCACCATTCTACACACAGGAGACTCAGCAGGAAATGAGATACGCAGCTCCTGGCTCTCAGAGAGCTGGCATTCTGGTTGGGGTGAGGTAGAGCCAGATGACAATAAACAAGAACATTTCAGAGAGGGATAAGTGTTACAAAGAAAATACAACAGGAATGAACTAGAACTTTATGTGTCATCACTGGTAGTCCCCCAAAACGATATGATGAGAGAATGACGTGTGCTGCAGAATGATTTGTATGGAGTGATAACATTTATGCCAAAACTGTAAAATGTGCAAAATAATACATACTGCTTATAGATAGCATATTTCATAGATTCTAAGATGTATATTTTTTAACCCTTGAAAACTCTGAAATTAGTATTCATTTTACAATTGATGGCAGCTTAGATTTGAGGAAATGAGGTATATGTTTCATAAAGGTATGTGCCAGAAAAAAAAAACAAACCCCACACCAAATGACAATTACTACTTCTGAGGAAAGAGGAAGATACGACTGAAAGGATTCCAATGGGAACTCCAACCCTAACTGTGGTGCTTTAGTATTTTATTGACAGAAAGCATTTAAAGCAAGTATCACAAAACTATATATAAAAAAAAATCACAAAACTATATATCAAAAAATTTAAAAAGCCTTTTATATTTTGTTCTGTGGACCTTTCTGTATTTTTCCTTTTTCCTTTTTTTTTTTTTTGTTTTGAGACAGAGTTTCGCTCTTGTTGCCCAGGCTGGAGTGCAATGGTGTGATCTCGGCTCACCACAACCTCCATCTCCCTGGTTCAAGTGATTCTCCTGCCACATCCTCCCAAGTAGCTGGGATTACAAGCGCCAGCCACCACGCACAGCTAATTTTTTCTGTATTTTTTCTAAATTAAAAATAAATAAAATAAAAAATTAAGACAAAACTGAGCAGTGGGAGCTACTTTTAGACAAGGTGGTCAGGGAAGGCCTCTCTGAGGAGAGCCCAGCCCTGCAGAGATCAGGGGGCAGAGCACCTCAGGCAGAAGGTCCGGGACCCAACTGCAGCCATCCAGCCCTGACACCACCCCCCCCATGTTCAAGCATCGCCCATCACCTGGTTGTCATCTTATGTACCCACTAGGGGTAGGTGATCTGTTCTGCCTCTTTATTTTTTTAAACTGCGAGATATAACATAGGTACATAAAACATATATTCAGTTTAAAAAATACAAAGCAAACATTCATGTGACTATCACCTAGGTCAACAAAGAGAACACAGTCACCTTTCAGCAGGGGTCTCCCCTATTCTGTACTTCCCCACCCCAGGTAATCACTCTCCAAACTTTTAAGAAAACCATGCCCTTGTTGTCTTTGGTGTTCTACCTCAAACACGTGCATCCCTTTCGAATTTTATATAAATGAAATCATACTGCATACATTATTTTGTGGTTTGCTTCTTCTATTTAACACAACATTTCAGAAATTCATCTGCATTGCTTTTGTTTTTCTGGAGACAGAGTCTCGCTCTGTCACCCAGGCTGAAGTGTAGTGGTGCTATCTTGGCTCACTGCAACCTCTGCCTCCCAGGTTCAAGCAATTCTCATGCCTTAGCCTCCCAAGCCATTAAGACTACAGGCATGTGCCACCATGCCCAGTTAATTTTTTGTATTTTATTTTTTTCTGAGATGGAGCCTTGATCTGTTGCCCAGGATGCAGTGCAGTAGCTCAATCTTGGCTCACTGCAACCTCTGCCTCTCAGGTTCAAGCAATTCTACTGCCTCAGCCTCCCGAATAGCTGGGATTAACAGGTGCTCACCACCATAGCTGGCTAATTTTTTTTTTTGTATGTTTAGCAGAGATGGGGTTCCACCATGTTGGACAGGCGGGTCTTGAACTCCTGACTTCTGGTGATCTGCCCGCCTCAGCCTACCAAACTGCTAGGATTACAGGCATGAGCCACCACACCTGGCTTCACCTGCGTTGATGAGTGTAGCTATAGTTTGTTCATTTGCATTGCTATATAGTGTTCTGTTGCATGGCTATTGCACAGAACTTTTTTTCTTTTTTTTTTTTTGAGACGGAGTCTTGCTCTGTCACCCAAGATGGAGTACAGTAGTGCAATCTCGTCTCACTGCAATCTGCAATCTTTGCCTCCCAGGTTCAAGCTATTCTCCTGCCTCAGCCTCCTAAGTAGCTGGGATTACAGGCACGTGCCACCACGCCCAGCTAATTTTTGTATTTTTAGTAGAGATGGGGTTTTACCATGTTGGTCAGGCTGGTCTCGAACTCCTGACCTCGTGATCCACCGGCCTCTGCCTCCCAAAGTACTAGGATTATAGGCGTGAGCCACCGCACCCGGCTGCACAGAACGTATTTTATCCATCCTACTATTCGGTAGCCACTGGAGTTGTTTCCAGCTTAGGATTATTACAAACAATGTTGTATGTTGTATTCTTGTACATATATATTGTTTATACATGTGGAGGAGTTTCCCTAGTGTGTATACATATATAGAACTGTTGTAGGGTATATGCATCTTTTCTAGATAATAGCAGCCAGGCATAGTGGCTCACATCTACAATCCCAGTACTTTGGGAGGCTGAGGTGGGAGGATCACTTTGAGTTCAGGAGTTTGAGACCAGCCTAAACAACATGGTGAGACCCTCTCTCTTAAAAAAAAAAAAAAAAAAAAAGCAAACCTTGTTGTTTTCATATTTATAACCCAAGTCTTTTAAGGAAAAGATCATGCCTTAAACCATTCTCAATGATTCCCTCTCGGGGCCCATCACTAAACTGTATTTGCACAAGGTACTTAATATGTACCCAGTGACAGTGACAGATAAGATTCAAACCAGGTTTCATCTTGACCTACCTCGGAGGCAGGCCACGCCTGCCAGAAGTAGCAGCAATGTCCCAGCATAGTGAGAAAACGGCACCACTTTGGACAAACTCAAGTAACCTGGGAAGGGAGAGGGACAATGTGAGACCCTCTCCGCAGTGTTCCTCAGCTCCTCTTCCCAGTTCAGCCCCAACCTCCACCCCACACTCCCTGTTTGGAACAGCCATACCCTAAGAGGAAGAAGATGCCTGATGGAAGAGGGAAGCCAAGCCATCCTCACAGGTCCCCTCTCCTCTTTAGGGAGCTGGCTCCTCTGCCAACAACCTGCCCATTTGCTACCCCACCACGTTTGAAACCACACTGACCTTTCCTGTACAAGTAGAAGAAGGCGAAGGGAGAGGAGTAATAAGAGATGGACCAGAATACTGAAGCCTGCAGCAGAGAGACAGGGACAGGCAATCAATACACACACATACACACACACATACACACACACACGCCTGCCATTCCAGGCCTATACTCTGAGCAAGATGGACAACCTGAGGGATATCATATCATATTTGCTGTATGACACCATGAATACAGTAGATGCTCAATATTTGTTGAAAAGTAGTGTGTCAGTGTAATGGAGGCTGGGAAAACTAGGTACAGGTTCTATTTTCTTCCTCTGGAATTATGGAAGAATTATGTCTTCCATCTCCAGGCATAATTCCATCACATTTAAAGGCAGTCTCTCTGTCTACTCAAGTTAATCAAGCCTTTTCAATTGGCCCTGCTCAAGACAGCCCCTGACCTGGTCCCCAAGAGATGCGCAGACGTCACCACAGGAACTGTGCCAGAACGAACAGCTGTCCCTGCAGCCAAAGAGGTTAGTTGCCAGGGAGGACAGGTCACTGGGGAACTGCAGGACTTAGCACCTGCAGATGGTCCCAAGAGTAAACATGTTTTCCTTATGGCTCAGGCTGCCCCCAGAGAAAGCAGTGCTACATACCAAAGGGGAGTGCCAAGTATGCACACTTTGAGTGTGTCTGTGTGTCTGTGTTGGAGAGGTCTGCTGCAGAGCCCAGAGCATCCCCCAACCCCAGGGGTACTGTTGCTCCCAAGCTAGGGAAGGCTAAGTTCAAGAGGACAGGTGGGTCTGAAAGATGCAGAGAGTCCCAGATGCCAGGGTAGACATACCAGTGCCAGGATGCTGTCAGCATGTTTCTCCAGGGCACGGGGCTGATAGTACGTATCCTGCCAAAACAGATGGCCTCCTTAAGGACCCTGCCACTGGCAGGTCCTTTTCCTTCCCTTTCAGAAGCTCTGCTGTGTGTCCTCCGGTTCTACTCTCGTTGACTATCTCTCTTGAGACATCCCCGGCCCCCACAGAAAACCCTCTTCCTCACCCTCACCCTGAACCTAATTTCCCACCCCTGACCATGGGAACAAACACAGGGAGCTGGACTTGGAAGCAAAAGTGAAAGCAGCATTGGACGATTTTTGCTCCTTTTCCACAGTCTAGTTTAAAATGGATTGCAGGCGCGTGCATATGGGGAGAAGGGTTAGTTTCAGAAGAAAGACACCAAGACAATCTAAGAGGGAAAGAAAAGCATCAGAAATAAGAGTAGTTGACTAAGAAGAGAATGTGGGTAGGAGCGGGCAGTTTGTAGGAGACAGTAACACAATGTGAGACAACTGATAAAGAGGAAGATAATATTTAGAACAGCCTACCACCACCCGCCCGCTCTCCAGAATACAATGACTCGGGTCTCCAGGCTAGGTTGGGCGGGGGTTGAGGGGAGGACCTACGGATACAGGATCTGTAAAAGTCATTCTGAAATTCAAGGCGAGGGTAAAAGGAAGATAAAAACGGAGCCGAGGGAGGCACGAAGAGGCATTGCGAAAGAGGAAATTGGGAGTTCGACGGCAAAATTCAACGGCTCTCCAGTCCGCGCAGGGTCTCTTTCCCGGGACTTAAGACTCAACTAGGACTGGCACGAACCACGACAGACAGGGTGGGGGGACGCGGAGAGGAAAGAGCAAGGAGTGGCAGTCGAAATGAGATAGCGGTAAAGAGCGAAAAAGAAAGGAGGCGGCCAGTCCGTAGGCGTGACTTTAACTCAGGAAGCACACAGAGCGCAGACTTTGCGGACGACTGGTTTGACAAGCAGGCTCCCCTTATTTCCCATTATGGGCACTTCTGAGGAGCAAAGGCCGTAAAGGGTTTGGACTGTACCACGTTCCTCGGCGGGGAGGAACTCGACTCACCCAGGAGCTGGAATGGGGGGCAGTGACTGCCGTTGGCGTTTCAGGGACGCTGGCCGGGGCCCTTTCAGAGTCTCTCTCCCGGTAGATTTTGTACAGCCGGGGGCCTAGGACGCAGCTCAGCAGCTTCGCCATGGCCCTGGCTTGGGCCGCTGCTCTTCCAGCAGCAGGTCCCCCTGCCGGCCCCGCCCTCCCTGCCTCTGAGGTGTTGTGTGCCCTTGACGTCAGCCCGTACCGGCTCCGCCTCCGGGCGAGTTGCGACATTTTCAGTGCTTCCTGAGAAGAGTTTCGCGCAGTTGGGGCTACGGGTGCAGCAGTGGTCCGAAACTAGTGGAAGATTTAGGAACGCGGAGAATCAGAAAATTACCAGGCATAGCTCAGTAATTTTTTTCTGTCTCATTATTGGCAGACTCTAGAGCGACAGCGGAAACAAGGGGTGAGATTAGGAGTACTTGATAAGAGTAACAGAAAAGATAAGGTGTCTAGGAATATATCTAGTACAAGAAATGCAAGATGTTATGAAGAAGACTATAAAAAGTTACTGAAAAGGCAAACTGGCCCGGCCCAGCGCGGTGGCTCACGCCTGTAATCCCAGCACTTTGGGAGGCCGAGGCAGGCGGATCACTTGAGGCCAGGAGTTCAAGACCAGCCTGGCCAACATGGTGAAACCCCGTCTCTACTAAAAATACAAAAATTAGCCTGGCGTGGGTGGCGCGCACCTGTAATCCCAGCTACTCGGGAGCCCGAGGCACCAGAATTGCTTCAACCTGGGAGGCAGAGGTTGCAGTGAGCCAAGATCTTGCCCCTGCACTCCAGCCTTGGTGACAGAGCAAGACTGTGTCTCTAAATAAATAAATAAAGGTAAACTGGCCCAACGCAGTGGCTCACGCCTGTAATTCCAACACTTTGGGTGGCCAAGGGATGATTGCTTGTGTCCAGGAGTTCCAGACCATGGCTCACGCCTGTAATTCCAACATTTTGGGTGACTGAGAGAGGATTGCTTGCGACCAGGAGTTCCTGGCCAGCCCAGGCAACATAGTGAGACCCCATCTCTACAAAAAATACCTAGGAAAAAAAAAAAAAAAAAAAGACCTAGCAGGGTGTGTTGGTGCGCACCTGTAGTCCCAGCTACTTGGGAGGCCAAGGTGGGAGGGTCGCTTGAGCCCAGGAGTTCAAGATTGCTCCATGCACTCCAACCTGGATGACAGAGCCTGGCCTCAAAATAATAACAATAATAAGTGAAAAATAAAAAAAGAAAGAGGTAAACAAAAAGCTTTTCAATAAATGGAAAGCTACACCATGGTCCTGGATATGAAAATTCAGCACGGTGAGATATGGGGAATATTTGTAAAAAGAAAATAAGTGAATCATTACTCTTATGCATGAAATGAATCTTAAAACCGTGATGCTGAGTGAAAATAGAAAGCCGCAGCCGGGCGCCGTGGCTCAAGCCTGTAATCCCAGCACTTTGGGAGGCCGAGACGGGCGGATCACGAGGTCAGGAGATGGAGACCATCCTGGCGAACACGGTGAAACCCCGTCTCTACTAAAAAAAATACAAAAAAACTAGCCGGGCGAGGTGGTGGGCGCCTGTACTCCCAGCTACTCGGGAGGCTGAGGCAGGAGAATGGCGTGAACCCGGGAGGTGGAGCTTGCAGTGAGCTGAGATCCGGCCACTGCACTCAAGCCTGGGCGACAGAGCCAGACTCCATCTCAAAAAAAAAAAAAGAAAATAGAAAGCCGCAGAAGAATGTATACATGATACCAGTAATACTAGATTCAAAAACACATAAAATTTAAGCAAGTGGAGAAGAAAGAAAATTCAGAATCGTGGTGTTTTTTTTTTTTTTTTTTTTTTTGAGACGGAGTCTCGCTCTGTCGCCCGGGCTGGAGTGCAGTGGCCGGATCTCAGCTCACTGCAAGCTCCACCTCCCGGGTTTACGCCATTCTCCTGCCTCAGCCTCCCGAGTAGCTGGGACTACAGGCGCCCGCCACCTTGCCCGGCAATTTTTTTGTATTTTTAAGTAGAAACGGGGGGGTTTCACCGTGTTAGCCAAGATGGTCTCGATCTCCTGACCTCGTGATCCACCCATCTCGGCCTCCCAAAGTGCTGAGATTACAGGCTTGAGCCAACACGCCTGGCCAGAATCGTGGTTACACAGCATAGAGGATCTCTGACTGAAACAGAATATTCTTTTTTTCTCTTTCTTTTTTTCTTTTTTTTCTGAGACAGGGTCTAGCTCTTTCGCCCAGACTGGAGCACAGTGGCACAATCATGGCTCACTGCCCTGATCCTCCACCTGCTGGGCTCAAACATCCTTCCACCTCAACCTCCTGAGTAGCTGGGAATACAGGCCCACGCCACCACACTCGGCTAATTTTAAGAGGTCTCACCATGTTGCCCAGGCTGATCTCAAACTCCTGGGCTCAAGCAATCCTTCTGCATTAGCCTCACAGAGTGCTGGGATTACAGGCGTGAGCCACTGTGCCTGGCCTGGAATATTCTATTTCTTTTCTTTTTCTTTTTTTTTTTTTTGAGACCAAGTTCCGCTCTTATTGCCCAGGCTGGAGTGCAATGGCCCGATCTTGGCTTACCAGTCTCCGCCTCTGGGGTTCAAGCGATTCTCCTGCCTCAGCCTCCCAAGTAGCTGGGATTACAGGCATGTGCCACCATGCCCTGCTAATTTTTTTATTTTTAGTAGAGAGGGGGTTTCTCCATGTTGGTCAGGCTAGTCTTGAACTCCCGACCTCAGGTGATCCGCCTGCCTCAGCCTCCTAAAGTGCTAGGATTACAGACGTGAGCCACCGAGTCCGGCCTGGAATATTCTATTTATTTCTGGGGTTTTTTTTTTTTTTGGAGACGAAGTCTCGCTCTGTCGCCAGGCTGGAGTATAGTGGCATAATCTCTGCTCACTGCAACCTCTGCCTCCTGAGTTCAATTGATTCTCCTGCCTCAGCCTCCTGAGTAGCTGGGACTACAGGCATCCGCCACCATGCCCAGCTAATTTTTGTATTTTTAGCAGAGATGGGGTTTCACCATGTTGGCCTGGATAGTCTCGATCTCTTGACCTCGTGATCGGCCTACCTCAGCCTCCCAAAGTGCTGGGATTACAGGCATGAGCCACCGTGTCTGGCCTTTATTTTTAGAGTTGGGGTCTTGCTCTGTTGCCCAACCTCAAACTTCTGGCTTCAATCGACCCACCCACCTTGGCCTCCAAAAGTATTAGGATTATAGACATGAGCCACCATGCCTGGCCAGGCTTCTTTTCCTCTCATTATGTTGTGAGATTCAACCTTGTTGCAATCACTGAGTTTGTTCATTCTCATTGCTGTCCAGTGTTCTACTGTGTTAATATACCACCATTTATCCATAATATAGTTATACTTCATATAGTTTTTGGTATGTATGGAATATTTCATCAAAATAATTTTTTAAAATAAATAAATGACACATTAAAACTATAATAACTGCATGAAGATCTGCCTTAGGAGTTTTTGCCATTCAGAAGGATGAATCAGCCCGTTAGCCTTCTCCTTGAGTAATAATACACTCATCAGGGGTTCAGGAGAGGTCTGGGGTATGCCAGACAGCCACAGGGAAAGTCATTCCCAATCATTTACGGGACACTGACTGGATACACAGTCTTGTGCTGGGTTCTGTGGAGGACCAATGTGAAAACTCAGTTTCTTCACTCATAGCTGACATTTCTTTTTTTCTTCTTTTTCTTTTTTTTTTTGAGATGAAGTCTCGCTGTCTCGCTCTGTCTCCCAGGCTGGAGTGCAGTAGCATGATCTCGGCTCACTGCAACCTCTGCCTCCTGGGTTCAAGCGATTCTAGTGCCTCTCAGCCTCCTGAGTAGCTGGAATTACAGGCATATGTCACCATGCCCGGCTAATTTTTGTATTTTTTGTAGAGACAGGGTTTCACCATGTTGGCCAGGCTGGTCTTGAACTCCTGACCTCAAGTGATCCACCCAACTCATGGCTGACATTTCTTAGGAGTGAAAGAGACCTCAGAATGTACTTCCAGACTGACAGGAGCTAGACAGGCAGGACCACTTCCCTGCATGGTTTTTTGCGTGGAAGTCTTTACTTGAGTCCCTTAGCTGATGTGGAATCAGAAGAGCAAAAAGGTCATCTTCAGAGTGGCCTGGGCTGGGTCCTTTTCTCTCCAGGACAGAAAAGTGGTGGTCACTTTTTCCCTAGTAGACATGCTGCTGGACTTTATCGCCCCAGCATTTCCATCCCCTCCAGAGGCCCTTGTCACCCCAGACCAGCGAGTGTGGGCCTTTATCTGGACTCTGCTTCCTCCTTGGGAACACCAGGTCTTGGAGCAAGAGAACTTGGCAGGCTTTCCCCATGGCAGTCTTATTCCTCCTCCTGTTCCTATATGGAACTCCCCAGGCTGCAGGTAAGGGGCAAGAGGTAGGTGATTCCTTAGCTGTTTCCAAGGTTGGGGAGGGACTGCTGCTCTTTCTCTTAGGAGCCTGGCAAAGGCATCTGACTCAAGAAGATAGAATTACCCCAACTGACCTCTTCCTGCCTCTGACACTAGGGAAGACCCAGGGGCAACGAAGATCCAGGTTATGCAGTTTCCTTTATAAAATAAGAAGAATGAGTAAATGCTTTCAGAAAAGTTGAAATGAGTAGAAGAGATGTGGGCATTTGCCAACTCTTTCAGCCCTTTCCCTCTTGCCCTCAGACCCCCTCACTGTCTGGGGGAGAGACAAGGAAAGCCCTTACCCTATTCTCTCCACCTGTCTTATTTTTGTAGCTGTCACTTGAGAAAAGTGGTCACCAGCCAGGCCTGTGCTGGGGGACCCCAGAAGGGGAGGAAGTCAGGGTTGAAGATCAAATGGGGGGTTGTTGATCTGATGGAGGTCTCTGGCCTCATACAACCTTCTTCCCACAGACAACATCCAGGCCATCTATGTGGCCTTGGGGGAGGCAATGGAACTGCCATGTCCCTCACCACCCACTCTACATGGGGACGAACACCTGTCATGGTTCCGCAGCCCTGCAGCAGGCTCCTTCACCACCCTGGTAGCCCAAGTCCGAGTGGGCAGGCCAGCCCCAGACCCTGGAAAACCAGGAAGGGAATCCAGGCTCCGACTGCTGGGGAATTATTCTTTGTGGCTGGAGGGATCCAAGGAGGAAGATGCCGGGCGGTACTGGTGCGCTGTGCTAGGTCAGCACCACAACTACCAGAACTGGAGGGTGTACGACGTCTTGGTGCTCAAAGGTGAGTGGGGGCATGCAGACCAGGGGCTACTGTGGGCCAGGAAGTCTAGGTGAAGAACTGAGGGGTCCCTCTCTCCCCCACAGGATCCCAGTTATCTGCAAGGGCTGCAGATGGATCCCCCTGCAATGTCCTCCTGTGCTCTGTGGTCCCCAGCAGACGCATGGACTCTGTGACCTGGCAGGAAGGGAAGGGTCCCGTGAAGGGCCGTGTTCAGTCCTTCTGGGGCAGTGAGGCTGCCCTGCTCTTGGTGTGTCCTGGGGAGGGGCTTTCTGAGCCCAGGAGCCGAAGACCAAGAATCATCCGCTGCCTCATGACTCACAACAAAGGGGTCAGCTTTAGCCTGGCAGGTAAACCGAGGGAGGAGACGGAAAGGGATGTTCTTTCACCTCAGCCTCCCAAGTAGCTGGAATTACAGGCGCCCGCCACCATGCGCGGATAATTTTTTGAACTTTTAGTAGAGACGAGATTTCACCATTTTGGCCAGGCTAGTCTCAACCTCCTGACCTCTAGTGATCTGCCCACTTCAGTCTCCCAAAGTACTGAGATTATAGGTATGAGCCACTGCGCCTCCCCTAATTTTTAAACTTTTTTGTAGAGACAGGGTCTCACTATGTTGCCCAGTCTGGTCTCAAACTACTAGCCTCAAATGATCTTCCTATCTTGGTCTCCCAGAGTGCTGGGGTTACAGGCATGAACCACCGCATCTGGCTATTTTTTCTTGAAAGGGTGAATTACTATAAAGGGTGTGAGGGGAAAGTGTGGTTATGGCTGGTGGTCTGCTCTGTAGTTGGCTGCCCATGTGTGAGCAGGGGGCATTGCCATTCTCTATTTTTTATTTTGTTTTGTTTATTATTATTATTATTAGGCCAGGCGTGGTGGCTCAAGCCTGTAATCCCAGCACTTTGGGAGGCCGAAGCAGGCGGATCACTTGAGGTTGAGAGTTCAAGACCAGCCTGACCAAAATGGAGAAACTCCGTCTCTACTAAGAATACAAAATTAGCCGGGTATGGTGGCACATGCCTGTAACCCCAGCTACTCGGGAGGCTGAGGCAGGAGAATCACTTGAACCTGGGAGGTGGAGGGTGCAGTGAGCCAAGATCACGCCGTTGCACTCCAGCCTGGGCAATAAGAGCAAAAGTCTATCTTAAAAAAAAAAAATTGTATTTTTAGTAGAGACGGGGTTTCACCATGTTGGCCAGGATGGTCTTGATCTCTTGACCTCATGATCTGCCCGCCTTGGTCTCCCAAAGTGTTAGGATTATAGGTGTGAGCCACCATGCCTGGCCTTTTTTTTTTTTTTTTTTTGAGATGGAGTCTTGTTCTGTTGCCCAGGCTGGAATGCAGTGGCGTGATCTTGGCTCACTGCAACCTCTGCCTGCTGAGTTCAAGCTGTTCTCCCATCTCAGCCTCCTGAGTAGCTGGGAGTACAGGTGCCTGCCACCATGCCCAGCTAACTTTTGTGTGTGTGTGTGTGTGTGCGCGCGTGTGTATTTTGAGACTGAGTCTCTCTCTGTCGCCAGGCTGGAGTGGAATGGCACGATTCCAGCTCACTGCAACCTCTGACTCCCTGGTTCAAGTGATTCTCCTGCCTCAGCCTCCCAAGTAGCTAAGATTACAGGCATACGCCACCATGTCCAGCTAATTTTTGTATTCTTAGTAGAGCCAGGGTTTCACCATGTTGGCCAGGATGGTCTTGATCTGACATGTGATCCACCCGCCTCGGCCTCCCAAAGTGCTGGGATTACAGGCATGAGCCACAGCGCCTGGTCTCTTTTTTGTGTTTTTAGTAGAGATGGAGTTTCACCATGTTGGTCAGGCTAGTCTCGACCTCCTGACCTCAGGTTATCCACCCATCTCGGCCTCCCAAAGTGCTGGGATTACAGGTGTGAGCCACTGTGCGTGGCCCCAATTTTTATATTTTTAGTAGAGATGGGGGTTTCATCATGTTGACCAGGCTGGTCTTGAACTCCTGACCTCAAGTGGTCTGCTTGCCTTGGCCTCCTAAAGTGCTGGGATTACAGGTGTGAGCCACTGTGACTGGCCGCCATTCTCTATTTATGGGTCAGGGTGAGAGGCCTGGAAAGGGGCAGAGTAGGGTGGAGGATATTGAGGGCAGGGAAACTTACAAAGTCTTCTGTTGGAAGAGCCCACCAGACTGTGGAGGGGAGGACTCTCTTTGGGGCACAGGGACAGGCCCCCTCACTGCTTCCTTCCCATCCCTCTGGTCTGGCTCTTACTACAGCCTCCATGGATGCTTCTCCTGCCTTCTGTGCCCCTTCCGTGGGCTGGGACATGTCTTGGATTCTGATGCTGCTGCTCACAATGGGCCAGGGAGTCATCATCCTGGCCCTCAGCATTGTGCTCTGGAGGCAGAGGGTCCGTGGGGCTCCAGTCAGAGGTGAGTCCCTCCCTCCCGGGGGGAAGAAGAGGGCACGTGGGTGGGAGGCAAAGGGCTAGGCTTGCACCCTGCCTTTGTACCCTATCTCCTCTAGGGGAGGGGGCAAGGAACACAGCTCTAAGTTGTCTGCTGACTTCTCTTCTGTATCCCTGATGGCTCCTTCTCCCCAGCTGCCTCGATTCCTCAGTTCAAACCCGAAATCCAGGTCTATGAGAACATCCATTTGGCCCGTCTCGGGTGAGGAACAGCTAGGGAACAGAGGCTTAAATCCCGGAGGGGACTGGGGATGGGAGAGGAAACACGGGTTGGGTTGGGGAGGAGCCCTTGTTCCTGAGGACGTGAAAAGTAGAGGTATCCTTAATCCATCTCTCTGGAAAACCCCACAGCCCACCTGCCCACAAGACCAGGTGATTTTGGTGACATCTGCTGGGAAGTGTGACCTGCTGTTTCGCTGGCCATCTAGCACCTGGAGTATTCCTCGACAACCTTGGCAAGGGGGGCGGGACTGCGAGTTCGACTTCACCGTCCAGCTGGCGTCCAGCAGCCACCAAGCTGTGTATGGGGAGGGTGGGGGACTGAAGGAAAGGAGGAGCATTATTTTGTGATGTCACCTACAAAAAGGTTTGGTCTCCTGTCTTGTAGCAGCCAGTGGAAGGATGGCCCTGAGCCCATAGTACTGTGGGGTTGAGGGGAGCCTGAGATTGCTGGTGGGGGCAAGGAGGATGGGTGTGAGCAGGGAGGAGACAGGAATCTGGAGACTTGAGCAATGGTGGGGAATCCATTGCAGCAGAGCTGAAGGACAAATGGGGAAAACTGGGGAAGAGAGAGAAGGGAAGAAACTCAAGTCAGAGAAAGTGGAAAGAGATAGACAGAGAAAGAAAAAAATAGAAGCACCAAGTGGGAGGACGGAGTGACAGAGAAAATGGAAAGACTCAACCCATCTCTAAATTAAGCCAGACCCCCACTACCCAGTGTGTCATCCTCACAAAGAGGAGAGGGAACAAGCACCTTTAATCAACCCCAGACTTCCTCACATGCAAGGGGAGGGAACTGAGTAGGATAGAGATGCCTGTGCTCAGCTCCCACCCGGGGCCCCTCTTTATCCTTCCTTATCCTAGGCACACACTCTTCCCTGTGGCGCTCTACCAGGGCATTCAGAGCATGTGAGCAGCTATCGCCACTCTGGCACTTCCTCCCTGCTGCCCTGGGGTCACACCCTATTTCCCGGGGGCAGAGGGAGTGTCTACTCGGGCTGGCAGGCCCAGTGGGGGTGTATTATTTATTGGGCTGGGGCCATGCTGGGATGTTTGTGAATCATGGGCGAGTCTGGGCTGGTGAAGCGACGGAGGGTATTGATGCTCCCAACTTGGCCATTCCTCAGTCTCAGGCAGAAATGAGCTGAGCTCCAGCCACACCCTCACAAGCAGCTCCACTGGGTGCCCTTTTGTGTCTCTGCTCAAGCTTGGGCCTTACTGGAGAAAAGCTTTCTCAGAAGTCTCACCTAACGCCTTCAGGCTGCAGGGGCTTAAACTAAGCCATTGGCAGGATAAAGGAAGCACATGACACAGATGGAGAATGAGGGGAGTGCTGTGGTCCAGGTTCCAGCTCCAGCCCAACCCACCAAGCAGCTATAGTTCGCTCTTAGAGCTCACACACACACACAGCAGTATCTGCAGTATTCCTGTACTCCTAGATAGACCTTTTATTAAAGCTACTCTTCATAGTCCCCCAAGCCCTCCATCCTGAGCTCCCGACCTACCACATTAGTCTTTCCTAGCAAGACTCTCCTCCTTACCATACCTGATGCCGCTTTGATCCCTTTGCCTGAGATCCACAGTGTCATCAAAATGCCTGCCTTGCCAGTGACTGGGGCTGACAGGGGGCATCAGCAATGGGCATCTAGAAAAGACAAAAGACACAGAATAGCTGTTCTTTATGAGGCTGGACTCTGGGCAGGTGCCTCCCCAGGCCTTGTGAGGGGTCTGTGAGGGGGTCTCCTGAGAGATCTGGGGTCTCTGTACAAAATTAGGTTGTCGGGCATGTCTCAAAGTGTCTGTGCAGGTGTTTCCAGGGCCGTGGTGATGGCGGCAGAATCCTAGGTTGGGGGCTGCAGATCCCGGCGAAGCTGGCCACAAGGTGGGGCAGGGAGGAAAGGAGGCTGGTGAGCTGCCATGGGGAAGCGGCCATGTTGCACAGGTCCTGCTAGCAGCAGTGGTGCCGCAGAATGTAGGAGTGCAGCCAGTAGGTGGCATGGCTCGGCAGAGGGCACTGGGCCCTTGGGAGGTAGCCTTTTCGCTCGATGATCTCACTCTGATCTGTGGGATGAAGGAGGCATGCTGAGGCGGGGGCCACAGGAAAGGCGGGATGGATGGAGGTAGGGAGCCGCCTGGAGAAGGGCCATTGGACCAGAGCCCTACCTGAGGTGCCGATACTGATGCTGCAAGATTCATCGTCCTGACACTTGGTGGGAACAGGGTAGCAGGATTTGGCCAAGCTGCAGGTGTAACAGCGGAGCCTTCCCCGGGCAGGGGACATGGTGAGACCTGTTGAGGCAGCAGAGATTAGGAGAGCAGGAGAGGCAAACCCTCCCTGTGGGGCAGGCAGAGGCTAGATCCGGAGAGGGATCTCAGAGAGAGGTGACACACGAAGCAGAGAGAGGAAAGCTGTGGAACAAGGGAGAAAAGCAGACAGAAGTAGAAAAAGTGACCGGGCGCAGTGGCTCACGCCTGTAATCCCAGCACTTTGGGAGGCCGACGCGGGAGGATCATGAGGTCAGAAGATCAAGACCATCCTGGCTAACATGGTGAAACCCCGTCTCTACTAAAAATACAAAAAATTAACCAGGCATGGTGGCACGTGCCTCTAGTCCCAGCTACTCGGTAGGCTGAGGCAGGATAATCTCTTGAACCCGGGTAGCTGAGGTTGCAGTGAGCCGAGATCATGCCACTGCACTCCAGCCTGGGTGACAGAACAAGACTCCGTCTCAAAAAAAAAAAAAAAAAAAAAAAGAGACACAGAGAAGGGAGGGGAGACGATGCAGGAAAAGAAACAGAGATGGAGGTAAGAGCGGTACAGGGATTGAGAAATGAGCAGACATGAACAGAAGCCATGAGAATCAGAGTCCAACATAAGAAGAATGAGACAAAAAGCCAGACCCAGCAGCAGGGAAGTAGAGGCGGTCAGTGAAAAAGTTAAGTAAATGGCAGCAGAGACAGATAGGAAAATAGAAATTGACATTGACCAAAGGGCCCAGCACAGAAGCAAGAGGTGAAATAAGGGATAGGGGAGACAGGGGTGGGTCAAAGATGCAGCAAGGAGGAGACACTTATTCTCAAATGCTTTTGAAAGGAAACTCTTCCTTTCCCACCTCATCAGGCTGGCCTTCCCAGTGGCTGGTCTCCCTGAAGTCCCCCACTCCCCCAGATCTCTTCTTGGCCTCTTCCAGCTCTCCCACCCCTCTCCTCCCCAGCCCTCAGGTTCCTCCACATGCCCTTGTCCCCGCCCCCAGCCCCCTGACCGCTGAAAGTTCCCCAGTCCACCCTTACCCAGTGCACCACAGAGGAACAGGACACAGAGGAAGATGTTGGAGGTGCCCATGGCCAAACGCAGGGTCAGGAATTGGGGAGAGGTGATCTGCATCCTGAGATCCCGGGATTTGTAAAGTTGGAACATTTGAACAAGACAGGGAGGAACCAGGAAACAAACACACCTAGGGAGTGAATCTGGGGGGCGGAACCGTGACCAGATTCACCAGCCTGACCCGCAGGCAGTGGAGGCCCCCAGCCTGCCCCTGCTAGGAGACTGCCCTTGCCTGGAGGGTCTCCTCTGCTCTCTCAGCGTGTTGTCTCTGTAACTTAGCTTCCTCTCCTGCTCCTGAGTTGTGTCTGTCGCCTTCCCTCCTACTCCTCTCCCTCCCTCTCCATGTCTCAAGCTGCTCCCTGGCTCTCTTAGCTTCTCTCTGTCTTTGTTTTCTCTGTCTTTCCCCCTCAGTGCTTTCATGTCCTTCAAGGTCACCCTCCTAAACAACCCTGGCGTGGATCTATTTGAGTGTAGAATCAACAATACCCCCCCACACCCACCCACCCACACGCACACACAAAGCCCAGCTGTATAAGGGTGGACCCCACCCAGCTTCAGATCCCTTTGATCCCCCCAAGCTTCAACATTCCTACCCCATAATTATCCCTGACAGCTTTACTACCTTGGGGGAAAGAAATAATCATGGGTGGGGCTGGAGGGCCAGCCGGGTGTGCTTGCACTGGGGAGAAATCACTAGAAAGGAAGGCATGGGGCCGGGCGCGGTGGCTCAAGCCTGTAATCCCAGCACTTTGGGAGGCCGAGACGGGCGGATCACGAGGTCAGGAGATCGAGACCATCCTGGCTAACCCGGTGAAACCCCGTCTCTACTAAAAAGTACAAAAAACCAGCCGGGCGAGGTGGCGGGCGCCTGTAGTCCCAGCTACACGGGAGGCTGAGGCAGGAGAATGGCATAAACCCGGGAGGCGGAGCTTGTAGTGAGCTGAGATCCGGCCACTGCACTCCAGCCTGGGCGACAGAGCGAGACTCCGTCTCAAAAAAAAAAAAAAAAGAAAGGAAGGCATGGATAGAATTTGGGGTAGGGGGGTGGTGATAGAACCTGGAGGACTGGGGTTGAAGAAATTGGGAAGGAGGAAGGCCCATCTGGGGAATCAGAGCCAGAATGTACCAGGAGGAGTAAGACTAGGAACAGGGAGTGAAGATAGGGGAGACACAGGTGCCCAGGAGAGCAGCTTTTTTAAAAAACATTGATCTCAGGACCTCTTTACACTTTTCAAAGTTACTTAAGACTCTGAAGAGCTTTTCTTTATGAGGTTATATCAATATTTACTATATTAAAAATTAAAACAGATCATTTAAAGTAGGTATTATTTAAACAATAAAAATAATAAATTATTGCATGCTAACAAAATATGGTTTTGTGAAAAATAACTATTATTTCCCCACAGCACAGTGAGAAGCTGAGCATTGCTTTACATTTTTGTGAATCTAATGTCAGGCTTCGTGGGAGATGCCTGGGTTTTCCTATCTGCTTCTGCATTCAGTCTGTTGGGATATGTTGTTTTCATTGAAGTCCAGTATATGAAGAAAATCTGATCTTACACAGATAGTTGCAAAAGGAAGACCCTCAAGGACCCTGTGAAAGGGTATCAGGGATCCCCAGGGGTTCTTCTTGGTCCACAGTTTCAGGACTGCTGCTGGAGATAAAGGAGTTTGAGGACTCCAGAGGATGCTGAGGGCATGCCGTGGGGCCCCTCCCTGTCCCCACTGGGGCCCCTGGTGCCTGCTGGGGGAGACTCTTTCCTCCTTTTTTTATAGCCCTATAAAGCTCAAGGCAAGGGGGATATAAGGCAGGTAGAGTCGGGCTAGGGGAGGGGGGTGGGCGGGAGGTAGAGGCGGTCCTGACACGGGCAGACTGCGATGAAACCCCAGTTTGTTGGGATATTGCTCAGCTCCCTGCTAGGGGCTGCCTTGGGTAAGGAGGCGGCCAGCTAGCCTCTTACACAGGCCTTCTGCCAGCCAGCTCCACTGAGGGCCCAGGTCCAGCGCCTCTTTTCTCCTGCCAGGAAACCGAATGCGGTGCTACAACTGTGGTGGAAGCCCCAGCAGTTCTTGCAAAGAAGCCGTGACCACCTGTGGCGAGGGCAGACCCCAGCCAGGCCTGGAACAGATCAAGCTACCTGGAAACCGTGAGTCCTCCATTTCTCTCTCTTCCCACAGCCTTTCCCTGCCTCCAGCCCGTCAATCCTTCTGGCTTCCAGAACCCTCCAGGCTCAGTCTGGCTCTGGGCAGATGGTGCGGCTGTCAGAGGAGAGCAGTCTGTACCCCTTCTGGCTCCTGGCACAGAGCCCCTGAGAGGCCCACAGTCCTTGTGCCCCCACCTCTCCACCTCCTTACTCTCCCAAAAGGAAGATAGCTCCATAGGCCGGCCCAGTTAAGCCTCCACAGGCGGATGGAAGATGAGCTCCTGGCCCCTGAAACACTAAGGTGGCCCCTAGAGTATAGGAGAAGGCGGACCGGAGGGAGCTTGCAGTGACTAATCCCCACTCACTGTCAAGCGAATGTTCAAAAAAAAAAAAAAAAAAAAAAACCAAACCTCAAAATTTCGGCATTAGTCAAGGACCAGGGAGGGGTATGTGTGTGTGTGTGTGTGTCTGTCTGTCTGTCTGTCTGTGTGTGTGTGTGTACATATTCTTTTTTTTTTTTTTTTTTTTTGAGACGGAGTCTCGCTCTGCCGCCCAGGCTGGAGTGCAGTGGCCGGATCTCAGCTCACTGCAAGCTCCGCCTCCCGGGTTCACGCCATTCTCCTGCCTCAGCCTCCCGAGTAGTTGGGACTACAGGCGCCCGCCACCTCGCCCGGCTAGTTTTTTGTATTTTTTAGTAGAGACGGGGTTTCACCGTGTTAGCCAGGATGGTCTCGATCTCCTGACCTCGTGATCCGCCCGTCTCGGCCTCCCAAAGTGCTGGGATTACAGGCTTGAGCCACCGCGCCCGGCCTGTGTGTACATATTCTTAATAGTTTATTTTAATGTAATTTTGGATTGACAGAAAAGTTGCAGAAATACTCAACTTTTCCTAATGCTGACATCTTACATAACCATGGTACAATTATCAAAATCACAAAATAACATTGATACAATACTACTAACTAATCTACAGACTTTATTTGATTTAGCAGGATCCTACATTGCATTTAGCTCTCGTGTCTTCTTTGTCTCCTCTGATCTGTGCCAGCTCTGTTTTTGTCTTTCATGACCCTGACATATTTGAAGAGCCCTGATAAATTATTTTATACCTAGAGTTTAAAAAAATCACTTTTAGGGCCGGTGCAGTGACTCACACCTGTAATCCCAGCACTTCAGGAGGCCGAGATGGGAGGACCACTTGAGCCCAGGAGTTGAGACCAGTCTGGGCAACATAGGGAGACCCTGTCTCTACAAAAAAAAAAAAAAAAAAAGATTAAAAAATTAGCTGGGCATGGTGGCACATGTTTGTAATCCTAGATACTCAGGGGGCTGAAGAAGGAAGATTGCTTGAGCCTGGGAGGTTGAAGCTACAGTGAGCCATGATCATGCCACTATACTCCAGCCTGGGGAACAAAATGAGACCCTGTCTCAAAAAAAAAAAAAAAAAAAAAAAAAAAAAACCATTTTTAGGCTGGGCTCAGTGGCTCACACTTGTAATCCCAGCACTTTGGGAGGCCAAGGCAGAAGAGTCACCTGAGGTCCGGAGTTTTCGGTAGAGATGGGGTTTCACTGTGTTAGCCAGTATGGTCTCGATCTCCTGACCTCGTGATCCACCCGCCTCGGCCTCCCAAAGTGCTGGGATTACAGATGTGAGCCACCACGCCTGGCCAAAAAATGTTTTTAAAAAATTAGCCAGCCATGGTGGCACACACCTGTAATCTCAGCTTCCTGGGAGGCTGAGGTAGGAGGATTACTTGAACCCAGGAGTTCGAGGCTATAGTGAGCTATGATTGCACCACCACACTCCAGCCTGAGTGACAGAGCAAGACCTTTTCTCTAAAAATAAATAAAATCATTTTTAGATTTAAAAAAAAAATTTACGTGCCAGATGCAGTGGCTCACGCCTGTAGTCCCAGCACTTTGGGAGGCCAAGGCAGGTGGATAACCTGAGGTCCAGAGTTTGAGACTAGCCTGACCAACATGGAGAAACCCTGTCTCTACTAAAAATACAAAATTAGCCAGGTGTGGTGGTGCATGCCTGTAATCCCAGCTACTCGGGAACCTGAGGCAGGATAATTGCTTGAACCCAAGAGGTGGAGGTTGCGGTGAGCTGAGATTGCACCATTGCACTCCAACTGGGCAACAACAGTGAAACTCCATCTCAAAAAAAAAAAAAATTTACATATACTTGATATACTAAAAATTATTTTATAGAATGTCCCTCAGGCCGGGCACAGTGGCTCAAGCCTGTAATCCCAGCACTTTGGGAGGCTGAGATGGGCGGATCACGAGGTCAGGAGATCGAGACCATCCTGGCCTACATGGTGAAACCCCGTCTCTACTAAAAAATACAAAAAACTAGCCGGGCGAGGTGGCGGGCGCCTGTAGTCCCAGCTACTCAGGAGGCTGAGGCAGGAGAATGGCGTAAACCCGGGAGGTGGAGCTTGCAGTGAGCTGAGATCCTGTCACTGCACTCCAACCTGGGTGACAGAGCGAGACTCCGTCTCAAAAAAAAAAAAAAAAAAAGAAAAAAAAAAGAATGTCCCTCAATTTATATTTATCTGATATTTGCCATGATGAGATTGAGGTCATGCATTTTAAGCAAGAATACTGCAGAAGTGACGTTGCGTCCTTCTCACTGAATCACATCAGGAGTTTACAGTGTCAATGCATTAACTTTGATCACTTGGTTTCAGGGAGGTGTTTTTTGAGGGGGCTGAAAATCCCTTTGGGCTCCTTGAAATCACATCTGCTCTGCCCCAGAAGGCAAGTCCTGAAGCCAGGAGTCCAACACCCCAGTTTCATTCTCTCTCTCAGCCCCAGTGACCTTGATTCACCAACATCCAGCCTGCGTCGCAGCCCGTCATTGCAATCAAGTGGAGACAGAGTCGGTGGGAGACGTGACTTATCCAGCCCACAGGGACTGCTACCTGGGAGACCTGTGCAACAGCGCCGTGGCAAGCCACGTGGCCCCTACATGCATTTTGGCTGCAGCAGCTACCGCCCTGACCTGTCTCTTACCAGGACTGTGGAGCGGGTAGTGGGAGTAGGAGTAGAGAAAGGAGCAAGGGAGCAAGGGAACAAGGGACATCCGAACATCTAATGTGAGAAGACAGGCATCCTTCTGTGAGTCATTAAAATCTATGCACCACTCTACAGCTGACTGGAAAATTGCATCTATCTTTGGTTGATGGGAGGACTTAAAGGGTAATATGGGGCATCCAGGTTCTAGTTTGGGGGTTACCAAGCAACAGCGGGCTTAATTACAGTGGTGCACTCCTTAACCAACTAAACCCCAAAGGACGATGGCTTCTCTGCCTTCTGTGGCTCCTGGATCCTGTTGCTAGGTTGAATCTTCCTTAGCAATGTGATTCACTGAGTGGGGTTGCCAGGGTTTTGCGAGCCTGAGTCTGGGTTTGCTCCCCTTTCTCCCATTTGCAACTTGGCTCCCAATAAGACTATTTTGAATTGAGGAAAGAAATGTAAAAAGTGTGATAAGTAAAAACTGCTTGGTGCCCTACTTACTAACCAGGCCAGGTGAGGCCTCTGACTCTAACCTGAGAGAAACTGAAGAAACAGGGTCTCGGGCCCCATCCCCATGTGCCTCTCCTATCCTTTCTGGAGAGCCCTCAAGCCAGGCTGCACCTTCTTCTTGGCAATACATCAGGGGTGTGGCCTAAATTTGGGATATGAGTTGTTGTGTGCCACCTGGAGACACTGGAAGGGAGGATGAAGACCTGAAAAACCTGTTTCTCCATTTGCCCCAGCCCAGCCTCCCAGGGAACCTCCCTGAAGGATTCCTGTGTAAGGGTGGGAGGTTGAGAGTATTATTTCCTGGGAGGTGACCTGACCCTTAGGTCTTCTGATAATAAATGTGCATTTTATCAGACTCAGACATTTATTACTCAAAACGGAAAGAGGTCAGTATGGGGGATGGGGTACGTATGGGAGCCTATACAGTGAGGTCATCAGGTCCTTGTGGGAGCCTTCACTGGGGACAAGACAGAAGCCCCATTTCAGGCCCAGATCCCAATCCCTTCTCAAGAAGGGGACAGTAGAGTGTAGGAAGCAAAGTGGGGAGCCCTTCTAGGAGCCAATGGAGGCCCTGGAAAGAAGTGGGAAGGGACCCGGAAAGAGCAGTGAAGGGTGTGAGGTGGGAAGGATGGATGAGGAGACCTCTCAGAACAGTGTTTAATGGGAGCTAGAGAGAGACCATTAAAGAAATGGGAGCTAGGGAGAGACTATTCTGTAAAACCAGGGGATATGGAGACACAGGGAGAGAGGCTCAGGCCAAGGCAGGTGGGAGGAGGGGCAGCCAATGGAATGAGTCTCAGTGCCGCAGCCAGAGGCCGAGGCCAGCCAAGGAGGTAAGGAAGACAAGGCCCAGGGCTGGAGTGGGCCGGGGGCCTGCACTGTTGCAGTTGTCCTTGTTGCAGCAGGTGGTGTTATATGTCAGGCCCAGCTTGCGGTTGGTTTGGTTGAAGGCCTCCTGACAGGGCTCTTCTGGTGTGCCACAGCGCAGATTGGAGAAAACCCACATCTTACCTAGGAGTGGGAATGGGCAGGGAATCAGCTAGGATGGGCACCTGGCATGCCTGTGTCCACCTCCCCACCCCATCCACCCACCTAGGCTTCCTTCCCTCCCAACTCTGTCCCTGGCCCTCCCCTTCTCTTTTCTCAGTCTGATCTTCCTCCTGCACGTCCTTACCCACCACTCCCCCAGTCCCGGTTCTATCACTTGCTGGCCATAAGGCCTTGGACCTGTTTCTCTCTCTCTCTCTCTCTTTTTTTTTTTTTTCAAGACAGAGTCTTATTCTCACCCAGGCTGGAGTGCAGTGGTGCCATCTCAGCTCACTGCAACCTCTGCCTCCCAGGTTCAACCAATTCTCCTGCCTCAGCCTCCCGAGTAGCTGGGATTACAGGCACCCACCACCATGCCTGGCTAATTTTTGTATTTTTAGTAGAAATGGGGTTTCACCATGTTGGCCAGGCTGGTCTTGAACTCCTGATCTCAAGTGATCCACCTGCTTTGGCCTCCCAAAGTGCTGGAATTACAGGCATGAGCCACCATGCCCGGTTGTGTTACTGTCTCTTTTTGAGGCCGTTTTCTCAATATAATAATAGCAACCACATCACAGGGTTGTCATGAACACTAATTGAAAAAAAGACATGCAAAGACATAGAATGTTGCACACAATCATCTTTGGCCAAACAATATCATTGCTATAATCCTCTGCTTCTCTGTCTCAGTCTTAGCCCCATTTGGGCCTCAATCCTGGCCATAGAGTTTCCCACCTCCCTGCTCTCCCCACTAAGGAAGGGGATGTTACCAAGGTATGCATGTGTTGTCAGGCATTGCTGTCCTGGCTCCAGGCGGCAGGACTGCCGGTCCACACAGCCCAGCACAGGGACCTTGTAGCAGGAGTGACAGCGAATGTCAGCTGGGAAGACACAAGTCAGGCTGAGGTGGTCTCTGACTTACCTGGGGATAAGCTGAGCTGGGGGCGGGGGTGGAGGGTGGAGAAGAGCCCATCACATAGGTGCTCCAACCTGTTTGGCTGTTTGGTCTAGTAAGCACAGAGCAGATGAGTGATGCAGGGAAAATGGAAAGTAGGCGGCAGGTAAGGGTAGAGTTGTTGCTTTGTGAAAGACCCACACCCTACATATCTTCCTTCACTCCACCCCGTTTGGAGATGAGTCAAGAGGGACAGAGCTATGAACAAAAACATGGGGCTGGAGATAGATGGAATGTGAGGAAGATACCATGGGGAAAGAATGTGGGTGGTGAAGGAGGAGATGGAAACTTAAAAGAAGAAGAAATAATAAAAATGAAAATCATGACTGTTACAACACTGTCAGAAATGTCTTGGAACTTGAGGTTGGCGAGAAAGCCATTTGTGGCCAGCTTTAGCAATTTACAATTTACTCTTCATCTCCTGGAGCTGGCAAGAGTGTGGGAAGAGGAACCAGACCTGAATAGAATCCTCTCACCCCAGTAGCTCTTCAGCAGAAAGGAATGATACCTGAGAGACAGATCACCAGATTCCATCCTAGCACCTTATCAAAATGGAGAGGGTGGATACAGAAGGCGGTACCCCAAAGTTCCTGCTTCAGTTAATTCAAGGTTTGGGCAGGCAAGTTTGGTGACGCAGGGTCCAAGGGTGGAGGAGCCTGGTAAGTGCACCTCAGTGAAATCCACCTCACCCTGGAGGTGAGTGGCCCAGGTGTCCCTTCTTCAGAAGGTTCACGAAAATGCTCTATCTCCATGGAGGCTCTTAGATGTCACTGCAACCATCTAGAAAGCTTGTATCCCTGGTAGGGGAGTGGGTATGCAACCCAGGAGGGGAGTAGAGGGTATCTAGGAAAGGCCATGGCTGAGGGACTGAACATCTGAGTCCCTGATGGAGTAGATGGGGAGGGTGGGCTACAAAAGGAGCCTGGGACTGGATGCCTAGGTCTTTGAGAGGACAACTTACTGAGCACAGCAGATAGAGAAGAAGGCAGGTAAGCTAGATTCTGGAGAGCTGCATATTGAAGTGGGGCTGGTTGGGGAACTGGATACCAGAGTTTCCAAAGAGGGGACACCTTGGAGTGGGGAACAGGGGACCCAGAGCCCTGGCAGGTGAGAGAAATGGGTCTGTCTTGGAGGTGGGGAGGATGGATGGAGACCTGGCATTTTGAGAAACAGAGCAAGGAGGCTGTCATAGGGAAGCCTGGTCTTGGTGGCATAGGACAGCTGAGCCAGTTGGGGCTGGGGGTGTTGGGATCCCGAGTGGTGGGTAGGGCAGGGAAGTGGGTAAAGCAGGGTGTAAAGGTCCTGACCAGGCAAACCAGGTCCTTGGGGCCCCCAGGTGCTCACCTGAGACCCAGCAGAGCAGAGCAGACAGGGTGAGCAGCAAAAGGGCTTTCATGGCGAGGATCCTGAGAATGGTGGCAACCACAGCAGCTGCTAAAGTAGAATCCAGCTCTGGGAGTTGAGTGGCCTTTTTGGAACTTATAAACCTAAAGGCTCCTCCCTTCACTGCCTCTGATAGCCCCTCCCTTCCCACTTACTACACAGCTGACCAGAGAAAAGACAAGGGGTGGGGAGGCACTGAGCAGGACAGAGTGGGAAGTAGGGATGGGAGAGAGGGATGGGGGAGGGCAGGTGCCACTAGTGGCCAATGCCATTGTGGTTCTTGGTTTCAGGCCAAGATGCCCTTCCTGGCCCCCTGCTAACAGTCCTGCTGCTGAGTCCTCTGAAGGAGCATCATCAAAGGCCTCTGTGATTTACAGTGTCCATGGTGGTAGCTTCTGCTGGTTCCTGGGAAATGGACAAAAGGATGAGGCCCAAATTAATTGCTGAATTTGGGTCCCTGGGTCCCTGCTGGACATTGATAGGGACATGCTGGTGGAAATTGGGGATGGAATGGGTCAAATTAATCTCCATTCAGGCCCCACTCGGTCTTTCCAATGCCTGCTCAGCCATCAGTGACTCACTGATGGCTTCTGTGATGCCATAGCAGCAGAGGCAGGGGCTGGGGCTACTCATCTAGGGGAGCCACCACAGGTCTGCTAAGTAGGGGCTGCCTCAGGCTCCCATGAAGGTTCTCAGGACGTCACCTCGGCTCCACTTGCACTTGGTGTGACCTTGTTGCTCCAGTCCAGCAGCAGCAATTGTCCTAGGTGTGGCTGTGTGCACCTGCTCCAAAGCACCTCCCCAATCAAAACCTGCCAACTTGGGCAGGGCACCAAGGCAGGAGGAACAGCATGGGCACAGAGAGGTAAGGTAGAAGCTAAAATAAGAATAGAAATAGTAGGCTGGGGGTGGTGGCTCATGCCAGCAGTCTCAGCACTTTGGGAGGCCGAGGTGGGTGGATCACAAGGTCAAGAGATCAAGACCATCCTGGCCAACATGGTGAAACCCCATCTCTACTAAAAATACAAAAATTAGTTGGGTGTGGTGGTGTGCGCCTGTAGTCCCAGCTACTCCGGAGGCTGAGGCAGGAGAATCACTTGAATCCAGGAGGCAGAGGTTGCAGTGAGTCGAGATTGCACTCCAGCCTGGCAACAGAGCAAGACTCTGTCTCAAAAAATAATCATAATAATAAAAATAATAGAAATAGTAATAATAATGGCAAGTACTTACATAGTGATCCTACGTATTCTAAGCAGTTTACATGCATTACTTTATTTCGTTATCACAATACCCTACAAAATAGGGATTTTTGTTGTTGTTGTTGTTGTTTTTGAGACAGGGTCTGGCTGGCTCTGTCGCCCAGGCTGGAGTGCAATGGCCTGATCACAGTTCACTGCAACCTGGACCTCCTGAGCTCAAGCGATCCACCCTCCTCAGCCTCGTAAGTAGCCTGGATTACAGGCGCGCCTGAAAAGTTAAGCAGGCAAAAGTGTTTGTGTAAATTGGCCCGAGCACACATTTTAAGTGAGCACCATCTGAAGACTCTGAGTTTGCCTGCGAGGATTCCCAAAGGGATCTGGGTAGTTGGTGGCCCCGCCCCCTCTCTTATCGGAGCCCCCCAGCCCCTCCGTTCTCCTCACCCCCAACTTCCCTCCGGTCCCCCCCCAACCCGCCCCACGCCGCTGATTCGCTCGCAGCTTCTCCTCACCACATCCCAACCATGGCTGTGTTTCTGCAGCTGCTACCGCTGCTGCTCTTGAGGGCCCAAGGGAACCAAGGGGGTAAGCGATCCCTGGGAGAGTTGTGATAGATGCAGAGGGGCTAAAGCAAGAAAGGGGCCGCCTAGTAGGGTGGGTTGTGTGTGGGAAGATCCAGGATGGCTGGAGTGCAGAAGAGAGAAGAGAAAGAGGAGACGGGATGGGGGGTCGTCTTGCCCTATGGACCGGCCCTAACCACAGCCTCCGGCCTCTCCTAGCTTCTCTGGACGGCCGCCCTGGGGACCGGGTGAATCTCTCTTGCGTAGGAGTCTCTCACCCCATCCGCTGGGTCTGGGCGCCCAGCTTTCCGGCCTGCAAGGGCCTCTCCAAAGGACGCCGACCGATCCTGTGGGCCTCTTCGAGCGGGACCCCTACCGTGCCTCCCCTCCAGCCTTTTGTAGGCCGCCTTCGCTCCCTGGACTCTGGTATCCGGCGGCTGGAGCTCCTCTTGAGCGCGGGGGACTCGGGCACCTTTTTCTGCAAGGGCCGCCACGAGGACGAGAGCCGTACAGTGCTTCACGTGCTGGGGGACAGGACCTATTGCAAGACTCCCGGGCCTACCCATGGTAGGTCCAGGCCTGTGCGCACAAGGGAACTTAACTCCGACACATACCCGGAGGAGGGAAGAGGATGGAAGAGGGCCTTGGCTGGGGGTTCTTGAGCGGGAGAGCTGGCTCTCTCTCGTCAAACCCCTGACCTCAGCATCCCTCCCTGCCATGCCTTTCCCCCAGGGTCCCTGTATCCCCAGCTCCTGATCCCGCTGCTGGGCGCTGGGCTGGTGCTGGGACTGGGAGCTTTGGGCCTGGTCTGGTGGCTGCACAGGTGAGCAGGAGGGACCTGGCCTGGTTAAATGGGAGTGACGAGAGGTGGAAAGGGCAGGACCAGAACCTTCGCAAAAGAAAGAGCTAGACCTAGAGCTCTGGTCCTGTCTTGGCGAAGAATGGGAGAGGTCAAAGGTGGGAGCGAGGCTGCTGGCCGGTGAGTAGAGCCCAGCCAGAGGAGATGAGCTGGAAGTGCAGCAGAGTCAGAGCCTGGGCTGGACTGTCGGTGGGGGTAGAGTCTAAGTTGTTTCTGGTCTGAGCCTTCAAGTTGCTGGACTGTCCTTGGCGCGGCCTGAGTCCCAGGAGAACCAGTGAGACAAGACTGGTGGCTCTCAAAGACTCAAATGTCCCTTACAGGCGCCTGCCCCCGCAACCGATTCGACCACTCCCTAGATTTGGTGAGACTAACTCCACCCCGTTTTCTTTCTCCTACACACCCACTCCCCACCCCTCAATTCCTAAGTCTGAGCCCTTGCTGGGAACAGACATGTTGGTCACCTTCTCTCCATCCTTCAGCTCTGTCCCCCCCACATAGCTCCACTTGTGAAAACCGAGCCCCAGAGGCCAGTAAAGGAGGAAGAGCCCAAGATTCCAGGGGACCTGGACCAGGAACCGGTAAGGGCATGGGGATGGGAAGGGGATGGCCAGAATCTCTGAGGAATATGGACCAAAAAAAAAAAAAGGCCTGAACCCCAAGGGAGACTGTGGAGACCATCTTGTCTTCCTGCCCTTCCTCCTCCAGAGCCTGCTCTATGCGGATCTGGACCATCTAGCCCTCAGCAGGCCCCGCCGGCTGTCCACAGTGGACCCTGCTGATGCCTCCACCATCTATGCGGTTGTAGTTTGAAGGGAAGCCCTTACTCCAAACCTCCCAAGCTAGGGGATCCCAGCTACCCATAATCCCTCTCCCCTCCTTGGTCCCTCACCTGGAAGAGGAAGGCACCATGGTATAGAAATAAGTGCTAGACTGGGAGTCGGGAGACCTGGGCTTTAGGCTGTCTCTGCCACTGATCTTACTCCTAAACTTACTCACATCTCTCCTATAACCTCCATGTCTCCCTCACCACCGGTGTCGTCTGCATATCCAATCAAGCCCTAGCTCCTATCTCATCAAAAGTCCCAGACAGTTGCCTTATCTCTTCCCTTCCCTTCACAGTCAAGCTTTGGAACCAGGGGCATACACCTGCCTCTTCCATTTTCTTCTCCTTCACTTTATCCCCACTGCTCATCTGTTGAAATTGCTTATCTGCTCTCCATAAGATTGCCAGTAACGTCCTAAGAGCCACACCCAGTAGACATTTTTAGCATTCATCTGGTTTGGTCTCCGATTACTCCATTCCTTTTTTTTTTTTTTTTGAGATAGAGTCTCGCTCTGTCGCCCAGGCTGGAGTGCAGAGGCATAATCTTGGCTCACTGCAAGCTCCGCTTCCCGGGTTCACGCCATTTTCCTGCCTCTGCCTCCTGAGTAGCTGGGACTACAGGCGGCTGCCAAGACGCCCAGCTAATTTTTTGTATTTTTGGTAAAGACGGGGTTTCACTGTGTTAGCCAGGATGGTCTTGATCTCCTGATCTCGTGATCCACCCGCCTCGACCTCCCAAAGTGCTGGGATTATAGGTGTGAGCCACAGCGCCCGGCCTGATTACTCCATTCTTTAAACTCTATTTTACTTTGTTGCTGGTGTTTTCTTTTTGGACTCCTCTTCCTTGCTCCATATCCCTACAGTATTCCCCATCATTCTAGGTTTGTCCTTTTCTGTTCTTCTGGGACACTCTCATCCACAGTCAGTCCTCAGCCCCCACCTCTGCAAATGACACCGAGAACTCTGTCTGGCTCAGATCTCAGATTTGGGATTAACAAACTTCCCCTTAAACATTCTGCCTGACTGACCTCAGGCATTTTGCACTCCGAATGTCAAACCCAACTCATTGTCATCTCTGAAGCTGCTCACTTAATTCTCCTCTGCATTCTCTTTAACAACCCAGTTGCCCAACCCAGAAACTGGGAGTCACGCAGACCTCCTTCCTCTCTTACTCCCACACAGTGAGCCATAAAGTCCAGTCTTTCTATCTTAACATCACTGTCAAACCCACACTCTATTCCATGACCAGTGCTGCCAAGTGAATGTACTCTCCTCACTTCCTTCCTGGATTACCCATAGCCCCACCTCATCCTCCTACCCTTGCTTTCCTCCCTGAAGTCAGAGAGATGCTACTCAAGAGATAACTGCTTCTGACAGCCCTTATTACAGAACTGAAGTACTCTCCTTAGCTTCAGCTCTGTGCCCACATGCCTTGGCTTTGGATACAACATACTACAGCACTTTGTCCACTCTCCAGGCTTATCTCTGTCACTCCACATGCACATCTTAGAAAATGCCAGCCTTAAGAGAATTCTCCCTAGCCCCAAAATGTCTTTGCCCAGTGCAATTCCTTCTTTCTGTAGTACCGCTTTCCCTCCTCCACACTATCTGCCTGGCTAATTCTTATTTATCCTCAGTTCAAGTGTGGCCTTCTCTGGGAAGCTGATCCTCCTGGCCCACCCCTTGTATATACTTTGATGCCCTAGGGCACACCACCTTTATTTCCCTCATA